CCAGTAGTTCTGGAGATTAGCGCAATCAAACAAACAAACTCTACAGCTTTATAATATTAGTATACATAAAATATATATGGTGTATGTAAACAATACGATTATCTTAATTGTTCACTAGAAGGTAGCCTAAAGTGCCGTCAGGTAGCATACTCAATGATACTCTAATATTGCATAGTCAAACTTAAGTATGTTACAGTCAGTCAGAATAGTCTAAATTTGACATTGTTATAAGGTTTGAAATAGCAAAAATATGAATATTAAATTAAAGAAATTGTTCTCAAAAGACACGTTATACAAATGCCCGACTTTACTTTTTCCTAGAATATCTGTGTCAATTAATATAAAATGTAAACAGTTTGCACTGGATTGCAATAAGGGCTCACCTTGGCCTGGTCCTTGGACAGCATGTGATGGTGCTTCCGACTGGGCCCGCGTCCCACGGGCGGCTCCCCCGTACTGGCCTGGCGCACGCAGCACACCATCAGCTCGATCAGGGACGACTCCTGTCCACACCAACAACATCTACAACTTTTGTTCAATAACAGGCACCTGTTAATCTACCGTGCCGGACTAATCTACTGACCTGTCGATTGTCGAGTGCTTCCTCATTAGGACCAGCTTCTTCCAGCAGCAAGTCAGTCATGCATTCCCAGTCTTTCATCATTGGGTTTGATTCAATGAGTGAGTCCACCAGGTATGCACCATGCTCATGTAACTAAAACATGAATATACATTGTAGATGTGTGAGGATGCATCAACTTACAGTAGTAAGCAAGACACAAGGGGACGAAGGGGAGGCAGGAGAGGAGAGGTGAATGTGTGTAGCAAAGAGGCCCACCTCGGACTCGATGAAGAACTGCACGAGGTCGCGGATGAGCGGCGTGTTGGGCAGGCGCAGCTTGCCGCGGCGGGAGCGCGCGGGGGGGGGCGGCTCCTCGCTGCGGAACAGGCGCACGTTGAGGAACTCCCCCGCCGCCGCCGCCACGCCGCGGCACGACGAGTACACCAGCTCGTACACGTTCTCGCAGTCCTTGTCCGTCAGCACGTCGGGGTGCATGCGGCATCTGCGCCATACCGGGTACGTTAATGTCACGACCGAGTTTTACCATTCACTCTTCCTCGAAAATCAGATCATTACGCGATACACATTGAGAGAGGAGAATAACTCACTTAAGAATGGCAATAACCAATTTAACAGCGTGCACTGCAACCTCAGTCTCCTTATCCAACGTCATAGACACGATGCGGTCCTTGAACTTGGATGTGAAAAGTTCTAACTTGCCCTTCAACTCCTCGCACTCATATAACGGCTGCAGAGCTTGCAGACAGCGCAGCCGGACTTCGCCCACCTGTAACACACCATCGCAGATATCAGTCCTTCCTTTATGTTTAAAGTAACTAAACGGCAGAGGTCACACATGCTTTGTCTGATACTTCTATTTATCAAGAGTGGAATAATGGTACTTACCTTGTCATGCAGGGTCCAACCAATATATTTGAGGTACAGATCATCTAAGAAATGTGCTGGAAACTTTTCCATCCAAATGCCTATTTCAGCCATAGTTATAGCTCTTATATCGGGTAATGTGTCCCTGGATAAACAAAAATATTCATGTTAAAGTTGTAGTTGAGGTTACTTTATTCTTATTTAGTCACAGCTAGAGAGGGTTGCTAACCTGTATCTATGCACAAACACAGACTTAAACATATACGAGAGCATGTTCTTGATCTCTTCCATGTTTTCCTCCAGCTCCTGCCTCTTGGCCACCAGCACCTCAAGGCGCTCATTAGCTCGTTTGTCACGAGCCTTCAGTCGCTCCGCCTCATACTGCCGCAAACAGTTGTCACAGTTTACGCTTGTCAAAAGGGCCACGTCCACCAGGGCAGTCATTAGTTTCATCACTACAAAGTAAAAACCATCAATACTTTAACAACAATCAAGTCCAGCATGTTGACTGCTACTTTATTCAATAGCAGTTGTGTGTTCCACATAATTATTATAAACTGCGTGAGGGATAAGATTCAGTTTAAAAAAATATAAAACAAACAACAAAGCTAGCCCAACTACTAATGATTGGGTAAGTGCCTGTACATTTATTTATATCTATATATCAAATTATAACAAAATAATCAAGAAATAAGTGTACTATTGGATGCAAAATGTTTTTTGCAATAGAAATTCATGTACTCAATTCATTAAAAACTGTTTTATTTTTTTTAAGTCATTTGATGAGCTGTCAATTACTCAATTGACAATAAGAAGACTGAAGAGGGATAGAATATTGGGGCTACAGAACAGATAATCTTGCTGGAGACACTCAGCTGCTGACAAATCCCCCAACATATTTATTTGTAGTATGAGTAGCTGTAGACTGATAATTATAAAGAAAAAAGATATGACACTTATTTGTTCAAATTCAACAAGCCATATCTGAACAATAAAATACAGACTTACCAGCAAGTGTAGCTGTGTGACGGAAGGCTCTGACCTGTGAGTCAGACAGTCCGGTGAGTAGGGAGATGATGTTGTCCATCAGATATTGGTCATAGATGATAGAGTACTGACACATTTTCACCAATGTCTGAATAAACTCACAGAAATTGGAGCGGAACTTCTTCCAAGTCTGTCCTGTCATTATAAGTGGATATTCACCACTTTCCTGTAATGTGTAATGATAGCATATTGAGATAACAGCTAAACAGTAATGTACTTGTTATTTATAACATTTTCCCAAACCTCACACCACAAATAAATAAAAGCCACACAGGACCACTTTGTGTATTCTATTAAAGTGGTTCAATTAATCAAATTGCATAATATATAAGTAGCAGCTCAAGTCTACCACTTTGACAATTCTGCATAAACTTCTACAAACTTATCAAGCAAGCAATCAAGTGTGTACAATTTTTGATCCAAGGTTTTGCTAACAACAGTACCTCATCAAACTCCTGGGTCATTTTCTTAATGATAAGTGTGTGGTCCATCTGTGCCATGTCTGGTGTCACCTTCCCCCGACATCCAGATGCATTAATAAAGAACTGCATCAACTGAACCAGTGCCGCCTCTCTGTTTGTCTTGTATTCTTCTATCCACATGTCCACCACTTGCTAATTTCAATAAAACAATGCATAACATTAAACACTATAGTACACCATAAATTTTATGGCATAATACATAAATTCTGTTAAGATTTAGTTAATCTAGTTATTAAAATCATCTGGCCAATATTTGCCATAAAATGCTTCCAACCTACCTACCACCCTCTATCAATGCTTATGGACCCTGTGATAACACAACTCAGTTTTAATATTGATACTGTCTAAAACATTTCAACAAGTATCCTTAGCCCTACATAGGAGATCAATAAAATTAATAAATTATTGTTTCAAAATAATCTAAACACTTACGTTTATTGCTGTCTTATTGAATCTCAGAATGTTATAAAGACTGTTTTCGTCATCACCGGGCAACAACACAGGTGGCGGTGAGTACGCCGGCGGCGGGGCAGTGCCTCGCCCTCTGCCCCGCCCGCGCCCGCCACGACCTCGGCGTCTCAATGGCGGAGGTGGTGGAGACTCCGCCAAGCGCCCCACGAAACCACCATCACCACGGCGGCCACGACTCCGGGTTACACGCTTCGTAGGGGTGGGAGATGGAGATCTAGGCTCCTCTTCTTCGTGATGGGATTCCTCGGCTTCTTCTCTTGGGGGCTCATTGACAGTAGAATTTACGACTGCTCCAACATTAAACCCCGAATAATTCACGTTGGGAGTTTCAGGTTCGTGGACAGACTGACCACCGTAGTCAGTCATGGGGGTCGCTGGAGTCATGGGGTTGACATATTCTGGCGGAGGATCATCCATCCGTATACGTTTCCCGCCACGGCGATGCATTTTGTGTTAACGTAGAGTTTTCGCCACAAAAGTTATGGTACAATATAATCACATCTTTACCTAACCAAAGAGAAATGTATTGATTTCTCACTGCGTCGAATACACGGAAACAATGGACATAACAATACAATAGTATAAGATAGCAAACCCTCTGCCACAATACGAGGGAATAAGAAATGTCAATTTGTTAAAGTAAAAGTGAGACAGATTGTCGTTCACCGTCGTTCACCGACGCGCAGCCCACAGAGTATAAATCACTATAACAAAACACATAGACCATAGACACACTAAAAAAAAGTACTAAAACCATGTACAAATATACACACAAACATTCCAATGGATAATGAAAAAAATGCTTAATGCGCCGCAAAAATGATTTACATCTTCCACCCTCTCGGATCAAAAAGCTTTACCATAGCCCGTATTACATGGCTATAAAAAATTTTAATAATCTACCGCAACATATAAAAAAAGAACCCGTATTCAATATATTTAATAACAGGAAATTAAAAGAATACATAGGTAATACAAAGATGTTTCTACTCGGTCGGAGAATACTTAGAATAAATTCGGAATAACGACGCATATCTATACAGCAATATAAATAAATAAATGAATAAAAAAAGAGAAATAATTCAATTAAATTTAATAAAATTGCATTTTTTACTATAAATATTGTTTGAGTTATAATTAATTTAAGTTTACTTATAAGATACTATTATTATTTTGCCGTGCCCTAACCGGGTTTCATGTACTTAGTACGTACTTACTTATATGTATTAATGTAACAACAAAATGTGTACACATTAATACAATAAAGACTTTAAACTTTGAATGTATAACATTGAGGAAATTAGTCTAGATCTATGATGTACAAAAATCTTTCCAACCGAAGATTTAAGTTATGTATTCTTCTGTACTAGAGCCTGGCATTAGTACTACATAACTTTTTTTAACTAAGTACTCCTTAAAGCAAATATTTATCAAATGGATATTAGCTCTTTCAATATGTCTCAGTCTCAATAGTCTACCTATGAATCTAGACATCTTATCATTATCTCTCTGAATAGTTTCTACTATACTGTAATTACATCTGTGGCACGTAATTTACATTTATACACACCTCTATTTTTTTTCTCTATAATCTTAATCTATACTCCATGGTATCGTCCTCGTCTCAAATCGTCTGTCACTTCATATAATATTGGGTGATTTTGGATTTTATCGTTTTTACATTTCATAAGCATTAATTTTACAATTTAGTGAAATGGCAAAGAAGACCTACGACTTGTTGTTTAAACTACTCCTCATTGGAGACTCGGGAGTTGGAAAGACGTGTATATTGTTTAGGTTTTCAGACAACCACTTTACAACGACGTTTATATCTACGATCGGTATGAGCCGCCACCTTTTATTTTTTTTCTCGTCAAAACTTAACTTATAAAAATTGATTCCTTTTTATTTATTTTGGCGTGTGTCGTTAATGTCTCAAACATTTTATATTTAAATTCAGTGCTGTATTCTTTGTTATATTACTTATGATTGTTTGATTTTTAGGCATAGACTTTAAAATAAAGACTGTGGAACTTCGAGGTAAAAAGATTAAGCTTCAGATATGGGACACGGCAGGGCAGGAAAGGTTCCACACCATCACCACGTCGTACTACCGTGGCGCAATGGGAATCATGCTAGTATACGACATCACCAATGAAAAAACATTTGATGACATTGTGAAATGGCTACGGAATATAGACGAGGTAATAACAATAAACATGTCCTATTTATTATTGCTACGTTAGTGATCGTTATATAGATAGTGATAGTTTTAAGATAAGAGCTCCCCCAAGATATTGAGTCTTGACTAGAGACCGAATAATAGTTTTTATTTTATCTCCATATAAGCTGCGTAATGAATATCTTGTTTTGCAGCATGCTAATGAGGATGTGGAGAAGATGATACTAGGCAACAAGTGTGACATGGAAGAGAAGCGTGTTGTGAGCAAAGAGCGAGGAGAAGCGGTGAGTCACCATAGTATAGTACAGTTGTATTCATAGTGGCTAATGTTTTGTGTTCCCACATTACTGTGTTATAACTTTTGTGTGTTAAAAAATGTACTAATACAACTTTAGACAAGGAACTCAACTAGCCTTGTAAGCCATGTTAGGGAATCAAATTCACCACGCAGCCAATTGTTCAGTTACATGACTTAGCCATTATTCATATAATTATTGCAACATTACTCTTTTTTTAAATTGAAATATGAAAACCTGGATAAGCACCAGGTTTTCATATTTCAATTTATTATAGTATAGGCTCTAATAGTCACAAGATATGTAAATACATATATGATACAATAAATAATTGACAAAATGACACATAACATCAATATCAGCAATGGTGGCCCAGAGGTTAAGGCGTACATCTGTCATGCATGAGGGTACAGCTTGAAACTTGGCAAGTACTAATGAGAATGAAACCACTCACAAACTGTAAAGGAAACCATTGGTTGGAAACAAGGACTTATAATTTTTCATTATAAGTTTGAAATTGACAATCTGCCTACTGAGAAAATGCCTTTGCTCAGCAGTGGGCACTTATAGACGGATGATATGATATAATTGACACATGAGACAGGATAAAATATAAACTTGGCATTATGTTAACAAATTGCTTTAAGTACACAATTACTTTAAAAAAAAACATTGCCCCACATTAGGATTTTCTCCTGGTGGGTGCGTTTACAAACATACAATTCCACATGCACATCACACCCAGACCCGGAAAAACAATTTGTGGATCACACAAAGAGTTGTTCCGTGCGGGAATCGAACCCGCGACACGTTGCACGGGAACCAGTTGCCCAGCCACCGCGCCAACCACGTCAAAATTACTTCATCAACAGCTCTACCTAGTGACATAAAAAATTACACAAACTAGCTTTGTTTGTGTCATATGAAGAAGTATAATACAAAGGTTATGCAAATGTCAAACAAGCAGATGGAATTACCTGATGGTAAGCAATTAGCACCACCCATGGACACTCATAGCACCAAAGAGTTACTACAGGTGCATTGCTGGCCTCTTGTGGGTTATTAGGGATTTCAGAATAGGGTTACTGAGCATGGGGGCCTAGTATTCGGCCTCACTCACATGACGTATTGCATCACGACGGTGTCGACGGTATCATCCCAGTCGTGCCGGCCCGGTTGTGCCGTTGTGTTGCTCTCCGACACTTGTATACAAGGCGTGGTTTCTCCATTTCTGGTTTACTTTCTGGTTATCCAACTGGTTAACAATTTTCCCTATTTATTTTATAAAGTACATCATAACTTGAGCTTTTAACTAAAAATTAAAAGTGCAGTGATTTATTTCAAATGCAAGTTAAATTGCTAGTATAAAAAATTTACAGTCAATTTAATCATCATCATCATCATCATCACCACTCCACAGTCCACTGCTGAGCAAAGACCACTTTTCACCCAGAGAAGGTTTGAGCATTAATCACCACGCTAGCTCAATGCGGTTTGGTGATAATTTATAAGTCCAAGGTTACTCACGATGTTTACCTTCAGCATATGTCAGTGGTGTCTTAATAAACATAGAAAGTACATATAACTCGGCAAAAGTCATATTGGTACTTTCCAGGTTTCAAACCTGCCTCGTTTGCCGACCTATTACATAAAAAAAAAACTCTCATGCATGAGATGCAGGCTCCTTAACCTCTGGGCCACCACAACCTCAGTCTATTTATTAAATAACTGCAAATATGTAATTGTAACTTTTAAAATTTTCCTGTTCTTTACACAGGAAATAAGCAGTATATGTGCAGTAACTATGACAACAAGGAAATGTTCCGAATGTATTAATCATTAAAATAGCCCATGTTTACTGAGAACAGTGCAGCTTCCCAGCAGCGAGTTTTTCAAATCAGTCAAGTAGTTTAAAAACCTATTAAAAAAAATTAAATGAATCATGGTTTCTTTCTGTAACATTTATTGTTGATGTTGAATCGATTGACATGATTTTTGTGCTGGCGAGCTAGTGCGCCGCGAACGTATTAGCGGTGAAACCGGGCATTAATTAGCGTCTATCCAGCCACAAGGCATTGAACAGCGCCGCGCCACGCACCGTGACTCACTCGCACCAATCAATCTCACTACTAGTAATTGCTCTGTATATACACATGCTCGAGAGTCCTGTTCGTATTATGTCAAAAAAAATAATACAAAATTAAATACATTAAATGAGTTCATATTCAGTTCTATCATGCAACATACTATTTTAAATACATAATAATATTGTCATTCAGGAACATTTTATTCCTAACTAGCTCTTACCCGCGGCGTTGCTCCAGTCATTTGACTATCTACCCTTTTTTTTTTTTGTGAGGGGAAAATCATCAAATGACTTCTCCCGCCCAGGGCCGGGCAGGAGGGAGAGTCAGACTCTTACTGACTAAAAACCCCCCTGTTCCTTCTCCTGCTCTGTGCCGAGGTCGCGGTACCTCATTGCGCTTACCCCGCAACCCCGGCTTAACATCAGCCCTTTAGGGCCCCGTCTGTACGCTCCGTACGCTCGGGCCTGGTTCTGGTCGGGCGGCGAGCTACGACTATCTACCTACCCTACTTACCTACTCTACCTGCCCTACTTACCTACCCTACCTAACCTACTCTATCCTTATGTCCTTCTCCTAGTTCTTAGCTACCTCCCTACGAATTTTCAGCCAAATCGGTTCAGCCGTTCTTGAGTTATAAAAAGTGTAACTAACACGATTTTTTTTATGTATAGATTTGGGTATTTTAATATTTTTTTAAATATGCAATTACAATATTTGATGCGTACGGCGCCTGAACCTGTTAAAGCGCCCGCTTTTAGTGCACGAGGTTGCTGATTCGAAACTTTGCAAATGCTACCTACGGCGAAGAAAAATATCGTGAAGAGTCCTGGACTTATAATTTTTAGTTATAAGTTTGAAATCGCCACTCCTCTTGCAAACAAGCGTGGTGGTTAATGGTCAAAACTGCTACGTGTTAGAAGAGACAAGGAGAGAAGGTTTGAGCATTTACCACTACGCTTGCTCATGGCATTATTAATTAGTGTATGCAAGTTGTGTCTAAATAATCATAAAAAGCAACTTTGTTTATACTACGTTTATTTAAGGTGTTGTATTGTGTACTCGCCGTCAAGCATTATATTTTTTTGGTCACGTCTTCTTTCGAATTAATCTTATTTTGAATGTGATTGAGAACATCAAACATTAAATTGTATTTATTAATCTCTCTTTCAAAAGGTCATACAATTGTAAAGGGCGTCTAATTAATCTGATCAGGAGATGCAGGATATGTGTCGTCCCTTACGAAAGAAGTGATGAATTTATTTATTGCATATTTGACGTTTTAAAAATCTATCTTGACTTCTAAACATATTACCTACCAAGTCATTCTCCTCGATGTGATAAGCTTACACATTATGAAGGATGCATAATGACAGATCTACTTCAAAAAGTTTAACCACAAGCAACGCGCACACTATTTGTAATATTGATTGTTTGACTGTGTTTTGTGTGTTGCAGATAGCGCGCGAGCACGGCATCCGGTTCATGGAGACATCGGCGAAGGCCAACATTAACATCGACCGAGCGTTCTCGGAGCTGGCGGAGGCCATCCTGGACAAGACGTCGGGCCGCGAGGCGGACGCGGACCACGCGCGCATCGCTGTAGAGCGCCGGCCGTCGCGCGCGCCGCCCGCCCGCGCCTGCTGCTCCTAGGCGGCCGCGGCCCAGCGCCACGCTACTCCGACCGACTGCCGATATCCTTTGGCTGTTGAAGCTTAGTAAAGACGCTAGTTTCCGTGATAACTTAAGTAACCCACGTCGCGTACAGCTGAAAGAGCCATCGGGTACAGGCGCGTACGAGCAGTGTGCCCGCCGGTGCCGGCTCTGTACCGGCACCTATAACGTTCGGCAAATCGCTGCCGTTCGCTGTCATTTGCTTTCATCAACGGAAGACTCCTTGAGATTGTTTGAGCTTGTTGAGTGTCATCACGTTAAACATTTTCAAGGTTATCTTCCAAACCATGGGTGAACGTTGTTACACCAAATCAACATTAAAGCTTTTCAATATTGGTTGTTGTAATTAAAGCTTGCGACACTAATCGAATAATCGCCCATGAAATGTCTAGTCGCATAATAAAATCGGGTGCAATAGATAAAGTAGGCTCGAACAGAAAATCTTGAACAATCTTGTCTCAAATATTGAAGTGTCGCATGTTAAGTTATTGTTCTTCGCTTCACGATGTTTTATACTTGTAATATTATGTGTAGGGTGTAAATTAACAAAGTTAACTGCAACCATTCAGCCGCATCTCATACAAAGGCTGAGTGAGTGCGAACTGAACCATTTCTGGAAAGCGCAACGCACATCTCGCGTACATACAGCTCGGCGCACCCGTACGTTGGCCCGCACTGGAACCACTACTCACGTTCGCCGAGTTGTTACTCTCCTTCAAAGCAAACCTGTGCTGCGAGTATAGTTAATTATTTAAGTAAGTAGACTATAGTTATGTACGTTGATGAAATAAAAAGTATTTTATCGTATGGTGTACCATGTGTTTCGTCGGTTTTTACCTGCTTTTATAAATAAACATCAGCATTGTATATTATGTTCATATTAAACTACTATCGAAATACTTTGTTTTTGTTTTAATACATTTACTCACAGCTTATTTTGCGAATACTTGTGCAATTTGAAAACTCTACAATATATAAGTACAATAGAGACTGTATTGTAAGCAAATTGAAAAACTTGGAAATACGTAGGTATGTGTCTGATGTGGGTCATAAAAACAACTCGTTACATGACAATCAGCCTTGTGGGTAGACAGGCGTTATCTGGGGTCGAGGGTCAACTCGAGAGTACAGGACCGTGCGATAGCGGACGCGCTGGGCAGTCGCGCGACCAGCGAGCCAGCGACCTCGACGCCACCATGGCCCTGCTGCCACTCCTGCTACTTGTTACTCTTGTTCAATTCGCGAGTTGTAGCCATTGTAAGTACCTACTCCTTTAATAATAATGATAAATGCTTAATCCATCAAACCCCAAGTGTCCTTCTTTTTTATTAAATTTGTTTTAGAATGTAAAATTTTACTTAAATTAGGGATCAGTATGAATATTATGAACGTAAGATTAAAACAATTATAATCAGTACCTATGCTAAGCTATCAAGAGTTACCTACCATAAAAGACAGACATATTATTGTTACGAGCCTGACGTCACGTTCCTGACTATGCGGGCTTGAGTTACGGGATTGGATGAAATGAAACACTAATGCCGGTTTTCAGACTTTCTATTGCACTTAAGTTACAGCGTCCACGGAGTTAAGTTATCGGCGTTCCTCTCCAGCAGAGTCCGGCCGACTGACACAACTTTGCCGTTCACACTGACTTAACTCACTTAAGTGACTGCATTTCACTATTTCACTGCACTTCACTATTTCACTCACTTTTCTTCTTTTTCACTTCTTCCTTTTCTTCCGAATCGCTTTAGACTTAGAACTCAACTGCCAGCGGTGAGCCGCAGTTCTGCTTATATACCCCCGGTCAGGTTCTGGAACATTCAATTTCGTTATTCTTTTTGATCGTCATGCCTCCAGAACCTTCCAATAATTTCGCTATTCATTTTTATTTATTCTCCTTCTCACTCTTTAATTTTTCATCTCTTTCACACAAATAATTCCAGAAAGTTCGACAAAACTTCCATCTACTAAAAAACTTCATGTTTACGGCGGGACTCGAACTCGGGGTCTCTGTGGTGTAATCCACACGCCTTACCAATTACACCAACTCGTATTGACAATTCACGACGAAATTTACAATCTCTAGGCAACGTTTGACAACCATCCACTGACGTCATGATGTCAAAGAGTTTTCTGTCACATTATTATGCTGTTGTGAAATACTTTTTTGTCAATTTTGTGTAGAACATTTCCGTGATACCTACTTACATCATGATTTTTATGTAGGTAACTTAAACCATTACGGCTGCACACACAACGGACGCTTAAAAAATTTAGTAACTTCTACCGTTTTCCCAACATTGACCTTCACTCCTCTGCTCCTATTAATTGTAGCATAAGGAAAAGCATTCCATAATATGCCCAGGAATATGAAAAATAATATTTATTTATTTATAAAATCTGTCGAGTCGTTTTTGTTTCTATTGGCTATGTGCAAAGCGAGTAGTGGCGGACACCGCGGACAGATAACGACCAACCGCAGCGTACAACACGACAGAAATTGGAAACAAATGCGGATGATCAGCTGTCGGTTTTTATTATTATATTCATTTAACAGTAATACTATTAAATAAATTGCACTTAAATAATGTCAAAAATTCTATTTTAGTCTTTGGTTTTATTTATATTTGTAAAGAAAATTAGAATGTTTACATTGTTATTATTTGACAGCTTCTGAAAATGTAAACGCTACGCGTCGCCACCGTTGCGCACATAGGCAATAAGGAACATACAGACAGACAGACACAAAAATTTTACAGGTTGGGTTTTTGGCATCAGTACCTATCGATCACTAATCACCACCTGATAGTTATTCGAACGTCGTAAGCATCTAATAGTTTTGGTGTGCTGTTGATAAAATAAAAATATGAACGGCCTCATCGAGGTAGATGAGGAACCTGACCGCCAGGCAAGCCTCGAATACCTACACATGGGAGGTAGGCAGGTTCTCGGTGATACCGGAGTGAAAGGATATAACGATGTCTTTAGACACCGACGAGCCGCCTTTGCCACCACACACTCTTCTTGCCAAGTGCGCGACGAGGCGGATCAAAATCTTTGCAATTGTAGCATCTTCAATTCTTGATGGTAGGTAACCAACCGGTATAGTAGGCAAAGGCGTGCCGGTTTAAAAAATCTAAAGTGGTTAGGTTAATTAACCTAACCACTTCACTTAATGTTATTACATAAGGATCATAGAGGAAATAATGGGCTTTTTACTCTTATGATTAGGATCCCCGATAGGGTGAGAACACGAGCATACAGCCGCCAGCATAGATACGTACCTACATAAATCTAGGAGCTAATGGTTTATAAAAAATGGTAAACAATCGACGGAGTTCATTCATGCTGAACACCCGTGAAGGAAATATCCAGTTCGAGCGAAAGCGTGGCTCTCCCATAAAGTAGGTACGTGCTGCGTGCGTCCTATAGTCTCACCGGTGGCAAAGAAAAACAATTTACATTATGGCGGGCCAAGAGGGGAGCGAATGAGATTTTTTTGAAAACCCATGAAAATTGTATGATCCTATCAGCATCAATTGTCTAGTTTGATCGAATGGTCGGTTCGCCTTTCCCTACCTACCTATAAAGATAAACTCAAAGGGACCGGCTTCATCTAGTTTTTCACATATAAATTGACGTGTAAAAGTGCCGTTTTATTACCTGTATACTAGCAAAAATAAATTCATTGTTTCATTGACCACTCATCTTTTTTGGCAGTAAGTATTAGTATTAGTAGATATACCTATCGCGGTGTAAATATTATTATGGTATACCTACTATGGGCGGCTGATTTGTTACCATCAGGTAATCAGTCTGCTCGTTTACCGTCCTATCACATAAAAGATTTCGTCCGATATCAGATAATCCAAAAAAATCCGATAAATGCTCGATGCTCGATAGATTGCATTGTACTTGGTCTAAATGCAATCTACACATTTTGGAACGAGCAAATAGCTTCACTATAGGACAGACTTCGACTGCACGGTTGGTGCGGTGGCTGAATCTACAAATTGTTGTTTCGGGTCTGGGTGTCATGTGTATGTGAAATCGAACGTTTGTAAACGCACCCACGACACAGGAGAAAGAGTATGGGGCAACGTTTCTATTTATTTTTTGATATTTATTTTTCGTTCAGCGTTCAGAAGTGTGTATAGTGGGTTTTTAAAATAAATGATTTGAATTTGACTTTGAGGATCTCACAACTTTACCTACGATGGAAGAATTGCGTAGAGAAACTTTTCTCTTTTTACATTGAATGTTTTTGCTGGGATGATTATGGTACTTACATATTTCAAATATCTTCACAAAAGGACTGATCGATAGACTGGCACTTTTTAACTTTACTTTGCTAGAATTTGAAACGTGCCTATTATGGCCTAATTGAAGTCAATTATTCAACTCACTTTTATCTTTTTTTAATACCTATACTTATACATCACGATAATATATGATCACTCAGACCGAGCCGTTACGTTCAGTAATATAGCTATTCCCGTCCGCAGCCCCATGCGTGATAGAGTTAGAGTGCGCGGAATGCCTGCCGGACAACATGCCGCTGGTGACGTCGCCGCGCGGCGCCAACGGCACGCTGCGGCTGGCGCAGGGCGCGGCGCTGGCGCTGTCGTGCGGCGCGGGCCGCTTCCTGGCCGCGCCGCTGCACGCCCAGCTCGAGGCGCGCTGCCACGCCGGCCGCTACCGCGTGCTCGGCCGTCTCTACCACCTGCGCGACCTCGGCTGCCAGGAGAGCATCTTTGAAGACGTTCTGCATCAGGTCCTTACATTATCCATGTTCTTTGCTTCTCTTTACTATAGTAACGACTAGATATCATGAGCCTTTTTAACCAAACTGCAGGGTTTTTGGCGCCTAGGTGGAAAATCCTCATGAAGCTCCTTCGCCTCAGTAGACGAAGGGGACTGTCATACTCTTATTGACTAAAACCCACACATCATGTCCCGTCCCACAGGTGGGTGTTAAGGTATTTTGGTATTGTTTCTTTAAAGGTGTTCTTTTATTTAGGTCGATGACTGCGGAAATTTACAAGGCCGAGCGTATCTTATGCACGAGGCGGGAGGACAAGTACGTCATCTAGCGACCGCATGTTTTGACGCAGACCGCGGCGTAGCAGCGCGCCTGCAGGTGGTAGTGGGGGCGGCGGGGGCCGCGGGGCCCGCGGGCCCTCCGCACTCGCACGCCTCGGCGCCGCGCAGCCTGCTGGGCAACTTCAACCAGATGTTCGACGCGGCCACGCGCCTGGCGGCCGAGCGTCTTTACTCCGACGACATCCGTCTGAACCGGCGCCTCCACGAACTGCTCCGATTCGACCAATATTCGTTCGCCGACCAAACTCTCACCTCGGGCAAGTTGTTGAGCAGCCATTATTTTGACGATCAGATCATGCGAGTCACCGACTTTGTTTCCAACAAAGTGGCCGTGTGGAGCAGCGTGGCCAAGGGCAACCTGCGCCACCTGCACGAGGACGTGGCGCGCTTCGTGCAGGCCCGGCGCGCGCACGAGGACGTGCACGTGCTGGCCGGCACGCTGGGCGTCATGTCGCTGCGCGCGGGGAGCGAGGGGGGCGAGGGGGGCGAGCGCACGGACCTGTTCCTGGCGGCGGGCGAGCGCTTCCCGGTGGCGCGCTACTTGTGGACGGTGGTGGCGGCCCCGCAGTCGGGGCGCGGCGTGGCGCTGGTGGTGCTCAACGACCCGTTCGTGGCCGTGAGCGAGGTTCGCTCCGCCGTGTTCTGCACCAGCGCATGTTCCCAGCTGGGCTGGCTGCAGCAGCTGCGCAGCAAGCGCTACTACGAGAGCCCGCTGTACGGGCTCGTCTTCTGCTGCAGCCTGCGGGACTTCGCCGCGCACGGGGTCGCGCTGCCGGCGGGGCTCGCGCTAGACGTGCCCTTGCTCACCTAGCTGTCCGGGGTGTAGCTACTGTCGGCCCTTACATTCTTATTCGATAATAAAACTAATATTCAAATTCTTACGAACTCGACTTTTATTTGAAAAATAATACAACACATTTTCAGATTTCCACTCCTTAATCCTTCTCAGCAATAGCAGTTAGGTGCCTGTCGATCTCGTTTTCAGTCAATACTCTGAAAAAATCCAAATAGTGCAATAATAGACTAGCAGCAAGCATGATACTAGGTCAACTAGGTGCAATGAGCAACCAACACTGAATGAAAATCAGTATGTATTAGAAATAACTAGATATTGTTATAAAAATATTAAGGATTAACAGTTATTATGTTATTGTAATAATTATAACTTTTACTAAATATTTAAAGTATTTATGTAAAGAAAAAGTGAAATAACCTGTCTTTCACCAAACTGTCTGTATAAATAAATTAAGTTCACATTAAGTTAGTAGCAACCTTTCACGCACACAGTCATACTTCACACACTCAAATTACGTTCATACAGTCCACTCATCTAAAAAGAAATTGTAAAGAAGGCAGTGTGCAATAAATACCCCCTTTTTTGTGAGGGGAAAATCATCAAATGACTTCTCCCGCCCAGGGCCGGGCGGGAGTGGGAGTGTCAGGCTCTTACTGACTAAAAACCCTCCTGTTCCTTCTCCTGGTCTGTGCCGAGGTCGCGGTACCTCATTGCGCTTACCCCACAACCCCGGCTGAACATCAGCCCTTTAGGGCCCCGTCTTTGGTGGTCTATGGCTCTTTGAGGCGCGCGCGGAACGCTACGCGCCGTACGCTCGGGCCTGGTTCTGGTCGGGCGGCGAGCTGCCCTTACTCGCCGACCGCAGACCCGTGCTTACGGTGGCCGGAGATCGTCCCTCGATCCCCAACGCCAGTAGTGTCGCCAGTTGGGGCGGCTGGGGCGTGAGGAGGAAGATTGCTCCCTCACGCGGGCCGCCTCTCTCTTTGCGAGCATGACTGCTTCACAAAATGTGGAGACGGCGTCCCAGTTCCTCTCACTCCGCACCATGGCCTCGACTAAGGCCGGGCGCGAGAGGTCGCCGCCGCCGATCACTTCCCTGAGGATACGGCGGTGCTCAGCCCAGGCAGGGCATACCGCTACCGTATGCTCCACCGTATCCTCTAGGTGGTCCTCACAATGACGACACTCGGGCGTTTCCTCCCGCTGGATCCGAAACAGGAACCTATCGAAGCTGCCGTGCCCGGTAAGCACCTGCTTCAGGCGGAAGGTGAGGACGCCGTGGCGTCTCTCAAGCCACTCCTCAAAGAGGGGTCTTACCGCTGCTATAGTAGCGTGCCCGGCCCTCGGTTGCGACAGTCGCTGCTTCCACTCAGCCATGAGATCTCGCCGGAGCTCATTCCGCCACGCACTAATTTGTCGCGGCAGAGGATCCTCGCCCCGGCGACGCGCGTCTGTGCGCAAACTGTAGACGCGCGCGAGCGCCTTCGCTTCCAGATCCCACGGCGGTGATCCGGCAAGGAGGTTCGCCGCCTCACCGGAGATCGTGCGATATCCGCGGATTATCCGGATAGCCATGACCCTCTGGGACGCGACCAGCGTACGAGCTGGCCGCCGCCTCAAGTCCGGCGCCCACACAGGGGCCCCGTAGAAGGCCATGGATCGCACAATCCCCATATACAACCTCTGGCAGGAGGCGTTTGGCCCCCCGAGGTTGGGAAGGAGTCGCTTGAGCGCGGCCCCAGATCGTTCCAACTTAGGAGTCAAACGACGAAAATGCTCCGTGAAGTTCCATCGGCTGTTGAGGACGAGACCCAGGTACTTCATCGCCGACTCGACGCCGATGGTAACTCCTCCAGCCGTTATTTGGGACCCATCTGAAGGTGGCGCGTTCCGACGGCCATAAAAACACATGGCCTCGGACTTGTGAAGCGCCACCTCGAGTCCCAACGCAATAAATACCCCTTGAGTAATGAAGACTTATTAAAAAGTTTTATTTCACCAAACAAGCCAATATAGACCTTATCGTCGTGAACACTGTCTGCTGTGTTTGTATATAGTCAAGACTTATGTGTGGGCAATATGTTTTCAGTAACATACCTAAACTGTGGGTCATCCTTGGTGACTAAGCCGACTTCGATCTCGGACGACTTGAAGTCGACGGATAGCACTTGCGACAGGCAGGAAATAGCAAGCTGGACGACCTCGTCAGCGCTTAACTCCGAACGTTTCTTCAGTTTCTTCTCTAAGTAGGCATTGGCGTCGGTGGCCTTCGCGCCGGCAGACACCGCCTTGTAGGAGCAGTAGTACCCGGACGGGTCTGTCTTGTACACGCACGGCCCTGACTCCTCGTCGTACGCCACTAACATCATGCCTGCCAACACAAATAACAATATCTTGATTACGGTCTAAGCTCCTGAAGCATAATCACAAAAGCCAATTCAGCTAGCTAATTATCATCATATTTCATCATTACATGACTATGGCAAAGCAAAACGGAGAGTTATCATTACAACTTGTGTCAAAAACCTTTTAAAAACCAAACAAAATGTTACTAAGTATTATTCATTATATTAACCACAAATAGTTACGATTGAATGTTAAAACCAATGTTATGAGGTTGGTACCAGAAGTCGTAAAGGTTTCTTTTTTAAAACTTAACATGTTACCCACATTAAGCTGTTTACTATTATTATGTTCTTTGGTTTCATTTTTTCATGGGATTGGCACTGAGAACTCATGCACCGTCATACAATGGATCTGACAACCGCTTGATGCAGTTCCAGACCTCAATTTGACTTGCAAAATTAATGGAAACCGTTATTACTATCAATCATACATAAGCTATTCATATATAAAACTATTTATGACTGAATTCAGTAAAATCGTCATGTAAACTCACTGCATCCGAGAGGCCGCATCTCAGCATTCTGCGTGTAGACCTGCGAGATGTCGGCGATGCGGCGGCACAGGATGTGCACGGGTATGTCGGTGCCGTACTTGTACTGCCAGTTGGCCGCCTCGTACCGCGCGCGCTGCACCTGCGACCGGCTGTCCGCTGCGCACACCCACACATATTTATACATTTCCTTAGCCAAAACTATAATCGCCCCTACTTACAGGTATTCAACAAATAAGCTAAAGATCCCCTCTACTTTCCCTGACAATAACAACACGTACAGGCTTACTGACGTAATTGTTTTCACGAGATACTCGACTAGTTTTAAGCCACGCTAAAGGCCCATATTCATGAGCAGCATTCCGCAACACGCGACGCGGCGACTGTCGCGCTGCTACTCAAGCATGGCCTCTAGCATGGCTTGAAACTAGTCAAGTATCTCGTCAAAACAATTACATGAGAAAGCCGAAAACATAAATTTAGTCAAAGTCTCACGAAAGTTATAATAAAAATAAAATAAGAATTGTCAAAATTGGTCCAGGAGTTTTTGACTATGTGCTTCATTTTGCTATTCATTTTTATATTATAGATAAGGTCTGAAAGTCCACCTGTTACTTACTATCTATCTGCACTGATCCCAAGACACCTAAATAATTTCGGTTGGAGCTTTAGCTTTGTGTGAAATTGTCCACTTTATAGGACTGTCATCTCTAAAATAATTTTATTGTTTCTGGGAAGTACTTATTGTTGATGTTCAAAACCAGTGTCATCTAACCTTAACAGTTACATACACATCATCACACCTGTTTTCTGAAGTGGCAAGCAGAATTTCATTGCTTTGTTAAGCAATTTCTTTTTGTTTTTTTTTTATAAGTTTAAGTCACATTGTGCGGAAATCAGTTGCCCATCCACCACACCAACTGTTCAGTCATATGATTGATATATATATATAATGTCCGTAATATGAATATACAAACACACAGGACATGGTTCTGATCGATCGATTAGATACTCTTTGTAGGTGTTTTCAATATGGGATTTAATTTATTAAATCCCATATTGAAAACTAATATTTAATAACATATTTGAGTAAAAAGTACCTTTTATGCTATTGTGATTACTTCGAAATTACTTACCAATCATTCCCGTCATAACTGCTCCGATGCGTTTAGTGAGAGGAAAGAGATGCGTGACCGAGGCGGGATCGAGGAGGCGGTCAGGCACCTTGCGCTGAGCTGCCACTACCGCAGCGTCTGTGCCCCGCAGTGCTACAGATGTCAGCCCACCTTGGTTGATGGCTTTTAATGCATATTCTGTCAAATTGATTTGGTAAATAAATTAGTGTTAGAGCGGCATTCACATTTTGTTTACATGATTGTTTCATCATGATCATGACTGTACAATTTTTTTATACTAAAATGTCCATTTAAGTAAATGTATGTATGTGAGATTGCCTTTCTACTATTGTTTGAAAATAAATAGTTATTACTGAAGTGCACTGTGCAAGTCATTCCTTGTCACCGGTAGTAAAAGCTAACTTACCAACTTGATAGAGTCGCCCTTCCGGAGAGAAGATAGTAATGTGCCTGTCAAATCCTGCACTGCTCTCTCGTGCCATTTTATAATAATTATTTTAATATGATTATCGTAATAAAATCCAGCAAATAAAACTTCAAGAAACCAAAATTCCGAAGTAAAGAACCGACAAGTACGACAACCTACTTTGACAGCAAATTCTAAGCATAGACGAGTTTCAATTTCCAATTGTCATTGGAGTTGTCTATGGATATATGCGTTGGGTTTGGGTGGGTGTGACCTTCGGCTTAGGTGCAAGTGCAACCGTGCAATACTAATCTCTGGAGTAAATTCAGTAATGTCAGTATTAATATTTTTGAATATTTCACTCAATTTTTCGGGTTCATTACGGCTTTATTCGTTTCTTATTGACTCACACCTTTTATTTCGTTACATTGGATAAAGTGGTTAAAGGTTGGATAAGCTATGGAATTATATTATGGGAAAATAGCACCGACTCGCATATCATAACATCTAAGTCTTTATAAAAAGTAAATCCAGAGAAGAGTAGAAAGAGTAGAATCAAGAATAAAGTATTATTGAACAAACTGATAAAATGTAAAACGGTTATTAAAAACAACATTAGACAAATACCCACATTTAAAAAATTGTAAATAAGTCCGAAACTACCCATACGAGAACTACCCGGAGGACACGGTAGATTATAATAATATGAATGTCTATAGACTGGTGGAGGACACAGCTTCTCACTTCCATTTCCTTTCGCTCTGCACTTGACTATGACTTACGACGATCAAAGTCGGGCGTGGGGAGAAGCTCTCATCTCATCTATTTCTGACGCCCGGATTCCATATTTCCTTATTTGTTTATAGTATTGTATTATTGTGTTTATAATATAAAGTAACTACAAATATTGCACATACATAGTTGAACTCCAACATAAATATCTATAAAAAAAGTTTATGTAGATAGGGAACGCGATTCTCGTTCTCCTTGAGGATCTCGAGGTGAGAGGATTGCTTAATACCGACTCTCACGAGTCGAGTTGCAAGAATTTACACCATCACCTATTAATACAATGTTCGTGTATATACCACAAACTATGTAGAGTATCAGTATAAAGATTGTTGTTTTTGTCACAGGATGAAATCAGAGTTCATGTCAGTGTCAAAAACTTTACATAATATATATGACAGGTTGTCATTGTCAAATTTGTATTTGTCATATTAATACAGGTGTGGAGGAGGTTGGCTGTGTCTTTTGAATTTCATTTCGATTTATTTAGTGTAGTAGATCGGTCATCGTTTTATTTTAAAAAATAAAACACATATAACATTTTTACGATACTAAAAAGACAAGGATAACAAAACATTACAGTTTTAATTTAGTAATCGGTGTATTTTTTACAATCAGTATGCAAGAAACCGTTACAAACTCTAACGAAAGAAAGTCATTGTTCTCGTCGTTCTTGGAGGTGCTGGAGGCTCGTGATAAACAGGCCCAGATCGACAAACAACTACAGGAAGAAAAATATCTTAGGAGAACCCAGCGAATTTATGATTTTCATGGTAATTAAATATTTATTTTCATTCCTATTCGAAATATTGTTATTAACCGATAAATATATTAAAACCTTGACCTTTTTGAAAATATCAAACATATTTTCTAACGGTCGGGGTCGGGTTTTTGTTTCTTATTTGGTTTGTACTTACTGAGGAGCCCATTTTTATTTATTATCTCACCTAATGTGGTGTATGGCTCCTAATATGAATCGTTTTTGGCAGCAAGCAAATAAAGTTTAACACAAAATTCAGTGATTATTTAATTGTAATCACTTAACTAAGTTATGTAGGAGGTGCATATTCCTAATATGCTGTTTAGTATTTTATAAGACCACATATTAAAACAAATGCTTGCACTACAGTATCACAACACATAATTTTGTTTTGGATATAAGTCGAAATTTTAATCTGAAAAAACTCCCAAATGGATGCTGGTGTCCTCTGTGACATCATCACCTCTTTGCCTTTCCATAGCACATACCCTAAGCATGCTGCGGCGTCCCCTCACCCTCTCCATTATACAACATAATTCCTATGCTTAGGGAATAATATAAACAATGAATGAACTTGCTTACAAAATTGTTGTTATTATTTGAATTATAGATAAATTAAGTTAATCATAATTGGCTTATAATACAAAGTATATTTTAGTATATTTAGCTAATGGTGTTCTACTTCTTTTACTTTCCTTAGGTGATTCAGCATTGAACAAATGTATTTCAACTATTCCAAATAATTTGCAGTCAGCACAGAGTGCCTAGATATATAATTCAGGGTCCCCCATATTACAGGATTCATGTAATCATCGTCATCACTTAGCTTGTAATTCTTCTACTAGTAGATGTAACTGATTTCAAGCTGATGTTATAGCATTATGTATGTGCTGTAAAAATTCATGAAGTTATAATTCTTTTACAGTAAAAAAGTTTTGCTTGTCCAACTCATTGATTTTGCACTGTATTCTGTTGCTAAAATAACATAAAAGGTACATGTTCCTTTGCATGTAATGAGTTGTACAATAGACTAGGTTCTCACTTGTGTGGAATTGCAGAGCGACAACGGCGCGAAGCGGTGGAGCTGCAGCGCTGCTTGGAGTACGTGTCGCAGCACGCGCACGTACTGGAGACCGTGCTGCGCGGCGCGGCCGGCGGCGGCAGCGACGCGCCGCTGAGCGCAGCACTGGTGCGCCAGGCCGCCGCGCTGCAGCGCTGCATGGCGCAGTGTGTCGCCAACGCCAGTCGCATCCGACAACTGCTCACCGCGACTCACCAGCCGCAGATGGATACCATGCTTGCTAAGATGGTGAGTCTCTTTATATCGCGCCCACAGTAGATCTAAGTGTTGTTAAAATTTTACTTAATATCTCTATACGTATTCTATATTTACTAAATATATTATTGGACATATACAGACCGAATGGTGTGAAGACGACACAGAAGTAGAGCACATTTGTATTCATTCCGCGGGAGACATAAAAGACGATTAAGAAATTACTGATTCGACAGAGATCAGGCATCAACACTTTCCAAAACACCTAAACTTTTTGTATCGCAATCTGCAACCTCAAATCCGCCTGTCAAATGTTATCACTTGCAATATGTTGCAATCACTTTCGTAGAGAACGCCTATTGTCCAGCTGTGGAAGGACACAGGCTGCTGATTATAATGATAAGCTCGACAAACTTTGAAACCTGCACCACCTAATGAATTAACAACTATGTAAACTATAAAACGACCCACATCTATGTATGAGACGGTATGGGAGATTTTAATTCAGTATAATTCAGTAACCTTTCAACAGAGGGATAAAAATACACTTGCAAACCCCTTTTTTTTTGTGAGGGGAAAATCATCAAATGACTTCTCTCGCCCAGGGCCGGGCGGGAGGGAGTGTCAGACTCTTACTGACTAAAAACCCCCCTGTTCCTTCTCCTGCTCTGGGCCGAGGTCGCGGTGCCTCATTGCGCTTACCCCGCAACCCCGGCTAAACCCCTGCCGCTTTATTAGACATATCCATATATATTATAATTATAATCGTTATAAGTCATTATGGCAATTGTGCAGTAATGTATACATGTCGACGATATTCTCACGTAGGTTACAAAAATATGTAAAGACTAGATATTGTGTTTACGACACTGTGAGACAATTTTGAATTGTTCTCTTTGCATGTATAAAAAGGGGTTTACAGGCAGTATTTGCACAATGAAGTGTACTTCTACTTTACTATACTTACCAAATACTCAAGTAAAAAACATTTCTGCGGTGTAAGATTAGTATTAAACTAAGAACAATACGTAGGTAGTCCATCCGTAGTGGAAGATGCGGGAGTTAGTTCGTTAACAAATAGATTAAAACGTTACAAGCCACCCATGGTGTAGATGTTGCGGTTGCGTGACGCCAACGGTCGCTAATGAGCTCAACTGCTTGCCCTGGATCCCGCGAGGCTTCCTGCTTTGCCAAATATACACGTTTTCAACGTACACAACCGCGCCACCACGGTCGCGATTGCGACGACTGCGATCTCCAAGATTACCCTAGTAGGTATAGGAGTGATCTCGTCGTTTCATTGGGCGCTAAAAATAATATTTAAGCCTTTATTGACTCCCGACCGGCATTGAAGGCAATTCCTCCGTTATCCTAGCACCGGTGACCTACGTAGAATGAAGCAGAACTGGTCAGCAGACAGATTGCTGTTGGAGTACTTTGGCTTTTGATAATTAAGTTGGTGTCACAATATGAGGCCGCGATGCGCGACAGTTTGTCGACCGGGCCGCGACGCGCTCGCCGGCCGACGACCCTAGTTACGCGATCTGCCTGATTACCTTTGTTCCAGATCGGCCACGATCAGGGTCAATCCGCAACACTCTCCTGTCGCGCTCATTCTGCCTCCGCTACTTATGCGTACACATTGTTAGTTCATAGAAATATATAGGCCCCTGGAAGGTGCTATAGTTTTTTTTTTTTTTTTTAATGTAATAAGTAGGCAAACGAGCAGACGGATTACCTGATGGTAAGCAATCAACGCCGCCCATGGACAACCGCAACGGAGGAGTTACGAGTGCGTTGCCGACCTTTTAGGGATTAGGGATTTGGAGATTTAGGGATTGGGGAAGGGGAAGGATTGGGCCTCCGGTAACCTCACTCACAAAAGGTGAGGTGCTATAGTTCAACTAAGCGACATTTTACTCTTATTTGTTTGGTATTTACTAACCTACAATATTTTTATACATAACGCTGCAAGCCCCAGTGTAAAGTTTGAATGATTACATTAAATCAAATATTTTTTGTAAAAAAGTATTAACTAAAGAACGTCAATATTATATTTAAAAAAAAAATAGATATGGCTGGCAAACAACTCTGGGATCAGTCTCTTAAAGTTCAGATAAACACAAACATGTGGGAGAATCGTGCAAGTTTATTATGACGTGGTCTTTTGGGGAAAGAACTACACCAGCTTCTGTGGACCTGTTCTGTTATCAGGCACGCATGTGTCAGTTCACAACCAACTCAACTAACGGACGTTGCCGAATCGTACGGCAAAAGAACTTTTGGATAGGTCGCACAAACACTGAAACCGTCTGAACATAAATAATAATTAGTTAAAATGCGAGGCAAAATCTCTCACGGCCTTATACAAAAATACGTTGATTTTGACATAATCAAAATGACCTTTGCAAATGTTACAGCAGATTTCTTCTAAGTAGGTAGTCTTTTTTCATTTTATATTAGGTAGGATGGGTTTTCAGTAAGGTTAATCTTTTCTGACACTTAAATTTATTAAGGATCCAATTGTGACGTTTTTCCGTTTTCATAATGTCTAATTCACCGGCGGGTCTTTATAGCTAGTTAAGTATATAATTATACTTAATTCTGATTGGGGTGCCGCAAGGTAAGTGAGGCAGTTTCTGTCGAGCACACGGCGCGGTATGAAACGGCTGCGAGCAGTAATGTGTCATCAGTGACCCGCGATGAAATCACACGGCTCGCCAATTACCACACGTTATTCAATTGGGCACGCGCTTCACAATTATGGCCTTAATGTATCATGCGGTACCTGCTGGCACCGGCCACCCTGCTCGTCAACTCGCCCAGCAGCCAAGCGCGCTGAGCACACAACGTTCATCAGGAGGTACCACTGTCACTGTTGGCATTGGATCTCTTCATAAAGGTTGTTCTTATGACATATTGTAGTGTGCAGCTCGCCTAACCTTATATTTGTAAATGCACACACTAAATTATGACATTATTGCACGAATTGTTGACTTGAACAGTTCTCTTTTATTTTGCCTACATCACTCCAATACAATATATTGTTTAAAGTTTTACTATTTCTACTCACCATTGCAACATTTAAGTATGTTGTACTTATATTTATAAGGCACTATGTTGTGATGGCAAATTCGACGACGGTAAATGATTTTCCAAGCGAGGCGAGGGGCGGATCGGCCATCGCTCCCTCACCTTTTGTAATTACCTGCGTCTACCTCACACGATGTCATCGACACGTGATCGTAAAAGCATAACGGGAAAAAGTGTAACAATAAAACAATCGACACAATCATAATAACCTTGTATTTTTGTAGGGTTTTGCATGTAAATGGAAGTTCGCTTTCTAATGACTGCGCCGGCATCGTGCGCTGGCTGCGGTAATGAGTGTGAAAGTGCGCGGACTTGTGTACTATAAAATAAACGGAGCGCCAATAGAAGGGCGCAATATGGTTTTTGACGTGTTGTTTGTCATCGTGTCATGTGAGCTATGGTAGGTTGGTAGGTTTCGTTGCAACAAACTAAATAATATTTATTGTGGTGTGTATGTTACATTATCTGATATTCCAACTCGTGGTGTACGGCTATGGCAGAATAAACGGTTAGGCTGTATAAGAAAACACGAAATGCCCGTTGTACACTCTGTAACACAACGCTCGTTGCTCGCCGCGCCGGGCTCCGGGTGGTGACTTAGCTGCACTTTAGTTTATCCGTTTTTCAGGTTTCAATGTGAGGGGATTGTCAGACTTTTACTGATTTAAAACCCCTCCGTTCCTTCTGCTCTAGGCCGAGAACGCGGTGCCTTATTGCGCTTACCCTGCAACCCCGGCTGAACATTAACCCTACAAGGCACCGTCTACATAGCCTGGCCATAAATACTGTTACAATTAAAAATAAACAAAATATTACATTTGAATTTGGAATCTGTCATTTTTATATAATTTTTCATTGTGTTTTCTTATTTTGGCGCCAATAAATTGTTCAATATTTTGCGATATTAAAATGGAGTGGGGTGATAAAGAGAACCGAATCGCTGTGATTGCATTACACAAAGTGGGTATGGAGCCAAATGCAATTTTTAAAACTCTCCACACGCTTGGCATTAGTCAAATGTTTGTGTACCGGGCTATTAATAAGTACAATGAGACCTCCTCTGTTTGTGACAGAAAAAGATCTGGTCGTCAGTGTTCGTACTAAATAGGTGGTCAAAGCAGCAAGGGAAAGAATTCGAAGAAATCCTGTCCGAAAGCAAAAGATTTTATCTCGGGAGATGAAGATAGCACCTAGAACCATGTCGCGTATTTTAAAAGACGACTTAGGACTTGCAGCCTTTAAGAGACGCACAGGACATTTTTTAAATGATAATTTAAAAAAGAATAGGGTGATAAAATCTAAATAACTACTGAAGCGGTACGCAACGCAAAGGGAGGTCACAGAAAAATTTTGTTTACGGATGAGAAAATTTTTACAATTGAGCAACATTTGAACAAACAAAATGACCGTATTTATGCTCAAAGCTCTCAGGAAGCTTCTCAATTAGTCGACAGAGTGCAACGTGGGCATTATCCGACTTCAGTGATGGTTTGGTGGGGTGTTAGCTATGAAGGAGTGACTGAGCCATACTTTTGCGAAAAAGGTATCAAAACATCGGCACAAGTGTATCAAAATACCATTCTTGAGAAGGTAGTTAAGCCTCTTAACAACACCATGTTCAATAACCAACAATGGTCCTTCCAGCAAGACTCGGCGCCGGGTCAAAAAGCTCGGCCGACGCAGTCTTGGTTGGAAACAAACGTTTCCGACTTCATCAGAGCTGAAGACTGGCCGTCGTCTAGTCCCGATTTTAATCCGCTGGATTATGATTTATGGTCAGTTTTAGAGAGTAGGGCTTGCTCTAAACGTCATGATAATTTGGACTCCCTAAAACAATCCATACGATTGGCAGTGAAGAATTTTCCCATGGAAAGATTGCGTACTTCTATTGATAACTGGCCTCAACGTTTAAAGGACTGTATTGCAGCCAATGGAGACCACTTCGAATAAGCTTTTTATGTTTTAAATTGTTTTATATTTATGTATTAAACTTACATACTGTAAAAGTAATAAATGTTATTTGCAATAGAAAAAACATTTTTTTTATTTGTTACAGTATTTATGGCTAGACTAGGTATAGTGATCTATTTGATCTTGTCAGGCGCGCGCGGAACGCAACGCGGCCGAAGATAGTCTCTCGATCACCAACGCCCTTAGTGTTCCTACTGCTGCAGCCGGGCGAGAAGGAAGATATCTCCCTCACGCGAAAACAATTATACGCTGGATCTAGATTAATGTGTGTCCAAGAGTTCTTCTTCATGCAGAGGATATACCGAGTACCGAGATTTCACTACGGTTATTTGCCAATCTACAAACCACTGAAACCGGCCAGAGATTTAAAAAGTGCATTTGCAAGGAATACTGTCTACAGCATGATGTCTGTGCTTTAAAAATAAATTATACTTCCAAAAGCCATTCGAGCTTAGATACTTATTTCATTTTAGAAAACAAATATAAGTTAATTTTGTGTTACCCTAAACGTTCATAGATTTTGTAAGCATTAATTAGTAAGATACCCGATGGTCTGAATGAGCGCTTCGATACAAATTATGTGTTTTTTTACAGAAAGCATTTATTTTACAAATTTCATTATAAGATATTGGTAACTATTTACAACTAGCTCTTACCCGCGGCGTCGCTCCCGTCATTTGACTACCTACCCTACTCTGCCTACCCTACCTACCCTACTCTACTTACCCTACCTACCCTACTTTACCTACCCTACTATACCTACCCTACTATACCTACCCTACTCTTCCTACCCTACTCTACCTAACCTACTCTTCCTACCCTACTCTACCTACCCTACTCTACCTACCCTACTCTACATACACTACTCTACCTACACTACTCTACCTACCCTACCCCACACTACCTACCCTACTCTACCTACCCTACTCTACCTACCCTACTCTACCTACCCTACTCTACCTACCCTACTCTACCTACCCTACTCTACCTACCCTACTCTACCTACCCTACTCTCGCTACTCTACTCTACCTACCCTACTCTACCAACCCTACTCTCCCTACCCTACTCTACCTACCCTACTCTTCCTACCCTACTCTACCTACCCTACTCTACCCACCCTACTCTACCTACCCTACTCTACATACACTACTCTACCTACCCTAGTCTACCTACCCTACTCTACATACACTACTCTCCCTACACTACTCTACCTACCCTACCCCACACTACCTACCCTACTCTACCTACCCTACTCTACATACACTACTCTACCTACACTACTCTACCTACCCTACCCCACACTACCTACCCTACTCTACCTACCCTACTCTCCCTACTTTACTCTATCTACTCTACTCTACATACACTACTCTACCTACCCTACCCCACTCTACCTACCCTACTCTACTTACCCTACCCCACTCTACCTACCCTACTCTACTTATCCTTCTCTACCTATTTTATCCTATCCTATGTCCTTCTCCTAGCTCTAAACTACCTCCCTGCCAATTTTCAGCCAAATCGGTTCAGCCGTTCTTGAGTTATAAGCGGTGTAACTAACACGACTTTCTGTTATATATAGTATATAGATTCCAAGGAAATTTACACATTTCCTAGGATATGTACGCATTGAATAGTTTTTGAAACAATATTTTATACATTTCCTAATCAGTAGGTAACGGAATTGTACACATTTCCTTGGACTTCTAAACAATTCCTTGATTTCGTAAAAAAATCGTGATAAAATCAAATGTTTGCCAACAAGTTACGGCCTATCTAGAAATCATTGGGGGAGATCTGTGTTGAGTACCAAGTGCATGTCTTGTGGCTGATATGATGATGATTGGGCGTATGTATGGATTGGTCAACTTGTAGCACACAGGACTCATCGTCGGACTGGTGAAAGAGGGGTTGCAAATAGTTGCAATACATCTTCATCATCATCTTCCTTGTCCCGTTTTATTTGGGGTCGGCGCAATATGTTTTTTTCTTCTATTCTGTCCTGTCACTCGTCACGCTATCGCTAACTCCTGTCTTCCATATCACTTCTCACATAATCCATCCATATTTTCTTTGGTCTCCCTCTCCCTCTCCATCCATCCACATTTATACTCATGACTATTTTTGCAAAGAGCAAATAGTTGCAATACGAACGTAGGAAAATAGAAGGTGTAGTATACCCCACACTACCGCCATTGGATGAACGTGCACATTGTGAATTTATTTCAGACAGTCAGTACACAATGCTAAAGCACTATTAGAATCCGCCTAATCAAATCACAAGAGGTCAATTCGTAATTACATGGACGAAAATTAGTAATTAGACATTATATGGAGCCAGTGTTCTGTTATTAAAGCTAATGGGAGAGGGTCACGGTCCCCATTAAAGTCCTCGGTAAAGATGCGGTAACAGCTATATTTAGTTGCAAGTGGCCAGATCAGCGTGTTTGTGCCGTGCAGCAATGATTGTACGTGCGGTGATGTCGACGGTCGAAGTGGTGGACGTGGAGCAGCAGTGAGGCGGTGCAGCGACCGCGCGCTGGCGTCTGACCCTGACCGTCACGTCAGCTCTATATATAGGCGGTGCACGACGCTCGGTCGCTAGGCGCTCCACTTACGTCATTACGTCGCCACATATAGCGTACTACTAACATATTGGCAACACATACTATACATAGTCCGCGTGTCTGCGAGATAAAAATATTTTTATTTGCAATAAAATCAGTAATGTTTGATTTGTTAACTTTACAGTGAGTAAACATATTTTAGTTAAAGTAAGTTACAAGGGCAGTATCGTATTGCACACTGGCTGTCCTCGCCCAGCAGCTGTGCTGGTGCCGTGATAGAGGAAGAGCGAGAGCGGGGTGTCCGATACTGACGGGACAACGGCAGTATCGCAATGAAATAATGGGTTTTATGTTTGTAAATAGGCCATAAAACACCTTTTCCGCCTCATCGATCCATATGTATACCTGCAATAGCATACATACTTAACTGAAACTATTGATTTAATCTTCACCAATAGAAGTCGCCTCTCTGGCGTAGGCCTCCCCCAAATAAACCTCCCAAAAAGAATCTATAATTCTGTAGTTTATTTCCATCTTCTGCCATCTATTCTTCATAGTTGTCTATTCCAAGTCTAGTTTTTACTTCTGCATTGTAGATTTACAGTAGCGATATTGTTTGTTACTTTTAAATTTAGAATTTATATTAATCATACTTTTTTCCATTTTTCTTTGGCAAATCGCTAGTTTCTTCGCCTATTTTCTCAGGGACCATGTTAGGCAAGCATATGTTACACATGGTAGCATCCTCACTTCAGAGTGTTCCGTGGAACAATAACTATTCCAAGCTATCGCAGGCACACTGTTATGGAAGCCCTACTCCTCGAAGAAGCTTTGAGGAGTAGCTAGAGAGACGCTATGGAGTCCACCTTCCACCTGATGTAGGTACTTACCGGGCACGGAAGCATCGCATAGGTACGCCCTGGTGTCCATTAAAATAGGGTAATTCATTCGAAACTTAGTTACAAAAAAAACCGTTAGATAAACAAAATCTCTCGCTCTCCCCATCGGCGAACTTACTTGTGTGTACAAGTAAGTTCGCCGATGGGGAGAGCGCGTGTGGTATGATTCAATAAGTAAAAAGTAATTAGGAAGGTAACTATTGTCACGTGCGAAGGAAATACTGCTAACGATTGTAATAAAAAAATTAAAGCTATTTATTTAAACAATTATGTAGGTACGTGCAATTTTTGTTTGCAGGAAGCCGAGCTACGCACGTGGACAGCGTTCCTGCATCGCGCCGTGGACGCGACGTACAACACCGAGGTCGTCATCGACAATTTGCAGAACATGATCGGTGAGTACCCGCGCCACTGAGGGAGTCTTAATTCTTCGATAACTTGACTTAAGCAAAATAATGTTTTATTTTTGTGTAATAAATATCGTGACACACACCCACTGAACTTATTCATGAGTAGAGTTGGCTGCGCCACGTCTACGAAATATTAGTGAACCCATTGAAAAATATACTTACAGGTGTTCCTGGAAGTATGGATGTAATCAAAAATGTCTCTATGAATGTTGCTCCAATCCGTAGCTGTTCGAATGTTATCAGCAATTGCTACTTTGATTAGTGATTTCTCAATATGCTTAAAGAACCGATCAGCAACAAAAACCTATCGGAAGCATCAGTGTAATTAAAAATTTTAGACGTTGCGCAAACTTTTGTGAAAAGTTACAAAGCTTTCTGTTTGTCAAAAATATAATTGGCTTTCATAGAATAAATATTACACAGGAGAAAGTTAACGTTGCACCAGAAAACTCAAAATACATACAGATAATTGGGAATAACCTCAAAACTTAAAGATTAATACATTTTTAGTAACAAGCACGTCATACGTCATCGTTTTAGTTTCCAGCCATTAGTCGCTACACATTATGCCAATGCCATTGTGACATAGTTTTATTTTTTGTGGGAAAATCATCAAGTGAGTTCTCCTGCCCAGGGTGGGGCGGAAGGGAGTCTCGTTCTCTCACTGAATAAAAACCCCCCAGTACCTTTTCCTGCTCTAGGCCGAGGCCGGGGTGCCTTATTGCGCCTACCCCGCGACCCTGGCTGAGCATCAGCCCGCCTGTGGTGGTTCATTGATGATTAATGCTCAAACTTTCTCCTTGTGAGAAGAGCCCAGCAGTGACAAACTACCAACCATGTAGGTGTATAATGTTGCGTTTATTGATTTAGTTTTAGTATTTAGAGATTTTGGGATTGGGCAGGGGAAACCTCGCTCACACGGTTATACACAAGTTTGTTGTTGTTTCACGCCGGTTTACTATGAAGCCGTGGTAACACTCAGAGCTGACCCATTCGTGCTGAAGCATGGCTCTCCCACATTTAGACCTTAGACTTTGGAACGACATGCTGAATGAAAACAGAAATAGATGACTTTCTCTATGCCCCTGTTTGATTCGAAATATTCGAATCTATCTGTGAGTAAACTTAATACAAAATAAATGGTTACGGTCGAATTGACAACTTCCAGGACGACTTCTTTTTCAGAAGTCGTTTAGAAAAGAAAAACACATGGATCGACCAAGTAGTTGTATGTGATATATTTCTTGTACAATATTGTCCAAATTGAGTTCTCTATTTTCTATTCTGATAAGACATTGATTGAGTAACTACTTCCTTTCTAATATGTGTCATATATTTACGAAACATATTTACATCTCGTCTCTGTTTCTTGCCTTAGCGACCCCTTTTAAAACCTTCCAATCAGTCACATGAGCCAGTTCTGGCTACCTAAATATACAATTTCTCTACCGACCAAATGTAAAGAGGTTATAGAGAATGGTGGCTAGTTTATGGTGTATCGAGCCAGTGACGTAGTATCAACAAAGTTGTGTTTGCCGCAGCGGAGCAGCGGCGCTGCGTGCGCGAGGTGTCGTCCAGCACCGTGTTCACGTCGCTCACAGGCGGCGGGGGCGCGGGCGGGGGCGCGGCCGCGGCCGACGCGGGCCCGCCAGAGGGGGACGCGCCTGCCTCGCCGCTGGGGCGGCGCGCTCCGTCGCTGGCCTGCAGCACGCCCCTGTCGCGAGACTAGCGGCGCGCCCCGCGCCCCCTCGCCTGCCCCCTCAATCGTGTGCATAAACCTCTCCACCAACTGTTAATCAAGAAATGCTAGATATCCTTGTGTCTGTGTTTTGATCTTGAAGGTAAACGTTTATACATTTGTCAAAGCAGCTTGGTTCAGTGCGGAGCTGTCCGGCCCCGCTACAGATTATATGCAGACAATGTTGCACGCTATGTAATGTTGTTACCAGCCGACAAAAATAGCAATCGCTCAAGTGACTATCGACGCGGACGTAACGCGTAACCTTGCCGTATTTTGATTTATATTAACGTTATATATTAGTAATGAATATTCGACCTCCAACTGGAGCCTCGGCACTCGACGTGTAGTGCTCAAGTGTACGCCACGTGGTGCCGAGCCCCGAGTCGACGATGTTGTCAATCGAGTACAAATGCCGAGGTGTGTAACCCAGCACTGCCTTATAGTGTGTGTTCAGGCAGACAGTGTAACGAATAATATTAAATTGTTGTAACTATTCGCTTCTTAAATTATCTAGAGCATACTGTGTTTCTAAATGTACGTATTTATAAATGTTGAATATGTTGCGTACAGATTCAAGGAACGTAACACGACAGGTCCAGTCATACATTGACACTTCGGTAATGGGACCAAACGCCGAGCTCTGCTGTTCACAATCCGCTAGAGACTGCCGCCGCCCGCCGCCGCCTGCCGCCTCATTAGTAGTCAGCAACATAAAATCGCGCAACGTTACACCGAAGTTGATTTAACTTTACTTTTTAAGGTACGAAAGACGGCGTTCAATTTGAATTCAAGTTATTATAAAATTATTATGGAACTCGTAACTGCACATTGTTCTGGACGACTACATTATAAATATAGTACATCCGAAGGAATCCGTGATAGTGCCACTGGTTCGTTGCTATTTTATCTACAAGGTAGTCCGTATGTTTAAGATCTACAATAGCCGTCTTCAAGTAGCCATCTTACTTACAAATTATTAATCATTAACATTTAGCCATTGATTACATTATGCACTTTGGCGATATCTGAAAACCACATTTAAAAATATTTCAGTGCTTATCAGGCGGTCGGAGCGCTCTCGTTGATTGTTTACGACTAAGCAGTAAATATAATCTTATATATTTTGAATAAGTGAGCTATTAATATTAGAGCGCTAGAGGTCTATGTTACGCCACTCGGTGGATGCTGTGTTCGTGATGCTACGGCTTACTGGAGGCTCTCTCTTTGGTGGAGGCTACAGCTCTAAGCTGTAAGCTGCAAGCTGCAAGCTGCAAGCTGCAAGCTGCAAGCCGTCGGTGGCTTCGTCGTTGTGTGTAGTGGCCGCTCGTGTGGTTGCTTGTTCGCCCCTCGCCTTATGTACGCAGACTTAAAGATCTGATACTAAACAATGAACATGAACTTTTGATACTCTTATTTCACAGTATTACCTTATTAGTCAAATTTTAAGCCGATATATGTATGTGTAAAATATTATTGTTATAGACTATACTATTAACGTTGGATTTATATATAGGAATTATAGTGTGGCCAAATTTTGTCTAGTGTCTGAGTGTGACGCACACGAACTCGTAGAGTTATGAATATCGCTGTGGGCACATGGCGCGGCTCTTCCTCGACTCTTGTGATGGATTGTTGTGTATTCCTGTCACTAACTACTAACCTCTGCACTTTGGCAATGAAGAGAGAAGTAGTGCTGCGCGGTGTTGCCACAACGAAGCCTCTGCCTGTCTACTAGTACATACCGATGGGAGCTCCCGTACCTACTTTACTGAGATGCTCACTCGCGCTAGTTGTTTTCTTCAATATTATATTATACTTGTTGTACCGAATACATGCACCTTCAGTCGACTAGGTACTGCGCCCATCCACATTCCAGACTTTCTTGTAAATTTTGATGTACAATTTATTGAAAAATAAAATGATTATTTTAAAGTAATAATTTTATTTGTACCTTTTGTCGAAGTTATACATTAATCGAATGTTTTACATTATAAGTAAAGTAGATTACATAGTAAGTATATTTATCATTAATCAGACTCTGGTTGGCAAGTTCGCTCGAGCGGCGTGTGGCGACATCTAGCGTTGGCGCTTGTTGTCTGCTATACTCGGGCAGTACTACAGTACTACCGCACTACACCAGGCCTCGGACGTACCGTGGAGTACTGCCGCGACCACTTGTTTTATGGAGAATCAATAGTACATACAGATAGTAAGCTATTGTCTGCTTTACGTTTCTACCTTGGAGCAGCTGACCTAGGTCACAAATCCCGAGTTCATACGTAAAATATTTGTAAGTATAGTGTGGAATGGTAGCACCGAGGAAGGTACCATGACCTTTATAAATAAATACAATATACACATTTATGTTAAGCATACATCATAGTATATAAAAGTAATGGTTTGTATATTATGTAGACGTATCTACTATATGTGACGATAGCAGTACGTCGTGCGACCAAAGCGTACAGTGTCGTCCGCCGACAGCGCGGGGCCTGCAGTAGTACGGCGGCGGAGGCCGGGACTCGTGGCTCCGTAGTGACGAGTACTGCAGAGCTGCGACGTGCTCACTGCCACTATTCGCACTAATGTAGGCGCACTGCATCTTAAGGTTCGAGTTTCGTTCGTGCGTCGTCTCTCGGTAAACTATTCCAAGATATTAAATACATAGTTAAATCTAATCGCTATTTACACTCGGCGAGCCGGCGACGGTCAGGCGAGAGCGGGCGGCGGCGGGGGCGCGGGCTGGTGGGGCGCCGGGTGCGGGGGCGCGGGGTGCGGGGGCGCGGGCGGCGGCGGGGGGCGCGCGCGCGCGGGCGCCAGCACGTGGTGCGGCACGCAGACGGTGCGTCCGGCGGCGCGCACGGCCACGCAGCCGCGCCGCGCCGCGCCCACGGCCACCACCACGTCGCCCGCGCGCAGCCGCACGCCGCCCGCCACCCACTCCGCGCCCACGCGCCGCGACTGCGGGTAGCCCAGCTTCACGCCGCCCGCCACCGTGTACGCGCGCGACGGCGGCAGCGGCGGCGGTCGCTCCTAAGGCACATCATCGCGCGTTACTCTCTCCCGCTGCGTCTTACGCGCCGAACGCGACCGACGGGCACTACTCACCAGGTCGAGACCGAACAGCGAGCACGTCCGCTTCACTAGTGTCGGGTCACACTTGTCCCCGGGCTCCGGGGGAGGCGTGCCGGCGATGGGCGCCGGGCGCGGCCGCGCGGGCCCCAAGGCGGCGGGCGCCGGCGCCGGAGGGGGCCCGCGGACGGCGCGCGCGCGGTAGCGGCGCCAGGCCGCCTGGATGCACTCGGCGGCCGCCTGCCGCCTCGCGCGCCTCATTCTCTCCAACACCTGTTGACATGTAGACAATATCTCTCATCAAAAAATCATACTTCTGGAAATGAACTAAACATTCAATCCTTAGCTATTTACGCAGTACCTAAGTAATAATTGAAGGAAAAATATCAGGTTTTGAGACTTAAACTAAACATACACAATGAGTTGAAATTTCAATCATAAAATGGTTAAGTATTAATAATAAATTATGGCATTTATACAATATTTCTGTCCCTGTTCTCGAACATTGAGATGTCACATGTATTAGGATCGAACTACCATCACATTTGCCACCAACAAACCTAGCATTGAGATGACAGATTGATCAAGCCATCGCACAATAATAATTGACATTAACACGAAAAAATAATTATTTAAATACCGTGGTAGGCTTGACGCGTCGCGTGCGTTTGTGCAGCGGAATGTTGTTGAATTTAAAGATTTTAATTATGCAGATATTTAGTGTATGACGTCGTATAATTGTGTATGGTAAAAAAAATTGTGCACGCAACCATTGTGGAGAAATTCACCAAAAACTGATTCCGCTGGGCGAACGTTGTCCTGGCGGAACTTTTTTTAATCCATAGACTTTAGAAGAAAAGAGATGTATCCAAAAATTAGTGTAGACAATAGACAGTCCGGAGCTGACCAGTCCCAATTGACGGCGCCCGTTCACGAGCATGACACGTACACCAGCATCGTCCAACTCAAACCATAATATAGGGAATCGAGCGATCCAGTGACCGTAAGTGCTATGTTTCATCAAATTTGGAAAAACTCCCTGATCTACACTTCTATTATAAATTAAAGCTAAATAAGGCGCTATAGCTTCTATAAAAGCCCTACACTGCAACAGACATTCTCCAGAGATCCTCTGTAGACTTAACTTTAATGTCTTTAAACGCCTTTATTACTGATGTTTGTGTGACGGGGGTTTGTGTACTGAAATTAGAAATCAGAACGGCATTCTTTAATATTTCTTTTAAGAAGACTAATTGAAAGTGCCGGAGATGATTCTAAGTCCTTCCTAGTTTCAATGGGGATATTCTTGAAAAAAAGTTCGAATCTTGTGCAACTTCCTGATTTACACTAACATGTCCATTTCCGGTATTTAAATTAAATTCCGTGTTATGCAATTTATGTCTGCCTGTCTCATTGTTAATTATTTTTCATGTTTTGTTTTATTTTCAGTGTTCTTAATCTTACGGCTAATGTAAAGAGATTTTGCTTGCTTACAGATCATTTTAAATATTTTTGCATATTTGGACACATGCTTGCTAAAGGCTTCGCTAGTATTAAATGGTTTCAGACCATATAGTTCAAATAACTTTTCCCTATTTCTACGAATACCGGGGGTAGTCCGGTCACAGAATACAAATTTACATTAAATGATTTTACGTTTTAAGGGGAATATATTATCAAATTGGGTTGCTGTTAAATCAAGTTAAAAAGTAGTAGTGTATCCAAAGTAGGTTGGAATGAATAGTGAGTGACCTGTCGCATGCCCTCGCTGAGGAAGACATGTCGCTTGCCGCGCGCCCAGCGCACGGCGGCGGGCGAGGCGGGCGCGGGCGGCGCGGCCGCGGCCTGCACGGCGCGCAGCACGGCGCAGCACGCGGCGCCCGACTCGCGCTCGGCGCCGCGCCGCCAGAGCGCGCGGTAGCGGCCGCTGAAGGCGCGGAAGCGCATGCGGTGCGGGTAGCCGCTCGCCATGAGCTGCGCCGTCTCCAGCACCTGCAGCGCGCGGACCTGGCGCGCCACGGCGCCGCGCTCGAACAGCATGGCCGTCTCGTGCGAGTTGGCGCGCAGGCAGCGCACGAAGTGGGGCCGCGCGTGCACCAGCGTGCGCAGCAGGTTGTCGAGGCGCGTGTGGAAGTCCGCCGTCAGCGTACTGCCGCCCGCCGCCACCGTCGGCGACGCGCGGAACTGCCCGCCCGAGGGCCCGCCCTGCCCGCTCAGAGCCTGGCGCCGCACCCCATTGGAAGCGTGAGTAGGCCTCACAGAGGAATACACGAACGTGGCCATGTACTTCAAAATCAATATTGATAAGTTTGTATACCTTGAGTTCGGCTCCGAACAGATGCGTCGCAAATCCAAACTCGCAGGTTCTGGTGTCGAAGGCAGCGAGCAGGTCGTCGGGCACGGCGTCGCGGTTTGCCTCCAGGAAGTCGGCCGCGTCGTACGTCACCTCCCCGGCGTAGTGGCGCACTGCGAAGCGGCGCGGGTGGGGCGGCCGGGCCTCCGCCAGCCGGGGGTGACCTCTGTTATTAAGTAAATGATTTCGTCATGATGTACAATTACAAAACAGATCGTCTCTACATCTTGACTAAACTATTTTTACTAGTCAGCACTCACTAGTCATTCATATTAGTATATATACTTGTATTCATAAACTGTACCTTGAAAATATCTCGTTAAACCTTTCTTAAACATTTTGAGTTTTGAGAGTCTTGTGATTACACATTATACACAATAATTACATCCTATATCTATGTTCTTTTGACTGTATCCGTCCCGGGTGGGGCAGAGCATGTTACATTCTAATTAAGACCCAGTACAAATCACAAAAAAACAGTTTTGAAAAATACCTGTGCGCAGCCTTGATCCTGGCGACGTAGTGGTCGGGCGTGCCCCCGGCGGCGCACTCGGCGTCCAGCGCCGCCAGCAGGCCGCCGCGCAGCGAGGACACCAGGTCGATGCAGGGTACGTTGTCCACGTAGTCCACCTCCAGCGCGCACGCCACGCCCTCCTCGCGGCACGACTCGGCCGACGACTTGAACACGTGCGTGTTGTAGAAGTGCTGCATGGTCTCCGCGCACAGATTGGCGCACAGATGCTCGAGCCGGCTGGGCGCCGCGTCCTCGAAGCCGAACATGTCCAGGATGCCCACGAAGCCGTCCGTGGCGTGGCGCACGGCGTCGTTGAGCGCCGCCATGGAGCGCGCCCCCGCGCGGCTGCGCGCGCCCCCGCCCGCGCTGCCGCCGGCCGACGACGTGCGCCGCGACGCCGCGTCCTGGTTGTGCACCGACTCGTTGGAGTCCGACGACAGCGTGCCCAGCGTCGAGCCCAGCCGCTTCAGCGAGTTGGCGCGCCGCACTATGGTGGCCACGGTGCGGCAGTACAGCGCCTTGGCCAGCGCGTCGCGCGCCGCCGCCGCCGCCGCCGGCGTGGCGGGCGCGCGGGCCGGGCGGCGCGGCGCGGCGCGCGACACCAGCCCCCGCAGCAGCGCGGGCGCCGCCACGCCCAGCAGCGCGGCCGCGGCGGCCAGCTCGGCCTCGCTGGCGGGCTCGGCGGCCCCGTCGCCGGCCTCCGCGAACTGCACGTTGCCCAGCAGCAGGACGGCGGCCAGCACGCGCACGACGTCCAGGAAGGGGATGCCCAGTATGACGAGGCACGTCTTCCACGCCTGGAACCGCGCCGCGTCCTCGGGCTCGGGCCGCCGGGGGTGCACGGCCGCCAGGTACCTGTCCCATACATATCAAGTGAAACCTATGAACATTCATTGCAAGCACACTTATTATTGGTATGTGTTCGCTGTTACGGCCAACAGTACCAACAACGTTGCTCTAAGCGTCGTCAACCTGTAATGCACCACTCAGGTTGAGGAGGTCGACACCAACTGGACCTTGAGGGTCGACAGCTTGGAGCCGCGTCACAGAACGAACTTCAAGTCGTTCGTGGTGCGAGTTGCGACACACCATCTCACTCATCTCGAGATGTTCCTCAAGGAAGATATCTATCCGAAGGGTGTTGTGTATATAAACTTATACATAGACATTACGGTAGTTTCCAACTAGTTCAATACTTTTATCCAAATTTCAAAAACGATACTTTATTATGAGTATGAAACACTAGTATTTTTGCGTCACATAGCTTACTTATTTCTTAAAAATTAGTTATAAAATATCTAAAATTTAGTATATCGATCGATCGATGAATAAAAGTATAGTTATTTTTTAATATTATATTGTATTGAAACGTCGAATTTATTTATTTTTGACCAAGGAAACTATCCAATTGGATGTCGTCACAAATACTTCATTTTGGGTGTCAAATAACACTAAAAATATATTGTAACGTTCAACTGGTGGATAGTCAGCCGCCACTTGAGCTGTCTCACACCTATCACGAAATTGAAGAGTTTTAAATTTAGTTATTTCTGTTAAAACAATATAAATAATGTAACGAGGCATTAGACGAACTTGTTTCGGTTTCAACACGAGGAGGGAGCGGGTACCTGAGGTCTTGCGGCGAGTAGCCCTCCAGGTGCAGCTGGGCGCGTTCGTCTGCCGTCAGCCCCGCCAGCATCTGGTAGAAGATGTGGTAGTTGCGCTCCCCCGCCGGCGGACGCACCACGCGCGTCTGGTCCAGGAAGTAGCAGTGGATCTTGGTGCGGTACAGCGCGCCGTCCGTCACCTGCACCTCGATGAAGTGGCCCTGCGGCGACAGCGGAGCGGTCAGCGAGGCGGCGGGACAGGCGGGTGGGGGGGAGGGACAGGGGGGGCGACGCTTACGATGCGGCTGGAGTGGGAGTTGGCGGGCGTGGCGGCGGTGCCGAGCGCGCGGAGCACGGTGAAGGCGGCGGCCAGGTGCTTGAAGGCGTCGGTCTCGGGCCCGCCGCCCGCCACGTCGAACAGGCGCCGCAGCAGCACCATGGACGCGTACGTCTTGCCGGACCCCGACACGCCGGACAGGATGATGGCCTGCGGGTAGCCCGTGTCGGCCTGGTGGCGCACGGCGTCCTGCACCAGCCGCGCCAGCTCGGGCCGCTGCGCCCGCGCCGCCGTCAGCGTCAGCGCGTTGCACGCATCCGTGTACGGGTTCACCGCCACCAGCACGGGCCCGATCATGGTCTGGAACGGCACCACGGTTACTACCACAGCTCGGGCACTCCCGTCTCGGCCCCCAATTTCTATTAATATTGTCAAATCCTATAAATATTACAAAGTTCAACTTTGTGTATCAATCTGTCGGTCAGTCCTCTAGTGAAACTATATTTTTGCTCGTTCCAAAATATACATTTCGATGGAGAAGAACGAGCAAGGAACTGCATGCTTACTCGTTTCAACTTTGTTCCATCATTTTGTGAGTCCTGTTACGTGCGAGCAGTACCTTAGTCTTTTGTAACTTTATTACTACATTCTTCAATTTGCCTTGCTTTTCTCGTAGTCTAAGTACCTTTGTCTTGCAGGCGCGATAGCTTTGTTTTATGATATTTATGGCAATTATTATAAATAACCGAAACCTGGCAGGATACCCGACCGAGGTATAGTTTCAAAATGTAGTCGCGTACGTATGGTATATCCATAAGCTAGAGTTGGGGCAAGTAACGCAGTTAGCCCGGGACAATATCCAGACAGGTCGGGCCGAATATGTCGTTGGGAGGTTGTGCACTCACGTAGAACTTGTTGTGGTAGAAGCGCGCCTGCAGCGCACGCACCACGGCGTCCTCCGTCAGCGGCCCGCGCAGGTGGATCAGGTCCTCCACGTCGGCCGCCGCGCCCCCCGCGCCCCCGCCGCCCCCCGCGCCCCCGCCGCCTGCCGCCGCCTGCTTCGGCTGCGGCCAGCGACTCTCTGCGTACAACAATACAATAATAAAATATCAACTTCACCACCCTTCGCACTATGGACATAATAATTAATATTATAATTTCGTGACACATTCGATTAGCCAGTTTGTTAAGTTTGCCGCGCTATGCAGCTCATGAGTGCCCCAAGCATGGCTTAAATGTAGTCGAGTTTGTCATCAAACTGTTACGTAAGTAAGGAACATAATAAAAGTCAACTTTCTCCTACATTTCTGCGGTCTTTGCAATAATTCCCGCACAGCAATCTAAACACGTTAACGTTGGACATTTCCACAAAAAATATTTAAACTTACAAATAGCCGCAGAAATCATGAAAGTTATCATAATCTCTTTACTACTGATATACGTAGAGTCTGCCTCCCGTTACACCAAGGTGTCTCATTGAATGCACGACAGCCTTATACTGTCAGTGCTGCTATCAGAAGTTGAGAGCCTTGTACTAATAATGAGCGTACAGACCTGGCGAGGGAGCGGGTGGGGCGGGCGGGGCGGGGGGCTGCGCGGCTGGGGGCGGCGGCAGAAGGTGCGGGGCGCGGGGAGGCACGGCGGGCTGCCCCGCCCCTGCCGCGCCCCCGACCGCGCTGGCGCCCCCGGCAGTACTGGCGCCCCCGGTAGCGCTGGCGCCCCCGGCAGCGCTGGCGCCCCCAGCAGCCGCTGCGCCCCCGGCGCCCACGAGCAAATGGTTCCGCAGCGACACGAGGTCTGAGCTCAGACACAGCAGGCGCCGCTGTAGATGCACGGCCTCGTTCGAAGAAGACGCGTCTGCAACACGCACACTGACATGTCATCTCTTAATACACACACAAATATCTGTTAGCGAAACATATCAATCAAATGAATCCTGACGTCAACTCGAACTAAATTTATTAAAATCCTAATCAGATTATGGGAAGCTGGAAAACGATGTACTCTTTAGTACCTACACCCAATAGGTTCAGTTGAAAACCAGCGTCAGGCAACTGCTACGTCTGACTTTATGCTGAACTGGACCTGTTTGGTCTTCTTAATCCAAAATCTCTGGATCAATCTAAGTTTGATTTCTTGCGTCGTTTTTTTTTCGTCTGTGATAATAAGTGAAGACACACTTAAGAGTGAAACAATGGGCTATACACAGGTACTAATTATCCACAGAGCCCTCAAAGGACGGTGATAATTATATATTCTTACTAGGTACACATTTTACGCATTAATAACAAAGGACAATCAGTAAGAAAAAAATTTTGTTTGTAACAAACAAAACGAACGAAATACAAGGAGAACAAATACTAAAACTGCCAACATGAGACCAACCACACCATTCGACAAAATTAGCGCATGTTCGTCCGTCGGGACGAAGAAACATCCTAACACCACAATTCAGCGAAAAGCTATGTACTAGCTATGTGACACTCAGTCTATTTTTGTTTTGCAGAAAACGGCTATTCGATCAATCTCTATAATCTTAGTCCGAGGCATTCGCTCAGAGAATTATTTAAGGAATCTAAAATAATGACAGTTGCCTCTCAATATATTTATGAAAATTTAATTCACGCTCATAAAAACAAAAGTGATATACATAATATTAACACGAGGGGTAAAATAAATATGTTATACCTGCATCCAGGCTTCAGAAAATAAGTAGTTCGTTTAGACGTCAATGTATGACGCTTTTACAATAAAATTCCTAGCGATAATCAAAATTTGAGCCTTAACAAATTTAAAAGTGTAATAAAGGTTAAACTTTACTGTAAAGCATTTTATGAAATAAAAGACTACTTAGAAGATAATCAGGCTTGGGAATGAGCCGCTGTAACGTCTGCACAGGTCATGTTGACATGTTTGTAACATAAGTTGCACTTTTTATATACAATTTGACATTACGTTTATTTTTTATTTTAATTTTTTATATATAATCACATTATCACCTATTGTGACATTTTTTATTTGTCATTTAACATTTTTATTTTACTTTTTTTTAATTATTTATTGACATTTTTATTATTTTTTATAATTGTTAGTGTAAGGACCGTATGAGACTTGCCGCGCTTTTTGACTACCACCTACCAGTTATCTGCGTTCTGACAGTTTCAGTACTTGCGCGACCCACCCAAATGTTCTTTTGATCGGTATTGTTCGTCGAACAACTCAGCAGCACTAGCTATACTGGTTGCAAACTGACCTCTGAGTTAGTTTCGGCATTTCTTCTCAGAGTCGTCAGATAGGAAATGTCGGCTTCATCTAGTTTTTCACATATAAATTGACGTGTAAAAGTGCCGTTTTATGGCCATAAATAAATTCATTGTTGCTAATGTACCTATACGAACTAGACGGATTTTGTATGTTAAGTATTTGGTGTTAATTTTGGATTGCAAATAACTTGACTAATAAAGGGGACTGACCGACAGACTGACACTTTTTATCTTTAAGCTTTATTTGACGTTCAAAAGTGCCTGTAAGAGTTTAACTGAAATAAATGATTTTGACTTTCGACTTTTTTTAATGCGTAAACCGATTTTTTTATTATTTTATTTGCAAGAAGATACTTTCTGAATATAGAAAAAATATTAAACCAGTTTTTTTGTACAATATTTAAATAACTCTAAATAATTTTCCTAGAAAGTATTATAAAGCTGTACTTTTAATTTTTTCCACATTTTTTCTAAATTTATAAACGTATGGATCAAGAGTCAATGAGCCCCTCTAACTTTTCGCCCATAAGTTAAAAGTATTATTTCCGAAAATATTAAAATTATCAAAAAAACTATTTTATGAAACTCCTATTTATGTTACGCAAGGGCTGAAATGAAAAAAAAATCAGTCCCTACATTACGTGTACCTACTTTAATAAAATATTTTTTCCACTTTTATTTTACCACATTGTCGGTGTGATTGATATACATATTGGTGCAGTGTAGGTCCCTGCGCAGGCTAAGTGAGTTAGTGCTTTAGGGGAGAAAGCACAGTTTATGACAGTTTGTCACTATCCTTTCGAGGTTGGTGTTAATAACTCGATGGACCGAGGATAGAACAAGGAGGCGCAGTTCTCCAAGAATCAGCTCGCATCATGGGGACATTTCTGTCTCTGGAGCCCTAACCACAGATCGCCTAGACCATGCTCTCGATGCCGGTTTGAAATTCAAACTGAAAGGGGAATGCCAATTTTAGGCCCAGAGCTGCACAACAAATTGGTTTCAGTAGAAAAATACCTTGTTATTTTACTCATGTCTTGCATATATTCGTAAGTCTGTGCATGATGGGATATTTTTTCAAAAACATTAAATAGATATGAAAATGACTAATCTTAGGAAACATAAAAATATTTTCAAGATGTTGCCTTTACAAAAAAAAACTACCAGGAATGAATCGGAACAATAATAGTGATATTATTTTTAATAAACAGAGATATTTTTCCGAAAAGAAAATGAATTAATGAATATCATGTAATAGAAACTAATATTATTTCCATTAAAGAACAATTTTGTTGTGAAATAATAATATAATCGATCTATCGATTTTTTCTTCTTATGGCAACATCAAGTCAACTTTTGACAAGCCGCCGGAAAAAGTTAATGTCAAAATCATTGCTTGTTTGTTTACTTACGACTTGTGTATACTAATCGTGGTTTAAATTGACTACTTTCACTCATTAACTTTGAGGATTCTCCTATCCTTGACGACTACAGCCTGATTATGGATTCTGCTCCTGCTACTCATGACGACACTGGTGATAAATTGGATTTAGTATTAAACGCTTTGGCTTACGAACCCGGCATTCAGTCTGGACTTAGTATCGACAATGTTGATTTGGTATTACACCGTACACGCTTCGACCGACGACGAACCCGGCATTTACTCTGGACCTAGTTATTCACAACAGTCATCTACTACTGTGAGTGGTGATCTACGTTGTTTATACTGCGGTTTGAATGTATCTAGAATTCGAAGACATACTTTGGAAATCACTGAAGTTCGAAATCTTATACAACGATGGATTAGCCAGGTAATTAATGATCATATAATATATTTAAAATCTCTTAGTACTTAATAGTATTTTAAAAGTACCTTATGTGCTGATTTTGTAACTGCTCTCATCTTTTCTTGTAGGTACAAGTTACCAGTGATAGTCTAGTGTGCCATGCATGTAGGACAAATGCTTGGAATGAAATGCGACATACAACAAGATTTGAGCCAATTATTGGTCATGTAAATGTATGTGTCATCACCACATCATTTTTAAGGTAACAATCACATACATGGAATACAAACACTACTTGTGAAGCAGATTTTCAAAACATTACTGTTAATAATGAGATATAAGAGAATTCCCTGGTATAAATATAAATAAGGGATTTAATATTGATTGCTTGTGACACTTATTAACTTAAGCAAGCTCGCTCATACTATGGCGAGCAAATGAGATTTACCGGGGCATACTGTATAGAAGTATGTACTAATAATAGTAATAGAACAATCACTATATTTGCACAAATCTGTTCACTGGTAAGGACCAGAATCGCTAGTCGTCATGTTCATTGCAAAAAGCTGTATATCGGTTTTAGTTGGCACTGTTGACACAGGCCATGCAGCAGTAACTGTATTGGTGGCTAGCGTACTGTAGGATGCTGTGCTTATGTCATGACCGTGATAATAATATGGTATTTAGGATGGAAAAGGCATCAAAATAATGTATTTCCACCCGCACAATTTGTTGATGATGTTTTACTCATATATGGTGATGATCAACAAGAATAAATATGTAAAACTAAAGGTGTTTTGTGTTATTTTACTCCCAGTTATTATGCTTTACACTTCCACACTATAAAATTAAAATAATTATTATTTTGTTTTTTTAACGTTACTAGTGTTGATGAAATAATAAAACCTTTAATAACTTTTAAGTGCCAAGTATTTTTGATATAATTTCTTTTACCAATTGATTATTGAAATTACCCTCTATAATAATCATGAACTTTTATATGTGTGCACAGTGGGCCTAAATTACTATGGGGACTTGGCATTCCCCTTTAGGAGGTATTGAATAAAAATGCAATGATTTTCTTTTTTTTATACTGTCTTCGCTAAGAAACCTTATCTCAGACAAACAAGGATACATTTGTTCATGGACCTCATATTTTATACCTACTACAAGATAACTAGAAGCCCTCACTAATAGACACGACTATTGAAGGTCAGTGGGTCGTCTTAGGGGCGGAGTTTTCCTACACGAGATATAGAATCGTATATCATCTCTACGACGCATGGATTCGGTTTTTGATATATAAAAAATATTTAAAACAAAAGTGCACGCATATTACCGCACTGATGACAGACTAGTGACAACTATTTATTCAAGCAAGCAGGTAAATTTATTTCGTGTCGCGGTACAGCTGTGGTATGCGCTCGCGCACGTTGTGCACCGTACTAGTTACGATCGGGCGACACTTCATACTTCCCGCAAAAAGCGTGGCGCGCGATGTGAGAGCGCGCGGCACGCGCGGGAGCTTTTACTTTCCGCGGGTGACGCATGCGCAGCGGAATGTTCATACTGCAGCTCGGTGTAGCTCGAGGGCCGAGTCACGAGCCTCGATGCGAGTCGGTGAGTCTCATTTATACTCAGAACGGAGTTGGCGTTCTTCTATAGTAATATTTTATTGCTTTACCCGCGAGCTGCAGGCTGTACGTGTTCAGCTGTACTACTGGTAGCTGACGGACTAACAATAACAATGCCATTACTTCTTTGTTACGTCTCTTTCAAGTCGTTTCCAACCTTAAACATTCCTCTGTCTTTGGAACTAACTCATTCAATCTTTGTGGCAAGGTGACGTGCCGTATTTTCTCATTTTATACTTTTCACTTCAACACAAATATTTTTTTTATAAATCTACCTATAAACTATTTTTTATAAAAGTATAAAGATATGTTTTACTTCTAAAGGTAAATATTTTGGTAGCTCTAATTTTATAGTTAGCTCTGTAATTTGACTGAACAAATCATGGAAAATGTACTTATCAAAAATTAATTTATATACCAGATAACATTTGTACCCATAGACGTAATATATTATATAAAAATAACAATATAGATACCTAGCAACATTTGCAAGTGGAAACAAAATAAAAATTGCAATCACAACAAGTGGCTCGACTTCGTAGCGCGTTGATGTCTTTTTAAGGGCGAACATAATACTTGTTAGATACGATCGAGCCGAGCTTTTTTAACGATACGAGTTTTTTAGTTTGTGTAAAATAATGATTTATTTCATCAAACACCAAGCGAATTGTTTGCGCTCGCGCACGTATTGTCTTCTACTGTGTCTCTTATTGCCTCGATTGAAAAGGTATACGGATCGACGGACTGGTATCCTAGAATAAATGGATATATTGCGTTGACTCAGTACTTATACTCATCTATGCCTTGACTACTGACCGCCGCCGCCCTGCAGCCGCGGCGCGCCTCGCATACAACATTAGAACAACGCTCTGAGTAACGGCACCGGGCACAGCGCCGCGCGCCGCTCGCCGCGCGCTGCCACTTACGCCGATTAATTAACAAGTTTGCATTGTTGAGAAAAATAAACAATTGTTAATGAGCAAGTGAAAATGGTAATATTGTCACCTGAACATGTTTGACAAATAGTAATTGAGGTAACATTCCATACTATTATGGCCACGATCTGTGTCCCCTTACAAAAGTTTCAAACTCATCTAAAAAGTCATGAGTTATTTACATTTGTTATTGTATTTCTTAACAGGCAGTTATCTATACTAATAGTATAAGGAAAGATTTTATTCTTTGTTTATTTGTATTGAATGACTTCCGAAACTAATTGACCGCGTATGTATACATAGATGCTACGCGGATGAAATCATGGAGCATAGCTGTATTGTAAATTAATGAAATAATTCCAACGAATGCTAACCTAACCTAACGAAGGCACCCACCGCAACTTGTAAAACATTTCTGTATATTTACAGGTATCTCAATTCCATTATTATTGATCGCTACAGAACCTTAAAAATTCTTTAATTTTAAAACTGACAACCGCTTTCAATATGTAGTTAATTAACTTGTTACAATCCCTTCTTATTTTTCATTTTGTGTTTTACAAAAAACAATTGCCATTTGGTGATCGCACAGAGTTGTTAGCTATTTATTTTGTCAACTACAGTTAGTGTCGATACTGCTGGTTCATCTTTATACTGTTCACTGTGCTCGAAACATGACGAGAGGTAGTGGAGCTCGTCGTCAGTATTGTAGTAAAACAATAAAGGTAGGAATACTATGCTCTATGGCTAATCATTTTTAAATAGACAATAGCCTCCGTACTAGACTAGTTATATATGAAAACAGAAATGTGGAGTAGATGAGTAAAATCAGTTCTATGTACGAAACAATTGGAAATGTATTATGATAATAATTTCGTTTCCGTTCCTACGATTTCGTCTTAATATTTTAAAGGTTTTTACAGAAATTTACAATTCAGTGTTGCAGTCTCTGTACTCCATTCCTAATAAGGCATAATTGATATAATATAAACAACAATACAAACGAGAATCTAATAAAATTTTTACACAAAGTTCGCATTGATTTCCGATAAGACAGACAAAATGTGTTTTTGTTCTGTTCTGTGAACGGAAACACAAGACAAACTTGTTACTAATACTGGGACAGTCGCAGATTCGCAGGTCGGCAGCAAGAATTTCCCTTTAGAATATCTCGTCTCGGGTAAAACAGTGAAATGTGTGGTATATGTGCAATGTACACAAAAGTACAAATGAAAAATTGCAATTGTGAAATTGATCGAAAAAGAGTAACCACTACACTACTCAAGACAGACTGACACACAATCATTTTGGTATTTGTTTTTTGTTTGACATTTAAAAGTTCACTGGTCTATTTATAATAAATGATTTGACTTTGACAAAACTTAACAAAAACTTAGAAATAGAGCACATGTAAATCGTTTTGCCAAAATAAATTCAGTTGTTTTACATAATGTAGATACTTCAGTTTTTTTACTATTAATTCGTATGGTAATATTAGTAACATTATTGATGGATAATGTAATTTTTCCCTAAATAATCATTGTCATTTCTTTGTTTTTTTTTTAGTATTAGAATTCTGATAATCTTTCAATGGTATTGTGTGATAATGTTACGTTTGTACACGATGTGTATGATAGAACATAGTGGCCGTGTAATGTTATACTATAACATATTTTTAATATACCTACCACAACCTGGAAATTTTATGGAAAGCTACGCCGCGGCCACAGACCGAGACTTACCTGCTTAATGCTACATTCACAGCTTATTTATACATCACGAACTCCACCACTGTCATTCTTACTGATGTTTATTTGTTTTGTTTGGATTGAAACAATGGTATGCCATTCAGTCTTGAAACTGTGATAACAAAGTTTACTAAACTAATGAACTCGGACGTGTAGTCCGCAGCCACCTGTATCAAGGGAATACTTTGTCCCGGACAGCCGAGGGAGGGCGGCGCGGGCCGCGGCAACAATGCGCGGGCGCAGGTAGCACAACATACGTGATACAGGGACACCGTAAAGTGCGCCGCGCCGGCAGAAGTACTTCCAACGTTCGGGATGTCATTTAGTGCATATTCCAAGTGGATTGCACAACAAACGACGGCGGGTTTGGAGTACTCACAGTATGTATTTACAGAAGCAAGTAACGTTGGGTGAAAAGTTGAACCTATTCAAAGTGAACAGTAGATACGTTTGAATTGGGAGCACAGTGACCTAGCAGCGCGGCACGCTCCTCAGAGCCGGATCCTCTAACAGCTTTAAGCAATTCGACACATTCACAGGCAGACACTCACACACGCACGCACACAAAGTACTACGCGGAGCTTTCGAGCGCCGAACACGACACAAAAAGTAATAATCATCACAGACTCGTGGTCGGGCAGCGCACTGCGCAGGCGCAGGCCGCAGCGCGGGTGAAGGGGCGCTCACCTTGCAGCTTCTTCTCCGTTTCCCAAAACCGCTGCAGCTCAGTGAAGTATTTGTCGAGAATGAACACCTTGGAGAGGCCGAGCGTGGCCATGGCGGGCGGCGCGCTCGCATCACACTCCGCGGCCGCGCCGCTCTCAACGTAAGACAGCGACCACTCGCGCTCGCAGACACCCGCGTACTGCCGCCGCCCGCAGCGCGAGCCCCGACCCCCGCCAGCCCCCGCACCACCCCCACTACCGACACCTACTTTTAGGCTAGGAACGTTAATAAGTCTCCAGCATTCACCAAAATAATTAGCAGCATAGCAGAATAATTGAACGTTTGTATCTCTGTAGTGACACTCGCGCAATAAGGTGTTGGGCGAGTACAGCGTGGACCACACCAATTTAAGTAAGTGCGATGATCGAGGCTCGACGAAAACGGATTGTAGGCACAGCGGCACGGATACAGATACCAAAGTTCATTTCGTGCATTAAACGGGCACGGCGCGGAGGCTGCAGGTGTCTGCGGGGGTAGATAGCGCAGGGCGGGGCGGGGGGCGCCGGAACTGGTTTGTTTATTTGTGCGCCGAAAGCTATGTGGCCGCGCGAGCCTCCCGGAGCCCGTTGCGGCCCGCGCCCAGCTCGCTCTAACTGTGTATTCCGAGAGTTACAGAGTTACGGCCTGTACTTACATACATACAACTCACAGCTGCTGGGCAGCCACCCACAGCCATCATGGATCTGTTGTTTTAGGTAACAACTAACAAGAGTTACCAAACGCTGAGGACCCAGTGATGTGCTGCGCCCATTCTATCCTTGCGTCATTCGTCTTCAGTAAACATTTGTAGGCCTCCTTGCTGTCACAATTAGTGGCATGCCGTTCCTCTCAAATGATGCCGTTAACATCATCCAATATTTGATTATTTATTATAAAAAAACCGTTTATGATGGATATCAACTGCTGTTATTGGAACTTCAAGGATAGTCTGCGGAGCGAGTGCTAAAACGCAGCAAAATTCTAGAGGAAAATAGTTTTTAGTTTTGTTACCGAATATTTTTATATACTATATATTTTTATGTACGTAGAGCAGCTATACAATTGGATATTCACGTGAGGTTTGATAAGATTTATTATTTTATTGTAACATATTTGTAACTAATTTTTATCGTCTCTCAAATCGAAATGATAAAAACATGTGCTAAATGGGATAAAATTGTAGTGTATTGTAGGTGATCAGCTGCTGCCTGCAACTTTATGCCGTACCTATGACCTAACATTTTTATACTCTCTCGTATATCGTTCATTGATTCACTCAATTATATACCATTTTGCATTCTATAAGCAATATAAAATTTATTTTGTATGTGTTTTATGTAACGGCGGGCGAAGTCGATTACTTTCCGTCTTCTCGTTTGGAACTGAAAACTTGCTTTAACTGATACTTGGATACAGTTTATACATTATACGCTTAGCACTTAGTCATGTTCTTTTTTTTTTTTGCTGTGTAAAATTGGCATGTGACTACACCCACCCATGGGAGGTGGCAGACTCCCCTGAATACCCCCGTTCTGAACATCTGTTATTTCGTCATGATTAACCTAACCAGGTACATAATACATTACCTAAATATCGTTTTTCCTTTGCTTACATTTCAAACTAAGATCACAAGCTACACGTCTAGGTGTCCTCTTGGTATTTTCGTTTACCACAGTCAATTCAATGGTAACGAAATAAACATAGGTTGGGGGAAAATCTTTTCGCATTATAAGTATACGTATGAATTTCTGTCTCTCTACAAATCTCTTTGCTACACTTTTTGTAGCTGGCAGGTTTTGGTAGCATTGAGTTTGAATTTTAAAAAGAACCTATTTTCAAATAAATTTTTGCCGTAAATGTGTTGCTTTCATTCGTTTTTCGTACTGTTAAGATTGGGTCTAGTGAAGAAATTCCAAAGAATGAAACAAAATAATGCCATTTGTGAAAACTGGACCAATGTTGACATTTCAGTTGTTCGTAGCTGAAAAACTGGGAATTGACCATAAAACAGTTTTAGCGCATTTAAAAAAAAAGTACTCGAAAAGCCTCGATATTTGACTACCACGTCAACTCATTAAAAGAAACCTAATGAACCGTGTACTCATTTGTGATTCTTTATTACAAAGTCAAACTCAAAAGTCAAAAATCATTTATTCCAATTAGAAACTTATAGGCACTTTTCAACGTCAAAAAAAATTTGAAGATAAACAGTGTCAGTCTGTCGGCCAGTCCTCTTATTGAAGCTATTTGCTCGTTCCAAGGTGTAGATTCCGATGAAGAAGAACGAGCAAGAAACTTTTAAAGAAGCTGATAACTGGCAGAAAAGTTCGTGGTCAAAGGCCGGTCAGGATTCACAGACTGAAACCCGGGTTAACTTGCACCAAGGCAACAAGGTGAAATTGTGCTTTGTGGGATTGGAAGGGCATTATTCATTATGAAATGCCACCAGGCAGAACCATCGACTCTGAACTCTACTGCGAACAACTGATGATGATTAAAGCAAGAAGTTCAGAGAAAGCGGCCGGAAGGGGTAATTTATCATCATGATACCTAACGCTAGATCTCACACAAGTTTGCCCACTCAGCAAAAATTAAAGAGTTTGGCTGGACGTGTTGTGTTACATCCGTCGTCTACCTACTCCTGACATTGACCTTGCACCTTCACATTTCCACCTGTTTCCATCTCTTTAGAATTCTTTAGGCAGTGTCAGCTTAGAATCAGAGGACTGCCTAAACCAGATATTTTCAAACACATTTATTAGGGCTTTTAAACAAAATGGTAATTATTATGTGAACTACAGCGTGAGGTGATTGAACAAGATAGTATTTCTGAATGAACGAGTGCATGAGTGAACGCGCGAATGCATACAGTACAATAGGTAGGATTAAATATTGTAGATATGTGAATGCGTCGTAGACACTACTTGTCGCGGTATTTTGGTCAGATGTCTAAATTCTATAGCAATGAGATCATGTTCCTACCTATAAGGAGGCAAATCGTTATCGAACAAAATGGTACCTACATACTTTATAAATGAACGTACCGGGCTACGTTCAGTGTAATGTTCTGTAGTCTCTCGTCTGTCACAATAACAGTCCTCATTTATGAGTTATTGTAAAACACTGAATATCCCGTTTTAACTTTTAAACTTTCGCATTTCACATTAATAAAATATACATATTTACGCGGGTATTAACGCGGAAAATTAATATTTGAATACCTTGGTAGGCTTGACGTTTCGACCCGGTTGTTCTTTTTTATTTGAAAGAAGATACGTTCATAGTAACAAAATATACAAACAGATAAAAAAATGCTTGCAAATACGGTTCGGTTCGTTACAAATTTAGTTAAATTTTTTTGTATAACACAAATTCCAAAAAAATATAAGTCGAATGAAGTTCGATTGGTACTTCCACTGGAAAATCTATATGTTTCGAACCCCTCCTGAGAGTGGGCACCCTCAGGGTTGGAGATGTATGCGCAATAATGTAATCTGGCCCCGGTCCGGTAAGGGCGAAGGAGGGGAAGGTTTTCAGTCAGTACAGCAGTTACGTGCTACTGTTATAATGATTGTCCGCATGACAAGACTCGATCGGATGCAAGCACCAGACTCCTGGGCGAGAGTTCTAAGGGTCCGGTTCTGCGAGCCACAGCAACTTTAAATATAATAAAGTTAAGATATCAGCTGCTGTACCTGATTGAACATGTATAGTACGTTTACTATTACTAATAAATAAAATACTTTTTTTAAAATAATGCACTTTTAATCACAGGGCGCAGGCTTCTTATTGGTAACAAAATAAATACCGCAACAACCATACTCTAGTACTAACTATAGTATCGCTACCGGCGCCGCGCGCCCGCCGCGGACCGCAAGTCGCGCCACTAGTTGCGTCACTAGTCGCGCCATCAGATCATAGACATGTCCGAGGCGAGCGCCAGCGCGCCATATTACAGCCTAACGATAGTCAAGAGTTACATGTTCCATGTAATATTTAACTACAAACTAAGACACATACATAGGTACGTGCAGGTCGCGACGACGCGGGCCGCCGCGACTATATGGAATGTATCACAATCGGCGAGCCGGGCTCGAGCACACTTACAAACGTACAATAAATACAGTATCGAGTTACAGCTATATACACAATGCGCGTCGCACCAAGGCAGGCCGCGCCGCTAGTGCGCCAGCAGGTCGGAGAGATGCGCGGCGATGGCGGCGGCGGCGGCGCCGGCCAGGATGGAGCGGTGCGAGCCCGCCAGCTGGCGCGTCTGCAGCGGGCCGGCGACCACGGCGCGCAGCCCGTAGTCCTCGTCCAGCGCCACGTAGTTGTCGCGCGCCGTGAACAGCGTGACCGGCGCGCGCAGGCGGCCCGCCGGCTTGTACGTGTCGGCGATGACCAGCTTGCGGTAGAACGAGCCCGCCGCCGCCGCCAGCGCCGCGGCGCCGTGCGGGCCCGCCGCGGCGCCCACCAGCTCCGTCGTCCGCGCCAGCCGCGCCTCCCAGCTCGGCAGGCGCTCCAGCTCCGCCGATACCTGCACCCACCACGGTTCAGTGTGCGCTCTGCCGACCCTCGGCCCTCCCGGCGCCGCCCTCTCCCGGTACTCACCTTTGCCGCGTCCACGTCCTTGAACAGCTGCACGAAGTACGCGAGCGCGTCGGCCTCGTCGGTCTCGGCGGAGCGCGTGGCGCGCTTCTTCTTGCCGCGAGTGGTGTGAGTGGCCACGTAGGCCGGGGACCCGTCCACCAGCACCAGTCGCGTCTCGCAGCCAGCCTGCGGGCACGGCACGCTCAAGTCGGGCTCCGGTCGCGGCCGGTCCACGCGCATAGCGTGGCTTCGACCGACCGAAACGATAAACACTTTACCCTATCTGGGAATCGAACCCGAGACCTCTCTCTCAATAGTCGCACCCGCAATCGCGCCCTCGACGAGGCGGTGAAAACAAAGGGTATGGCGAGGTTCACCTGCTCCAGCTGCAGCGCCATCTCGAAGGCGACGCCGGCGCCGAAGGAGTAGCCCAGCAGCGTGTAGGGCGGGCGCGGCTGCTGGGCGCGCAGCGTGGCGACGTAGTGACGCGCCAGCGCCGCCATGTCGTCCAGCGGCGCCGCCGCCGTGCACTGCAGGCCGAACACGGGCCCGCGCACGGCCGCCGCCAGCCCGCGCAGCATCTCCACGACGCCCTCGATGGGGTGCACCATGAACACGGGCGAACCCGACGCCGCCGCGCTCGGCAGCTTCACCAGCGCCTGCTTCGGCATCAGCTCGGCCAGTGCCGAGAACTGCGCCTGCGCGTCGGCCGGCGCTTCGGCCGCGCCCGCAGGCTCGGCGGCGGCCTGCTCCCCGGCCGCGTCGTCGCCGCCCGCCATGCCGCGCAGCTTGGCGAACGTGAGCGCGCGGATCTCCTGCACGCCCAGCACCACGTCGTAGCCCCGCTCCAAGGTCTGCTTGATCTCGGCGCCCATGAGCGAGTCCATGCCCAGCTCGGCCAGGTTGGCGGAGTCCGACACTTTGCTAGGGTCCTTGATGCCGAGGATGTTGGCGACGGCGTGCAGCAGGTCCTGCTGCGGCGCGGCGGCGGCGCGGCGCTTGTCGGCCAGTACCATGGACGCCGCCACGGCATGCGGCAGCGCCAGCAGCGAGCCCAGCGCCTCCATGCACGACGCGATGCGCTGCGGCACGGTGCCGCCCACCACGGTGTCGTCGCCGCCCATGGTCTCCACGATGAGTCCCACCTCGCCTGCGAGCATAAACTAGGCTGGAGCGGGGCCCGCCGGGGAGCGCCGCGGGGCGCGGGCCGGGCCCGGCGGAGTACTCACCGATGGCGCCCCACTGCACGGCCAGGCCGGGCAAGCCGTCGGCCTGGCGCTGCTCCATGATGCGCTCCATGGCGGAGTTGGCGAGACCGTAGTTGCTCTGTCCGGGGTTACCACGTCCGCAGGACACGGACGAGAACACCACGAAGTACTCCAGCTCCGGCGCCAGCTCGCGCGTGGCCTCGTCCAACGCCTTAGTCGCTGCAGGAAGCAAGTACGGTCGAGTCATTTAGTAGGAGAGCACAAGTAATACTAAAATACGAACATGATTCAACATTGGGTGTAAAGTGCGCAAAATATAGAATGGGCAAGACGTTGCTCACCGTCTATCTTGGGCTTGGCGACGGCCTGGAAGTCGGCGGGCGTCTGCTTGTCGATGAAGGCGTCCCTTAGCACGGCGGCCAGGTTGAAGACGCCGCCGACGGGCCCCAGCGCGGCCGCCTCCCGCAGCAGCGCGCGCGCGCCGGCCGGCGTGCTGGCGTCGGCCGTGCTGACGGCGACGGCGACCCCGGCGGCGCGCCAGCGGCGGACGCAGGCGGCCTGGTAGCCCGTGCGCAGGCCGCCGCGCGAGTTGAGCACGAGGCGCGTGGCGCCGCGCCGCACCATCCACTGCGCCAGCTCCAGGCCGAAGCCGCCCGTGCCGCCCACCAGCACGTAGCAGCGCGCGGGATGCAGGTAGGTCCGCGGCAGCGCGCCCAGCAGCTTGCTGGCCGGCCGCGCGCCCGCCGCCTCCTCGTCGCGCACGCGCAGCACCACCTTGCCGATGTGCTTGCCCGTCGCCATGTACCTGCGCGGGACGGCCTCGTTACTCGCTGCACTTCCTAACGGTCGCAGCCGGCTGCGTATCGTATCGCGCGACGCATGACTTCGTGTACCTGAAGGCCTGCTCCAGCTGGTGGTCGGAGAAGACGGTGGCGGGCAGAGGGCGCACGGCCCCCGACGCTATGCCCTCCGTGACGCAGCGCACCACGGCCGCCTTGTCACTGTCTTCCGAGTCCGCGTCGAACAGTGCGTCCAATAGAATGCCGTGGAACGTGGTGTTCTTCAGGAAGATGGACATACCCTGCACCACAACAGACATTATGCACTCCCGCCGCACGAATGACGGGGTTCCCGACCCCGGTCCACCCCACTCACCAGCGCCGTGTCGTTGGACAAGTCCAGCTTTCCGATCTCGAGGAAGCGCCCCCCCTCGGCCAGGCAGCGCACGGAGGCGTGCAGCTTGTCGGCGGCCAGCGAGTTGAGCACCAGGTCCACCCCGCGGCCCCCCGTGCGCCGCTTGACGAGCTGCTCGAAGGACGTGTCGCGCGAGTTGCCGATGTTCTCCGCCGGCAGCGCCGGGAAGCGCTCGCGCAGGAAGGCGCGCTTGTCCGGGGTGCCCACCGTGGTGAAGACCCGGCAGCCCGCGTGCAGCGCGATGGCCAGCGCGGCCTGCCCCACGCCGCCCGTGCCCGCGTGCACCAGCACGGACTCCCCGCGCCGCATGCGCCCGCGCACCACCAGCGCGTAGTACGCGGTGGCGTACGCCACGGGCACGGTGGCGGCCTGCTCCAGCGACCAGTCGCGCGGCACCTCCCACAGGAAGCCCTTGTCGGCCAGCACGGTGCTGGCCAGCCCGCAGGCGGCGACCATGCCCATGACGCGCTTGCCGTCGGACGAGCGGCCGCTGAACTCCAGGCCGAGGATACACTCCTGGCCCGCCAGGTTGCCGGGCAGCGCGTCGGGCGGCAGCTTGCCGGTGGCCAGCATGATGTCGCGGAAGTTGAGCGGCGCGCAGTACACGCGGCACAGCTCCGTGCGGGCCGGCAGCCCCGCCGCCGCCGCGTAGCGCAGCGGGGACTCGATCCAGCGCAGCGACGACAGGTCCCCGCGCGTCAGCGTGTTGACGTAGGCGTGCTCCACCTGCAGGTGCGCCTCGGCCGCGGCCAGCTCCAGGTGGCGGTAGCTGCCCCAGACGCCGGCGCGCAGGACGTTGAAGGCCAGGTCGCGCTCCACCTGCGCGGCGTAGGCGGGCGCGTCGGGGCGGAAGGGCTCGCGCGCGCCCGGCAGGAAGTAGCAGCGCAGCGCGCGGCCGCCCGCCTCGCCGCGCAGGCACGTGCACAGCCCCAGCACGCCGGCCGTCGGCGCGCGCGCCGCGCAGTACACGCGCAGCTCGGGCTCGCGCTCGGCGCGCTCCAGCGCGGCGCGCAGCGCGTCCACCCAGGCGAAGGAGCGGTCGTCGTCCACGTCCAGCACCACGGTGGCGGCGGCCGGGCCGCGCCGGCGCCGCAGCAGCAGGTACTCGCAGCTGGCGGCCAGCTGGCGCGACACGCACTGCAGCCCGGCCGCCTCCAGCAGCGCCTGCGCGCCGTCCAGCGCGCGGTGCGGCTCCTCCAGCAGGATCATGCCCGACTCGGCCAGCGCGGCCGCCAGGTGGCCCAGCGTGGCGGCGCCGTGCCTGCTCAGCACGTCGGCGGCCAGTACCAGGTGGCACTCCGTGTCGATGGGTGCGCTTTTGCCGTCTTTGGGGTTGACCTTGACTCCCAGGTCCTTGACGGCGGCGGCGTAGGGCGCGGGCGCGGGCCCGGCGGCCAGCGACGCATCCACGCGCACTTGAGGCTCCGACTCTAGCACTTGCATAGCGAGCGGGGTGAGCAGGGCCTCGGCCGGCCTGTCCAGAGCGGCCTCGGCCAGTTTTAGCTTGATGGAGCCAGCATTCTCCAGCACCAGCTGTAGGCTGACGGTGAGTGCGTCGCGTTTAGAGCGAGAGGTGTCCTCGGTGCTGACGGTGGCGTTGTCGTAAGGCATGAACACGTATTTCTCCAGCTTGGGCGCGGCCTGCGCGTTGGCGCGGCGCGGCGCCAGGCTAGTCTTGACGCCGCGGAACTCGACGCCGCCGGCGCGGATGACGTCCAGGTCGCGGTACATGCGCACGGGCAGTAAGCCGCCCTCGCCCAGGGCCGCCACGGCCGCCAGCTGCGCCGCGGGGTCGATGAGCACGCGCTGTAGCCGCGTGGGCAGGTACAGCTCGCGCGTGTCCACGCCGATGATGCCGAACTGCAGCATGGTGTCCATGAAGGAGATCCAGTTGTCGTCCCAGGCCAGCTGGCCGACGATGCCGCGCGGGTCGGACCGGCGGATGCCGCGGAAGATGCCGCCGTAGTTGTACCCGCGCAGACGCAGCTCCTTGTAGATGTCGTCGGTGAGGAGCGGCGGCAGGTCCTGGTCGGGCGCGGGCTCGTCGTCCAGGTCCTGCAGGCGCTCGGCGGCCGGCTCGGGCGCCAGGCGGACGTGGCCGGTCACGACGACGGCGCCGCCCTCGCAGACGTCGAACTCGCCGGTGCCGTCCAGGATGTTGATGAGGAAGCGCACGGGCGTGTCGCGCGACACGATGGTGGCGCGTCGGAACTGAATGTTCTCCATCACGATCGGAGTCTCCTCAGGCTTTTTGTTGTGGAGCTTCGCCATGGTCCTCCACACCAGGGTCTGCAACCAAAACTCAGTAAGACACACGACTGGCTGAATTGTGGCTTGCCAACGAGATGACAGCAATTAAAGCAAACTCTTTACAAGTATTATTGTCTTCTTATTTCATTGGCAGTGAAGAATTTTCCCATGGAAAGAGTGCGTGCTTCTATTGATAACTGGCCTCAACGTTTAAAGGACTGTATGCAGCCAATGGAGACCACTTCGAATGAGCTTTTTATATTTTAAATTGTTTTAAGTGTAGCAAACACTTAAACACGTAACCTACGAAGAGATGACCACTCTGCTGTGCCAAGTGGAGGCTTGCCTCAATTCACGACCTCTAGTAATAATAGACGACACGAGCACCGATAACGTTCAACCACTAACTCCTGGCCATTTCCTCATCGGTGAAACACCTATTACTGTGCCGACCCCAAACTTGCAAAATATCCCAGTAAGTCATTTGTCACGATGGCAACATCAGCAAAAGTTAATGACTGACTTCTGGCACAGGTGGCAACAAGAATACCTGTCACGGATGCAGCAACGTTCGAAATGGCACCACAAGGTGAAGGAGTTTGAGATAGGACACATTGTTTTAATAAAGGCGGATAACTTGCCTCCAGCTAAATGGATGATGGGACGAATTGTGGACAAGCATCCGGGTACAGATGGTGTAACACGTGTGTATAGTGTGAAAAGTGGTGATAGTGTTGTGCAAAGACCATTCAACAAGTTATGTTATTTACCAATAGACACTGAATGATTATTTTTAGTTAGTGTTATCTTGCCTTAATATCAAATGTAACTGCTAGATTACCTAACGGCATAACCTATATTATACCTATGTATCATGTTTAGATTTGCCTTATTATGATTGTGTTCTATTAAAATTAAAGGGCAAATAGGCCCTTTGGTGGGCGGTATGTTGTGTTAGAATCTGTTTGTATGTGGGTATAATGTTTACTAAGTATGAATGCATGTGTGTGTCATCATAGAAATTAAGAATCTAATTAACTAAGAAATTTCTTTTACCTAAAATCCCTACAAGCAAAAGTGAACCTTAATACTATAACAATATTTATGTATTAAACTTACATACTGTAAAAGTAATAAATGTTATTTGCAATAGAAAAAAAAAGTTTTTTATTTGTTACAATATTTATGGCTATACTAGGTATTTTCAGAATAACCATCAGGGTGTGATTAGTGATCGATACTGATGCCAAAAATGCAATTTGTATAATTTTTGTCTGTATGTTCCTTATAGAAACAAAAATAAACGGATTCTAAGAATAAGAAAACTTTGTACAATTATTCTTAGAATTATAAAAAATATTTCATTTTAGCATATCTTTTATGGTTGGGTTACAATAACACGTGTAATCTATTTTACCTCCTTTTACAGGCGGTCCTACTACTACATGCACCAACCAATGACGTATTATATATAGACACGTCATGAACCAACATCGCGGCTCTTAAAAACGGCGAAAATACTAGATAACTACTTCTACGAGTAAAGAAAGGGAAAGAAAATATGACATCGTATAGTGGAATGCCTTTGCTAGAGGGAGATAAATATACATCTTCAGTTACATCACAGGATAAGTAATAGTAAAACTTTTTTGCCTCTTATAATTAATATTCATAACATAACAAGTATGATAATTATATTCAAACAATATTATAAATTCTGTCAACAAAAAAAAACACTAGTATAATAGTGTCTCAACCTCCCCTATCGGCACGTGACTACACTTTCATGCGCCGGCCGCCATAAGATGGCGGGCGTCGGCGTCAAAAAAACCTTCATGCGCCCGCCGCCATAAGATGGCGGGCGTCGGCGTCGAAAAAAATAAAATAAAAATAGGTTGTTTGGTGAACTTACACATGAAATTACACATTTTTGTCTTTAACCCATTCTTGACCGCTGTACCAATTTGGGTACAGTTAGTTAATGAGGGTAGGTGAAAAAAGTATTGAAGTAAGTCAGTATAACTTTTGCTTAAAGAATAGTCGAAAATACTCTGAATAAATATAATATCAATCTATTCCACGTAATTGAAGTGTTCTTGCATAAAATTTAATAAAAACTCGTTATCAAAAGACTTGTAGAGGTAAGTACTTGTTTGTAATTTTTATTGTTATACCCAATATACATTTCCATATAAATACTTATACATCTTTATAAACAATAAATAACAAAGTGTATAAACAGATTTTTGGTTGGCAAAACTATATACATAGGTCATTATCACATATAAAATATTGGTGTGCCAATTTGGGTACAACGGCTACAAGTGTATTACTATTTGCAGATTATCAAGATGAACCACAAAAGCCGGTATAGCGCCAGTAACCAATACCGTGGTTTAGAAGAGGCCCTAACTACTATACTCGAAGATAGTGATGATGGTTTGGAGTACGACTTGGCCATAATTCCACCAGAACCAAGTGTTGTTACCGACGAAGAGGAGGGTTTTGATGATGAAACTATTGCAAACAACTTGCCAGGTGATGTACCAGGAGAAATCGAGGTGTTTGTGCAAAATATTGGCACTCTTTCGGATTCTGAGGACGACAGCGATAATGAACCATTGGCTGCAAAACGAACTCGGAAAAACAATACACAACGTTCCAATGAATCAAGTGATGCACAAAATCGATCGGCTTTGAATGTTCCGACTTGGCGTAAGTGTACTCCAAATTATTCTAAAATATACGCAGAATCCGACGACCGTTTGTGCAATGAAAATTGCATGAAAAAAGAAGTGAAAGATTTGACACCAGTACAAATATTTGAAAAATGTTTTGATGATGAGTTGTTTACAATGATTGTGGACTTTATTCAACAGTACGCGAGTCAAAACAATAGACAGAATTTTTCCGTTACTATTGCTGAGCTGAAGGTATTTTTTGGGATTTTGTTACTATCTGGTTACCACAAACTGCCGCGAGAAAGTATGTATTGGTCACTTGATGAAGATATTGGCGTTGAGGTAGTATCTAAGGCTATGTCTCGGAACAGATTCAGAGAAATAAAAAGGTATATAGGATTGGCATTCATGGCAAAAAATGTCGGTGGGTTTTGTTTACCTACATGATTGATATGGCCATATCTAATGCATGGTGCTTGCATGTAATTTCAAGAAAAGATGACGTCATGGATCAGCTACTATTTCGACGAAATATTGCAAGGTTTTACCTAAAACAACATTCACAAAAAATAACTGCTCGCCCTTCTTCATCAAACATCGATGGTTTACCACTAGATGGTGCTGACCATGTGCCTGAAAAGCTACCTAAACGGGTGCGTTGTGTTGTCTGCCACAATAGAAGCCGCTGGGGTTGTAAAAAGTGCAAGAAAACACTCTGCATTGAAAAATCTTGTTTTACCAAATTTCATTCATAAATGGCCACTGTGCCAATTTGGGTACACGCCTGTAATTTCTGAAAAAACTTCTTTCAATTATTTTTTTCCTCTTTTTATGTTTGTTTGTATTCCTAATATTAAGAAAATAAAGATTTTGCTTCATTAACATAGTTCATTTTTATTTGGCCGTAAATGGGTTAACTTTTGGAGTATAATTTGTACATCGTCTGAACACACACGACAACATGCTTTCTTTGTTTCGCACAGGTTTACGCACACGATATAAATTAAAAACAAACGTAGCGTCGCGCGGCAGGTTGGTGCGTAACTAAGCGCGATGTTGTCAATTGCCTTCATTTCATGTTGTCATTTTAGAGCGCGGACAACGTATCTATTATAGTTTTATACATCATTGGCACCAACATACTTTAAAAGTATAACAACATTGTACCCGTGCGGAGCCGGGGCGGGATCTAGTGTTAATATATTATTGGACTTGTTAACTATTTTAGAAAGAGTTTGCTTCACTGGTGGACCGGCTGGCAGACAATTGAACTTCGACGTTCGATGTTTTAAAAGTGCTTTTTCAAGAATATTAATTGAAATACATGCTTGCGTGTGGGAGTATGTAAGGGTGCACTAACCAGGTAGCCGGTGGCGGGGAAGAGCACCCGGCCGTCGATGTTGTGGCCCGTGATGAAGCCGTCGTCGGGGCGCGACACGTCGTACTCGATGACGTTCTCGCCCGAGCGCGACGCGTTCCCGAAGTGCGCCACGCTCCACTCCAGCGAGTGGTCCCAGCGCACGTGCGACGCCAGCCCCGGCGTGCCGCGCGGCACCGGGAACGGCACGGCCGGGTACAGCGCACCCACGGCCGGCTGCGCGCCCGCCGCGAACAGACGGCCGGCCGCCGCCAGCAGGTGCGCCAGCGCGTCGGGCGCGTCGCGGCGCACCAGCGCCACGTGCGCCGCGCCGCCCAGCGCGCGCTTCAGCACGGCCTGCAGCAGCGCGTGCGGCGCCACCTCCACCACCAGCGCGCGCGCCGGCACGCTGCGCAGCGCGTCCGCGAACCGCACCGGCGACAGCAGGTTGTTCACGTGGTAGTTCGCGTCGCTCAGCTTCGCTGCGGGCACACGCTCACTCAGCTCTGCCGCCGCTCGGCCGGGGCTCGCCGCCCGCCGGCGCCGCTACTCACCTAGGTCGGAGTCCCACTTGTCCCGCGGCAACGAAGACGACACCCAGCGCTTGGTGCGCGGCTTCGGATCGGGGATGATCTTTTCGAGGCTGCGTCGCAGTAAGGGCGCGGCGGCGGCGATGTACTTGCTGTGGAAGGCCACGCCCGAGCTGTTGACGCGCCGCGCGAACGTGCCCTCCGCCGACAGCGTCGCCACGAACTTCTCCAGCGACTCCACGGGCCCGGAAATCTGCAAAACCCGAGCCATAAACGTGAGTCGCGAGACGCACCGATATCACATCGCGCAACTATTCGACTGTAGGATACCAACCGTGACGCTGTCGTTGGAGTTGTGGCAGGCCGGCACCACGTCGGGCGGGCAACGCGCCTCGCACTCCTCCCAGGACAGCCCCACGGCCGCCATGGCGCCCGGCGCCAGCTTGGCGTCCACGATACTGCGGCCTCGCCAGTAAGCCGCCAGCACGGCCTGCTCTGCTGTCAACGTCTCGTCGGCGTAGGCGCAACCTGCAACCACGAAGACCCATCAACATTCGACTCCCACGTCGTCCGCCGACTTCACACTATGGTGACCCCGCGCCCCGCACCCCGCGTTACTTACCGATTTCGCCCACCGAGTGGCCCACGATGCCTTCGGGGTGGATTTCGAGCGTGCGCAGCACGTCCACTAGCGCCACCTGCACGGCGGCGATAGACACGAAGGAGTTGACGACGTCGTTGAAGGCTTCGGCCGGCGCTTCGGTGATGATGTTGACGAGGTCGATGTTGTGGGGCCGCAGGGCCGCCGCCGAGCGGTTGATGCTGGCCGCGAACACAGGCAGCTGCATCAAGGCCTTGGCCATACCGGGCCACTGTGAGCCCATGCCCGAGAATACGAACCACACGGGCCGGGGCTCCCCGCTCTCTACTTCCTGCTCGCAGAAAAAAACGACAGGTTAGCCGCAGCTGTAAAAGCTTTATATGAAAGCGTCCCCCTAAGCAACAGATTCGAGCAAGAGAAGGCGTCACTCACGGCGCATTCCTGGATGGGCGGGTCGGTGAGCACGGCGAAGCCGCGGTGCGAGTGGCCGGGGATGTTGTGGCGGTGCACGGCGTCCAGCAGCGCGTGCAGCGCGGCGTCGTCCCGGTGCTGCACGGCCAGCCCCGTCAGCTCCGCCACCGCGTCCTCCGTGCGCCCCGACGCCAGCACGACGCGCGGCACGGCGCTGCGCGCGGGGGCGCGGGTCTTGCTGCTCGGCTCCGACTCTAAGATGACGTGTGCGTTGGCGCCCCCGAAGCCGAACGAGTTGATGGCCACCAGGCCGCCGTCCCACTGCGTGTTGCGGTCCACGACCTGCCGAGCGACATACGTGAGTGGCTGGTCCGGCGCAGAGCCCGCAGGGCGACCAAAGAGTATATAACCACTAGAGAGCTTATAGACCGATTTCTTCTAAGAACACGACTCACCACCGCGGGCCGAGGGACGAGGAATAACGCGAGACTGCAATTGGTCAGTTCAAGGTCAAATTGCGTAAGTATGGCTGTCGTAGGGGTGATCTATTTAATTTAAGGGAAAATAGCAAATATCGATAAAATGGTTTTATCGATATTGACTTTACATAATGTATATCTATCAATAGTTCCGGAATCTACGGAAATGTAAAATGAAAACATACAGACGAATAAAACTTAAACAGAGTTTTTTTTTCCAAATCTAAAGACGACTTCCGGAAGGATACGGGAGTACTATGCGTTAGAAATAATCCTTTTATAAGTCGTAAAAAAATTGTTTACCTATATTTTTGCATTAGAAATGCCTAGTAAAAGAACGAGACTTTTACAAAAGACATCAACATGCATATGTGCTTTTTTTACCCAGCCACCATTTTATCTAGATCCCTGCGGAGTCTCATAATTGGATGAAATAAAAAAAATATTTTCGTATTATTTAATTACCGATGAAAAGTAATGCCATCTTTTTTGTACTATATCCCGCATGAAGGCATTTTGATGCGATTGAATTGCAATAATAAGAAAGATATTTTTTTTTAATTTTGCGAGCGTACATCTCTAATACTTGGGCACAATTAAATTGTTACTAGTACCGAGGCCTAGACATAGGCGACTAATCGTTTTCGAGCGGCGGGGCATTGTATGCGCCGTCAAGTGGTTATAACGTCATTGAGGGCGATCGACGCTTCGCGCGGCTTACCTTGATCCTGCCGTCACTGAGCGCCGGGATGTCGGGGTTGGGGCTCTTGTAGTGCAGGTTGCCGGGGATGACGCCGCGCTCCATGGCCACGAGGACCTTGGCGACGGAGCACAAGCCGGACGCGGGCTCCGAGTGACCCATGTTAGACTTGACGGAGCCCAGCAATAGTGGCCCCTTGCGCCCCTTGCAGAAAAGTTCTGCGATGGCGTTTACTTCTTGAGGATCCCCCACCTGCAACATCACGTAACATTGGTGTTGGTCTAGTGTAACACATCTTCAGTTTCTACCTTAATAAACGTATCAATGTACATCCGATGAAATTGCCTTCATCAACTGGCCACAATGGTAAGCAGTAAAAACTCAAAGTCAAACATCCACTTGTACTATTTATCCTACACAGATAACATCTAAACACAACATCTATAACATGTTAGTTTATAAACACTGGCAAAATTGGATAAAGTTTAAAATTCACTAAGTTGTCAAGTAAGCAATTAAGTGTAGTCATTATGTGACAAACCCGTACCTTAGTGCCGGTCCCGTGGGCCTCGACGTACACGACGTCACTCGGCCGGAGCTTGGCTTCGGCGAACGTTTCCTCGGCGAGGCGGCGCTGCATGTCGCCGGAGGGGAAGGTGATGCCCTGGTCCTTGGCCCCGTCGGTATTGACGCGCAGGCCGCGCAGCGTGGCGTAGACCCGACGCGCCGCGCCGCGCCGCTGCAGCAGCACGGCCACGGCCGCCTCCGAGCGCACGTAGCCGCGCCCGCTCGCGTCGAACGCGGCGCAGCGGCCCTCGGGCGACAGCATGCTGAGCCGGTGGAAGTTCAGCGAGTTGGCGGGCTTCAGGCACAGGTTGGTGCCGGCGACGATGGCGGCGTCGCAGTGCCCCGCGCGGATGGCGGTGGCGGCCTGCGCCAGCGCGAACATGGAGCTGGAGCAGGCCGTGTCCACCGCGAACGACGGCCCCTTCAGGTCGAACGTGTACGAGATCCGGTTCGGGAACATGGCCCGGCAACAGCCGGTCAGCGCGTACCCGTTAATCTTGTCGGGGTCCACGGTCCACATCTCCTCCGTCTCAGAATTGGACACGCCGACGTAGACCCCGGTCCTCGAGCCTCGCAGCTCGCTAGGGTTGATTCCAGCGTCGATGATGGTCTCGTGTGTGAGCTCCAGTAACAGGCGCAGCTGTGGGTCCATGAGGTGCGCCTGCTTGGCGTGGACCCCAAAGAACGTGGCGTCAAAGTGTGCCAGGTCCTTGAGCTTGCCATTTCGTTCCGGGAGACCGTGCAATCCTGTCGCAACAAAACAAGTTTTCACCGTCAAGCCCCATATATTTTATTACTCGTAATAAATATTGTTAATGTACCTCAGTAGGAGGTTTAGTGTGCGTGAACCATACTTCGGCATGAACGGGACAGCTAGACCGATACCACGAACTTTTATAAAACCGGCTTGAATCAACGCTTGCCTAGGTTGTCAACGTGTAAGTGGAGAAACTGAAGTTCCAATCGTCCCCATCTCCCCAGGTTCCCAATTCTTCCACAGACGGGGCCCTAAAGGGCTGATGTTCAGCCGGGGTTGCGGGGTAAGCGCAATGAGGCACCGCGACCTCGGCCTACAGCAGGAGAAGGAACAGGGGGGTTTTTAGTCAGCCCCGGCCCCGGGCGGGAGAAGTCATTTGATGATTTTCCCCAAGGTTCCCAATTCTCCCATCGCGAACCCCCCAAAGGCCGACCACGCATTTGCAACTCTCTATGTTGCGGGAGCCAGTGATTGTTAACTATAAGTTTATCCGTCTGCTCGTTTCCCAGTCTAGAAAAGTAATCTTAAAAGGACAAAATGTGTAAAAATTTCATTAAATTTCTTAAGATGTGTTCCGATGTGTAAATATAAAAACCAAAGCAAAAAATCCAGTAATACCGCCCTCGATCTATATTACGTTACAGCATTGGAAACAAGTATATGAGTGTCATCCTCGTCTCTCGGACTCGACACACACACACACACACACACACACACACATGCACTATTTTAAGTCGAGCTCCGAATGCAATGACAAGCTGTGTCATTTGTCGGTACACGCAGTACACGTGGGGGGGTATGTAGGTACTGGTGTCACGGTGCGTGGCGACGGTGCTGGACGATACACATGTAAGGAGCAGATAGTGCCCTGAACATGTTTCACTTTCAGGTTTCAGATAAGTTGCTCCGTGCGTGTTAACAACTAGTCGAGCAGGCGCTTTACTCCGGATGTCGACTCATTACGAATTTGCCGAATGTGTTTGTTTATCAGCGAGCTATCTAAACAGTCCGCGTGACGTCAGGCGCGTGCGGAAACCTAACAAAGTCAATATTTTCCGGGTAGCACGATGACATAATAACCGATGACAGGTTTGACGAGTAAGATCTGTTAGCAGAGTGAGATAGCGGCGCGGTGAGCGTGTGTGCGTGGTGGCGGTGACGCAGGCCGCATCACGCCACCGCCGCGCTCCGCGAGTCGCGAGTCTGCCGCCGGCACACTGGACAGAGCGTCGTCCCAATAAATGAGCGAGCGCGACCGTCTAGAAACTACAAAATGATAAAATCAGGAGATTATGAGCCGCACCAACTACACGTGCCTAGCCAAGCCTAGCTCGCCCTTCTAGGCTATATTATACTGTGTTCCACTGTCGGCAGCACATTAGTATACTTACTATATATCTACCATTCATATTTTATATGTGTGTATATTTGTTTATAGTTTTAATATAATAGGTATATCTAAATATCTCCATTTAGTACGCGAGTACCGGACGCTAACATTAGCCTATACCTACTTTGTATGGCCCTGCTAACAATCGACGTTGTATTATACTACGTAAAATATAACATGATCTCCGGGACAGCTGTCAGTGAAGTCACATCTATGAAGTGCTGATTTTTTATAAATACTCATACTAGGTACTTATTAATGTCTTACTTTTTAACCTATTCAGTGATGTGTTGAACATATATTTTATTATATTCCTAGCCTTGTATATATAATTTATAATTTATAACTAATTTCATTTTTTTAATTTTTTGTAGGTCCCTATCTAAGTAATATTTAAATATCAATAACATTACCTATTTATATTTGTGCGTAACTATTATAATTAATTTGAGCTCAAACCGTAATACTTTAGTGCCAAATTAAACAAGTGGTCTCAATCAAGTACTAAAAAGCCAATACTTGTTCAAACTACGTTTTAAAATAAGGTGCTATTATAAACTCGACTAAAGCAAAAAATATCCATGATTAAATCGTTATTGTTTTACCAGTAACAACCCTAGAAATGTCAACGTGACAGACAAACAAACAAACCATTTATAACGGTGACAAGCGAGTTGCCGAAAATGAATTTAATATTTCAGATACAATTTAACATTCAACACCATGTTCTTCTAAATTAAAAAAAGAAAGAAAGATTTTTTTTTATTAATTTAACTTTCTTCAAAGAAGGCAAGATTGAAACTAAATGATATTACTACCTACACTCAGTTTCAATCATTCATGATCTTTTTTATGGATTAAGTCGGCAAACGAGCACACGAATTACCTGATGGTAAGCCATCGGCGTCGCCCATTGACACCCGCGACACCAAACGAGATACGAGTGCGTTGCCACTCTTTTGGGGATAAGATAGGAGAAAAGACTGAGCCTCCATGAAGTTATGGGATAACACAATGGGCACTATACATATAATACATTTTTTTCTATGAAAATCATCAAACGACTCCTCCCTCGGCCCTCGGTTGCGACAGACGTTGCACTCTACCACGAGATCGCGACATACACTATACACTAGCTCCCGTATGGTGGAGCATGAAGCTAGTGTCTGGAAGGCCGGCGCTCCATCGACGCGTTGGGATCTCATAAAGATCATTTTAAAGTATCGTTGTTGAGATTTCGTTAAAGGTATTTAATTTGACTAGTTGGAAACTAACTTATAACGAGTATGAAACGCGTCAATCATATTCTTATATTTGTTTTTCCTAACTTTATCTATTCTTAAGATGCACAAAGACTTCCTGGCTTCAAAACTTGACTAGCATTAGTTAAGTATTTTGAAGTATAGTTACAGCCAACCATTAGTCACGTGGCCATTCACGTAAACTAGATGCATATCAGTGTTTGGGTAAAACTATGACGCAATTGTAAGAGCCGTGAGTAAAACTGCTTGAGTGCCTACAGCTCACACATTGTGATGCGAGACCCGGAGCGTGGAGCCTCCACCCGCCGCACCATCTTACAGCCTTGGGGCTCTCAATGTTCTCACGACATTGTTGTCACTCAATTTATTATTAACTAACAATGTAACATTTATGTTATTTATGATCTGTTTATAGTTGTTATGGTTGCGAGGACTGCCGAGCAAGGAGTACCTATCAGGTTCGATTCCTGGGACCAACTTGTAGTTGTGTTGAATGTCGTGACGTTGTAAGTATTGTTTGCAATTGGCGAACAAGTAGTCGCGGGTAAGGTAATGGTGAGTGAGTCAGTCGATGTACCGATAGCCCGCGTGCCGTGTCACACGCAATTTGTTCATTTGACCACGACGCGCCGAGCTTCCGTAACATCTCGCCGTCTGATCAATGCGCGATGGAGCGATCATTCTGCTAAGTGCTGCTCTAACGACCGATCTATCGTACCTGTGTTTACCTACCGGCTCCTACATTTATACAAACGTCACAGAGCTACTATGTTTGTCTTCTCAACTAAACGTATAGGTAATTTTAATTATGTATTTGACATTTGACGTTAAAGCATTATAAGTGTTTAATTTATACATAATGACCTTCAACGGACGTCTTCACACCACGAAAGATTTATTTTAAGTACCTACGTACGGTCAGTTTTGTTAACCAACGCAATCTTCTAGAAATCTAAGAATACGTGTGGAGGCGGCCGAGCTGCCCGCGCCGCGGCGTGCAGCGAGTGCGCGCGCCGTGCTGCACTGTAATGTCGGCGATATGTTGAGCAATCAATGCGCGACCCGCGGGTCAGCAGCTGACACTGACGCCGGTAGCCAGCCACCGTATCAGCACGACCATGCCATGCGCACGCGCACTATCTCTCACCTGATGCGATTCATCAGGAAGAAGTCGGAAGATAAAGTATGTAGTAAATATAAACGATACCTCATACGTAACTGGTTTGCAAGGACTCGAGTCCAGGCGACTTACACTTAGTACCTCCTTGGTCATCACTCCTAAGAACTCCTCGAACCACTGCGTTGTCACTAGTTATGATCACTTGTGATACCAGCTTTATACTCTAGACGCAGTAAGAGGCAACCTTTATTTTCTATCTGATAACGTGCTTGAAATGCAGCTCCAAAACTGAATGTTTAGCAAAGTGCATGTTTGGCATTTGTATTGTGCACCTAGCTGCGATCATATCAATGTTTCGTATTATCGCCCATGCCGGCACTTATCAACAGTTCACATCGTACGAATCGTCGATATCAAATCATCTCATAAAACCAGTTTAAACTACACTTACATTCGCGCAACTCGAATTTTTAAGTTAGGTACAATATTTATATTCGACTGATACTGATAACTACCAAACCACCAACGCTAGAAGAGCTACAAGGGATAACTGTTACGAAGTAATAAATAGTCTTACCTGGCGTCCATCGTCTGTCGTCTGCGGTGACCAGATCTACACCGTCGAACAGTTGCTGTGCGAACTCCTCGATGGTATCAGACTCGGGCAGGCGGCCCGACAGCCCCGTCAGCACGATGTCGTCCTCCGCTCCCCTGGCCCCGTTGGTCACAGCACTCGGCATGGCAGTGTCTCAGCAGGACTTATCTGCAACAGAGCACCGCTACAGTACACTGCATCGCGTCGCCCGCGCCCGTTCCCGCCTGCAGCGCCCGACGCTCACCTTCACAGGCTAATGTAGAGCTCCGGCCTAGTTCCGAGTCGACCGTCGTTTCAATACGAAATGTTACGTTCGGGGTTTATAAGTATAACGCACGGCCGGAACGAAAGGTGCGTGATACGCGCGAGGAGCGTGCGAGCCGAGTGATGCGGCGGCGGTGCGACACGCGGTTAAAAGGGCGCGATAGCGGGGTCGCGGCCCGAAGCGTCACGTTTCCACGAGACCCCGAACCCGCGTTATCTCGTCACAAGGACGGACAAGGTCGCCGTGTCCTTCCTCCTCAAGAAAGTTACCAATTTCTGCTAAAACTTATACCGGCCTGTGAAGGTATACGCGACTACAGCAACGGTAACTACGAGGCCGGCGTTTCTCGAGGGATGTAATGGCAACACGGTCGCGCCGCGAGTCCGATTCGACCTCCGAGTGTTCCCTTTATCTAGAGAGGTCGATCTAGTGACCCCGCGATTAAATACGCAAATAATCATAATCTGGAATGTAAATCACGCGCCGAATCATAATATTACACTCGACAGTGTGCGAAATCAGTATCAACATATGTATATATATTTGTACAGGGTTTCATATATCATCATAATATATCAAGATCGAGTTTGGCGGTCCTTGGATGCAGAGCTGATGTTTGCGCGCCGCGCGCCGACGCAGTGCGCGGTGCCAACGTCCCATCATGGCACAACAATAGGGCTCCTTTGTAAGTCAATTGGCGAAGTCGAGCGACACATCGGATCACTTCTCACAATGTCTCGTTCAACTAAAGTACCTCAGATTGAGAGTCGCACAGCTTCGCGAGCTGGGTGGGTTCACTTCCCGCTTCGCATCGCCTTTAATAGCTAATGCCCACGCTAGTTTTTTAAGGTAATTCGACTGCCTCACTATTTTATCGGAGTAACAAGCGACAAACTAAACAAATATTTTGTTTATTAAAAAACTCAATAGAGGATACGTTCCCTTACAAAGCAAGAGAGCAGCGCCTCGTGTTAAGCTGTACCTTCCTCGTGGCCTACGAGGATATTCTTATCAAACGTTGATGATCCTGCTATTTTTGTTACCTATTGCGCTTGCTGCATGAAATTATTCGTATTCTGTTCATGAGGTATATTTCTAAGTAGTTTTACTACGAGATTTAATGCTGTACACAACCAAATCAATCCTAGGGACTGAGATCCAAGAAAATTATTGTTTTATTGTGGTACTAGATTTACAAATAGAAACAAATGAGAATTCCAAAAAGCTGGCAGCAGCAATTTGCAGAAGGTCACAATTATGTAAAATACGAAAAAGAAATATTCATAAGTCTGTGCATCTAAATACAAAATACTTGCGGGTTTGTTCGACGTTGACATCGCGATCGCTACTACGAGTACTGGACCACTAACCCTGAGGGACGACGTGCTCGCAGCAGTAGCGGGCGGAGGGCACATGCTGGAGGTATTAATGCGCGACTATTTATCCGCAGCATACATGGCCATGAATCACGATCCTCCCGTAGAGCTGCCCACAAGTGGCTGTCGGGCCCCCAACTTGGGAAATAACGTTGAAAACGGGCCACTGGCGCATATTAACTTGAAAGCTGGCCCCTGAAGTGAAGGCATACCTAAGTACTCCATCCATCTCAGGTATTTCACGGTATACCTGCACGGTTACAGTCGAGGACCCGTTAATCCACATCCATTTCAATATAGACCCAAACAAACCCGTCCCGATAACACCAGTTAGAATTGTTGTAGACCAATTGTAGGTAGTCGTAACCTGTGCTCGTTATATCAAAATATGTTTGTCAAGACATTGTTTTATATTTTTGTCCAGATATTTAAGTGTTAGTAACAGTAAAATTACTGTTAGCTTACTAACAATAATAAAAAATAGGAAATGTGTGCGATGTTTTTCATTCTTCATCTTTACTGACGTCATTGAGGTTATTTTACAATTGATGCTATTATTAAGCCTTTTTTGGGGGGCGAACTCCTCTTGCACAGGCTGGGGCGAGAGGGAGTGTCAGACTCATACCGACTGTTCCTTCTCCTGCTCTCCTACCGGTACCCTATTGAGCTGACCCCGCAACCGCGCCTGAACATCCGGTACCGACCTGTCGTGGTCTACTGGCTCTTTGAGGCGCGCGCGGAAAGCTTTGTGCTATACGCTCGGGTCGGACGGCGATCTACCATTGCTCGCTGTCCGCAGACCCGCGGAAAACGTCTGTTAGTCGCTGAGCGCGATCCGCACATGCTTGGTATTGCTTCCTAGCTACTCAAACTAGCCGACTGCCTCGTAGGGTCGAGCATTGGTCGGGTGGACGCAAATCCGAACGCAAGGGGATCTACAGGTTTGAATGCCAGGTCGGGCAAGGCAATAGGTATTTTCTTTTTGAATTTCTAAGAAAGTAATTATAGCACGGAGTTAAGAATTGTGACTGGTATTTGGCAATGGGCAAACTTGAAATGTCTAAAGTCCTTAACTTGGTATAGGCTCTATTAATTGCTACAAAAACGGCTTTATTTCAACAATGGCTTCATCCGTCGTGTAGCCCCACCAACATCATCATCATCCTGTAAAGTCCCGCTGCTGAGCAAAGAACTTTTTCGAACGTTCTCTTTTGTAGAACATTCTATACCTACATGAGTCCAACCACAAGTTTAGGTACTCATGTTATTTGTTAAAACAAGAATTTATTTGGATGCACTAAAAATAATAAAAATCTAATAAGATTAAATAAAAGCCACGCATTACACAATTTATATTTACATAACGTGTTTAACGCGTGGTAAAGCCTGTCGCTAGATTTACCTGGGTTTCATGTTCAAATTATTTTTAAGCTAAACATTACGTAAACTTGATACGAGTATTAACATAAAATGGAATTATAGATGCAAATATAAATACTACGCAATATTTTCATTATATTGTTTTCAATTGTTCACAACACAATCAATCTAGACGTCAAGCAACCTCCTTGTGGCATCTGTCGAACATTTCAGTTAGCCTCAGCAGTTAACGCAGGGATAAAGTCTAGGTACTATAAGCTTGCAATTTCCAAAAAAGCTCCTGTGGACACTTCACACGGTATTTTATATCTGCTCAAAATGACTCCTGATCCTGGACCTGGGAACCTGTTGTACCTACCTAAATCACATTTTCGTTAAAAAAAAATTTAAAACGCTGTTTGAACTACTGCTTTTTGACAAATTGCAGCTGTTAGATAAACTAATATGATATATAAATGTCGTTTTTACAGATTTAGTTTTAACTAAAAATTATTGAATGGGTACTACACACATGGTCCATGGTGTACCTTGACTCACATCCAATTATGATTAACTTAAATAAGCATACTACATTCTAAACTTGGCTAAATGACTCGTACAAATATAATCTTGTTTTTTATGGTATAGCAGCAGACCAGACCAGCAGAATCAGTGCTGCCCATGGACACCCGCAACACCAAAGGAGTTAAGTATTTATGGATTGGGAAGGGATGAGGGAGAGGGAGGGATTGGGGCTCCGGTAACCCCACTCACACGGTGAAATAGAACGCTATGGTTGATTCATGCCGGTTTTCTGTGATGCCGTGGTATCACTACGGTCGAGCCGACCCATTCTTGCCGAAGTTTGGCTTTACCACACTTAAAAGAAGTAAGTAATCAAAAATAAAAAAAAAGTAAATATCTTACTTTTGTATCGCGAAAACGTTAAAGTGATCTCCCATGCAAACTCGAAACAATAGCCGCCTGCAACTTACTTTATGTTGATTAGACTTGTCAAAATTCAGTATACCTACCATGAAAAGACGAAATGTAAATATAAAAAAGGGGCTCGAGGTACAACTGTAACTTATATCAATACATTTCTCAACGTTATCAATTAATAGACATAATTATCCCCTTTCTAGGGTCCCGTTGTCAATTAAACCCTTATAGTTATATCTGCCTGGCTGTCCGTCCGCGGATAATCTCAGTGACAGTTAGCTCTAGGAAGCTGATGGCAACACAGTGTGGTAAAATAAAAAGTGGAAATAAATATTTTATAAGGGTACCCCGATATTTTATTTTTCATTTCAACCCCAACGTGATATACATATGTATATTGTTGGATAGTTTTTTAAAAATAAATAGGCGTGTACCACGATCGGTTTTTGATAATTTTTGAAAATAAGTTAACCCCCCTCCCCCCGCCCTAATGTTTGAACAATAAGTAGAACTTAATAAAAACTTTCTAGGAAAAATATTTTAAACTGGATAGGTTGAACTATTCTTAAAATATCAAACTAAATTTGTAGGTAATTTAACTATTTTTATTTATTATACCTAGTCTAGCCATAAATACTGTAACAAATAAAAACAATATTATTTCTATTGCAAATAACATTTATTACTTTTACAGTATGTTAGTACATAAATATAAAACAATTTAAAACATAAAAAGCTTATTCGAAGTGGTCTCCATTGGCTGCAATACAGTCCTTTAAACGTTGAGGCCAGTTATCAATAGAAGCACGCACGTTTCCAACCAAAACTGCGTGGACCGAGCTTTATGGAAGGACCATTGTTAGTTATTGAACATGGTGTTGTTAAGGGGCTTAACTACCTTCTCAAGAATGGTATTTTGATACACCTGTGCCGATGTTTTGATACCTTTTTCGCAAAAGTATGGCTCAGTCACTCCTTCATAGCTAACACCTTACCAAACCATCACTGAAGTCGGATAATGCCCACGTTGCACTCTGTCGACTAATTGACAAGCTTCCTTAGAGCTTTGAGCACAAATACGGTCATTTTGTTTGTTCAAATGTTGCTCAATTGTAAAAAAAATCTCATCCGTAAACAAAATTTTTCTGTGACCTCCCTTTGCTTCAGTAGTTGTTTAGATTTTATCACGCTATTCTTTTTTAAATTATCATTTAATTAATAATGTCCAGTGCGTCTCTTATAGGCTGCAAGTCCTAAGTCGTCTTTTAAAATACGCGACATGGTTCTAGGTGCTATCTTCATCTCCCGAGATAAAATCTTTTGCTTTCGGACAGGATTTCTTCGAATTCTTTCCCTTGCTGCTATGACCACCTTTTTCGTACGAACACTACGTGGACGGCCAGATCTTTTTCTGTCACAAACAGAGGAGGTCTCATTGTACCTATTAATAGCCCGGTACACAAACATTTGACTAATGCCAAGCGTGTGGAGATTTTTGAAAATTGCATTTGGCTCCTACCCACTTTGTGTAATGCAATCACAGCGATTCGGTTCTCTTTATCACCCCACTCCCTTTTAATATCGCAAAATATTGAACAATTTATTGGCGCCAAAATAAGAAAACACAATGAAAAATTATATAAAAATGACAGATTCCAAATTCAAATGTAATATTTTGTTTATTTTTAATTGTAACAGTATTTATGGCCAGACTATGTATATATGTATATATTTTTTTATTGTAGCAATGCAAGCAAGTACGCAAGCATTTTAACTTAGTATATTTTACTAGCTACTCTCGCGGTTTCACTCGCTGCTCGGCTCCTACAGGTCTCAGCGTGATGTTTATATATAATTATATAACACTCAGGAACGTCTGTCAGTGAAAGAATTTTGAAAATGTGACCTTTCTAAAGATAACCTCTTCATACAAACCTTCAAATTTAAAATTTTACATCTTTTCTTAGTAGTAGTAGTAAATATAGATTATTCTTAACGTAGGGCCTATCTTCTTTCAAATAATTATTAAAATCGGTTACACCAAAAACTTTACGGACGGACGCTACCGTCCCATGTCCTGACACAGGAAACTACTGAACGCTACACTGAACGTTGCCCGATATGACCTACCTAACTGCTTATCTTCCTACGGTCCTACCAATATAATAAAATATAAAAGTTTTTAAGAATGTATGTCTATAATAAAATAACGAAAGAACATAACTATTGAAGTTTTCACTAGAGGTTTCGAACATGTCATAAATATTACTTTGCCATTACAGGTAACTTAACCTAATTCGACATAGTAACTTAAATAATAAAATTATGGCTCAGAGCAGCGATTTCTGTCTACAAATGTCACAGACAAGTGCATCCGTTGGTTAGTGGGAGCCATGTTTCAGTAGGAATAGGCAGACTCTACCGGACTGATACCACGGCCTCAACTGGCGTGAAGCTAGCTAGCTATGCGGTATACTTGACGAGAAGAGCCGACTAAATATCCTATATACTAGCCAGCTAAGCTGTATAAAATTATCGTCACGGTTAGAAGAGAGAAGTATTAAAAATCATAAATAAGATCCCAACAGTGCTCTTTCAATTCATATAGATTATATTATAAAAAACCGCGTTTGGGCGAGGTAATAATTATATACTTAGTTAGCCATACTGCAATTCCGACAGCCCAAGGTGTAAAAATCCTTCATGACCATAGTTGCATCATACAGGTAGCTCACAATTCTCGGATACCGCCAAGCTTTTCCCGCGTATTACCGACGAAAGTGATTGTAAACCCTTACCTCTGTAAGGGTTCACAATCACATTGATGGACATGGACATTGATTCTGTTGAATCGAGTAGAAAAAACAGACGATATATTTGTTTGTTTTACAATGTTACTAAGTGTATTATAATGTCCTACACTCGTGCCAGCCATCGTTTGCATCATGAGTACAATATGGATGAAACTATTATTCCTCGTGTCAGAGCAGTGATTTAAAGTTTTGTGATCATGTTATAATTATTCAGCCCAAAGCCCTTACTCAAAAGCTTAGACTTTATCACAAGGGAAACTAAGGACTTCGGTAATTAATCTGCTGTGAAGATTTTATACAATTCATAAGTTAGAGGCCAGCTATAAACGAGTGCTGTCACATGGACTGTCCGTCCAGTTATTGTATATAGCCTCACGATGGAAAAGATGCAAAACAAATCCATTCCATACTTATGCCTTAAAAAATACGGAGTGTAACCTTTTTATACGCTCGTGTGTGACTGCAGAAATTGTGAGCTTCAGTCGAACTATATGTATAAGAGTTTAAACATTTCAAATTTTTACCTATGTAACTTTTATTTAGTTTTTGTTTTTGTATAAAGTTTATTTTTCTTATTTTCATTTGTTAAATACTATTGTTTCTATGCATGGCAACATTGTCGCATTCGGTGGTGTACCTGTAATGATGGAGTTGTACGCATAGATTTGTAACAAGTATTGTTATAAATTTATGGTAGTACGAGAAAAAATAAAAAGTACTTGTAAGGACTCCAGAACAAACAAGGTTTCGATAGAGTCAAAGGCTTTGTCAATGTCCACAATCCATGCATATCTAAAGGGCAAATTATACCTACTCGCAGTTTTCAGTACAATCTACGTTGAGTGTATTCTATGGAACCATAATAATATCCTCCTCTGCTCCCAGCTTCGCCAGGAGGCTTAAAATCATCGATCACGTTACGCCCGAGATGGTTTGCGTCGAGTCTAGTAAACAAAATATATGTAAACATGGCTCACAATTGAAATTGCTCGATACTTCAAAAGGGTTTTTTCTCACTTTTTGAAGAACTTAAGAGAAAGTAACAGAACACTGCTAGGCTACATAGAACCCGGTAAACATTAGGTGATAACGCTATGTACGCCATTCAGTAGTCAGAAAAATAATTTGTCCAAAATCTCATGATTAGTGATGGTGGATGCTGTCGGCAGATTACGGCTTAGGGCACTGTTGCATCTTCCGGATGCGTCATAATCTTCATATTATTAGAAGGGTCCGACACTATTTAACTGATTCGGGACAAAAGTCGAGTCATTCAAGACTTGAAATGACCCAATAAGGTGAACCATTTAATCCACAATCCACAGCACAGTAGGCGCTGAGAACACTTTCAGATAAATTAACTAAAAATCGCGGGTTACTCACGTGTATAACCCGCGATTTTTAGTTAATTTAGTATGTCTCACGATAGTTATTATAAAAACACTTTCAGATAAATTTTATTGGCTAAGTTATAAGTATTTTTACCCTCTTCGCCCTATTTATTTCGGGTCCTCTATTGTAAATTGGTATTATTTGATATAACCAACTGCTTCTGGAGGCTCGCCTACTGCGGCAGGGTCGTGAGGAGGCTACGTTCCTATCTAGCTCCGCCTTCAGCTCAAACAGGGTAAACCGCCACCGTATGCTAGGACAGCAAACGAGCAGACGGATTACCTAATGGTAAGCAAACAAAGCCACCCATTAACACCCGCAACAACGGAGGAGTTATGAGTACGATGCCGACCTTTTAGGATTAGAATTTTAAAGATTTAGGCATTGGGGAAGGGGAAGGTTGAGGCCTCCGGTAACCTCACTCACACGACCAAATACAACGCTGTGGTTGTTTCACGCCGGCTTTTTGTGAGGCCGTGGCATCACACCGATCGAGCCGTCCCATTCGTGGCGAAATATGGCTCAAGTGTACCTAAATCTGTTTAAGAAAGACAATGAACAGGACACTATACATGTAGGTTGTCTTAAGGAAATAGAATTGTAGAAAAACATAGTATACATAAATATAATTTAAGTAAGTATAATTTTTACGTACTCTTGCAGATTTTATTGATAGTAAAAAGCTGTCTTGTTGAGTTTGATGATTTTTAAATAGTTTTTTGCAAACATATTGAAGATCGAGGACAAAAATAACCTGATGACGTCACCAAGTTAGCGCGCAGATCTGTCGAAGGATCATCAATCTGTTTACCGATCTTAGGTAGCTTTACTTTGTTTTCCAAATAATAAATAGTGATGTTATCTTTTTAATTAATAAAAATATTATAAGTTTTCCTACTAGATAAGTCAAATTATCGCAATAGCACATTAACAAACCCGTACTGACTACTACCTAACTAAAACGTAAAAGTTTGCCACCCGTTCCCGTTCCACTCCTGTTGCGAGTCTGGGCCGCGGTAACTTATCGCAACCAATAGGTACCTACACCGTTGGGGATTACCAAAATTCTCGTTGTAAATCCGCATTCGTAGTTGGTACAGGTACAGATGATACTATAGATCATGTACTCATGCATATGTATACGAAAAAAATACAAAAATATATAAACTAAATATTATTCTATACCTACCTGTCCATAAATGTAACTATCGAATGTCGTAAAATAGTTTAGGAATATCGGTACCCACCAAGTATGTTGTTTTACATTTACATAAACTTCTACTGATGGGTATAGGTACCTACCTATTAGCTACATAATTACAACAAAACAAACATTGTATATAAATAAATAGGTATGTACTTCGTTAGAATTTTCAAGTTTCAAATCTAGTACTTATAAGTATACCTACCTAAGTTCCCCAAGGAATATGACAATAATTATTCGAATAAGATAGGTTTCGTCTAGGAAGATACTTCACACTTAACTCAATAACCAACAGAAAGTATAACTACTTAAGTAATAATATTAGGTATTATATAAAGTAAACAAATATCATTCGGGGATAAAACGAAAAGCTTTAAACTTGGTCTCGCGTCATTGCGTGTTACTTGTTATAATTACAATAAAAACAATTGCTGTAGTGCGTAGATCCAGAGCATGCAAGACAATGATTAATCAAACAAACAATATATTTTATATTTCCTATTTCATAAACTTGTCCCTGCAATTATAGTAACTTACAATTTGTAATAATGAAGAACCTCGTGTTGAATTGCCGTTTAAAACGGTTTTCGTGGTCAATACACTCGTGTTGTGTCTTTTTATGTACCTAGGTATTAAATATTTTTATGATTATAAAATATCACACAGCTTCACTCCGTTAATAGTAACACCGTAACATTAGTTGTAATAATATGGGTTCGCGACTCGAGTATCGACCGGCGCGCTACTTGCAGACGTCCGGCACGTCGCAGCGCGACTTCGTTTTCAGCGCGACTGTGCGGTGTGTGAATGCGAAATGCGAAGAGGCGATCGCTTGCGCGGTATCTAATTGCGGTGAGCGCGGGGCGTGCGGGGCGAAGCGCGTTGCCATGGTGCGAGATCAGGCCACGTGCCTGCGGCCAATGGCAGGACGCGGTCGTCCCTCGAGTGTGAGTGTCGAGCACGCCACGGCGTCGTGCCGTGTCGCCGCCGCCACCGCCACCCGCCACCCCAAAGCGCCCAGCCTGGCCGTGAGCTGTAGTCTGAGTCTGTAGCGTAGCGCCTGTCTGTCAGTCACAAAGCTACTATAGCATATAATTAAACTGGGTAGTCACGCCGCGCTGCGCGCCGTCATATGGTGGAGCATGGAAACTTCTGAATGCTAAGAGATGTCTAAATTATCAAGTATCTTTCTGATACCTAGATACCATTTATGTTTTCAGCTGTATGCAAATGGCCCCTGACCCAATTTATAATCGTTGTCATTTGGGGGAAGAATTAGATAGACAAATTGCAGGTATGTAAGTACACAACTTAATATTTTTCTGTACCCTTTCATTTGTATACCTTCAAACTAGCCATTTACTTACATATACAAAGGTATCTACATAAGTATAAGTCTGTATTAACATTATAAAAAAACCCGAGACTATCATTTGTCATCTATGTATTTGTTATATACATAGTAGATACGTTAGTAGCTACACTGTCATTCTTGCTTTCAACTTTTTTCCGTAAGAGAAAATGATTTTCATTTTCATAGTGAATTATGTAACTATATACATATAATTTAAAAAAAAACTTAAGAGGGGTTCTTGGGTAATAACAATGACGCTAAAGCCTAAATCGCTGATCAAACTGAAACAACTAATACCTTTTTTTGTGAGTGGAAAATCATCAAATGGCTTCTCCCGCCCGGGGAGGGAGTGTCTGACTCTTACTGACTAAAAACCCTCCTGTTCCTTCTCCTGCTCTGGGCCGAGATCGCGGTGCCTCATTACGCTTACCCCGTAACCCCGGCTGAACATCAGCCCTTTAGAGCCCTGTCTGTGGTGGTCTATTGGCTCTTTGAGACGCGCGCGGAACGCTACGCGCCGTACGCTCGGGCCTGGTTCCGGTCGGGCGGCGAGCTGCCCTTACTCGCCGACCGCAAACCCGCGCTTACGGTGGCCGGAGATCATCTCTCGACCCCCGACGACGCCCGGAATGTCGCCTATTGCGGCAGAGTGAATCATCAAAGTCATACCCGAACAACAACAGTTTTACAAAAATATATTGATCGGTAACTCCTATTCATCAAACTAACAATAGGTATTCTTGTTGTGTGTTATAGGTAATCTTTACACTATTTTTGTTTTACTTGGCACCAAATTCAAGATTATAAAATGGTTATTAATATTATTTTCTATTTAACTAAATGAAAACATGTATTAATTTCTACAAAGAAAATTTATTTTTTTCTTTTTATTTTTAGTTTACTTTTTGAAGTCTGAATATTTTTTCTGTTAAAAAATATTTATTTCAGTAAGTAGGTACCTAGTTACTCTATTTTTTTTAAATGACTTTGGGAAACCACAATCTGAAAGTTCTTAGAAAATCAAAAACTGATTACATTAGCGATGGAACCACTGGGAAAAGCATTTTGCCCACTCGTCCTTATGGGTCTCTTCAATGGCATCGCGATACGCAGCCACCGCTTCTTCAGCATTCATAAACCGCTATCCTTTAAGTTATTCTTTATAATTGAGAAATCACCTATCCTTCCAAAGAACCAGGCCACCATTTTCTTTCTCTTCACTTTAGTTGGCAACTCCTCGAAAGGAAACAACCACTGAGCAGATTGTCTTTTGGTTTCAGGATCATAACAGTAAATCCAGTTTTCGTCATCTGTTATAGTCCAGGGTCGATAATTTTTAAAACGAAATTTTTTTAATTTTTAAAACCACGCTTTTAAGTGTAAAAAACGGTTTTTCTCGATTTCCGGCAAAAGTAAAAGTCCTTTCGAAAAAAGTCAAATGGAAAAGTTGTAGATAATAAAAAGATCTAAAACTTTTGTATTTACACTTTTTTCACATAACCCCAAAATTTATGTGAAAAATTCAAAAAACCAAGTTTCTAATCAAATTTTAAAATTTAATTTTTTTTTATATTTTTATTAATTATTATTTTCAGCGCAACACAAAAATAATGACGTAAACTGACTTTGATGTGTGTTAATCATGACTTCGTATATTCGTCGATAATCGTACAATATATGAAAAGTTTTGCCATGAAAAATGTTCTCTAAAATGTTATGATTACGTAGATAAATATTACTTACATTGCATTAAGTTTAAGCATATAAAAATAAAACACGATTTACTTCAATCTAAGACGGAAGTATAGCTCCCAGGGTTTTTTTAAGGGTTAAACATGAAAATATCAAGTTGTTGGAAGCTGGTGGAGGCGATTTTTCAGCCAGAGCTTCTATCGGTTGAGGTCATGAAGCTGGGATTTTCGATTCATGGCAAAGGTGTATAAAAGTGGCAGTAAAAAAAATTGGCTTTGAATATGTGAACTATTATAATTTCAGGCTTTATTAATTAACAGACTTCCAAAAAGGAGGGGGTTCTCAATTCGACCGTATATAATGTTTGTTCGCCGATATCTCCGTTATTTATGAACCGATTTTGATAATTCTTTTTTTATTGGAAAGGAGATAGTCCCAGAATGGTCCCATGATAAGGAAATCAGGATCTGATGATGGAAGACCAGAGAAATCGAGGGGAACTTTCAAAAATTGTAGGGGCGAGTGGTGCTTTTGCATATGATTTTAGTAGGCTTTTGACAAATTTACAACTTGCCGATGTTCGAACCCGACCTGATGATGGAGCCGGAAGACAGTCGAGGGCTCCCGTGACTATTTGGAATAGTTGCCTTGTGTTTGGGCTTGAATGATTCGTATTGGTGAGTACTTTGCACCAAGATTGGTCGTGAATGTCATTAAGGGTCTGATGATGAGAACGATGGACAGCTCAGGGAACTCCTGAACGGTTTACAGTAACTACCTCGTGTTTGGACTTCATTAATTTGTATTATATTTCGACTTTAAGATTATAAAATAGTTATTAAATATTATTTTCTATTTAACTAAATGAGAATATGTATTAGGTACTTTGAACAAAGTAAATTTATTTATTGCTTTTTAGTTTACTTCTTGAAGTCGGTTTTTTTTGTTATTAATTATTTTATACTAAACTGACGAAATCATTATACGTCAGACATGTACCACATTATCAAAATATATTCATCAAAATCCCACTATATCTACCACAATCAGTCCACTTGTGACTTTGAACTCTGTAACAAATATCATCTGTTGCCAGTTACCAGTACGGATCGACGTAACCTGGCAGATTGCTCATTCTTGTTGAAAATTCTCGATAAGAATGTTGATAGCCTTGAGCTATTATCCAAATGTTATTTCACTGTGCTTGCTGAAATATGTCGGTTTTAAATCCTTCTTCTGTCTAACTTCGCTGCTATAGGTAATTACCTACCGAAACCAGTCATTTGTTAGTTTTATTTTTTCGGGAGTTGAAAAAATAAATAAAATTAGATTTTGTTATGCTTGTCCCGAGTTTACATTTCTCATCTCGTATTTGTGCCACTCAAGTCGCCATCTCGGAAAAACTGCTGAAAATACTTAAAATAAAATTTACTATAGCCTTTTTACGTACCAGAAGGCGGACGCGAGCGTTCGGCGAGCAATAATATGTAGCCGGCCGACCGCGAGCGTGCGTTTCGCGCACCTACCACCCGCGCCTTAAAGAGCCAAGTGCGGGCCAATCATACGTGTCCGTTACCCAGGCCAGATGTTGTCGACAATGGTCATTTGAATCTTATAGATAATTAGTTGTGCGGCTTCTGTAATTGTTGCGCACATTTTTAAATTTGTTGCGCTTATAGTTTTTTAATTATTTCACAAAAACATTTCCTGCTGGCGTAACGTTACCACAGCCAGACCTTTTTCTTTCTAATGGGAATATTTAAATAAATATTAGCTATAAAATTAGTTGTCTAGATAAAGTAAATGTTGTGCCTTATTTTGTATTTGTTCTTTCTTCGGTTGCGAAGTTATTCGAGATTTTGCTGCGGTAACGTTTTTGGTTTTGCTAGATCTTTGAAATGGTTAAGCGGATTCTTATCTTATTTTGTACACGACTTCCGAGGACTTAGTTTAAATTTGTTGTGCAATAACAAAACCAAAATAATGCATATTTTAAAGGTTTTTTCATTAAATAGAAAAACACTTAAATTGGCCCCAGCACTCTCAATAAAAAGTCTAAAGACTTACTAAAACGTAATTTTAAAGCTTGTAACTGCCTTCAAATGTATGTGAAGTTTCATTAGTATCCCGTAAGTATTTAACAAGTTATGATGATATTCAGTTCTTCACGAGCACGGTCTTAATGCACGCGGTGTTATTTGGCCACTGGATTGGATATATGAACTGAATGTTATGTCAATAATTAGTTGTTTAGATCAGTTGTATATCAGTAAAATTTCAGCTCAATACATTGGATAATTAATGAGATAATACTATGAAAGTCATTAGGAAGTGAATGACCGTGGTAAGCCGACCAAGTTTAGGTGGTTACGAAAAAGCGAAAACGCAGAACATTAAGGTACCTTCTAAAATATGTAGGATAGTGTTTTAAATTTAGTACAGACATGTACAAAAGTTTAAAAAAAAACTACATGATTATTCAAGATTTTTTATTGAAAGGTAAATTAATCATTTCAATTGAACTTTTACTCCCTTACTTATAAAAACTTGTGTTGCTTAGCAACCGATTAAACATCACCCGTCCTTGTCATTTCTATTTCAAAATGCAGTTCAAAAATCATCTAAAAGGTTACAAAAGTAACCTTCTGGCAAGACTGAGTGCGTTATGCAAACAATGTATTACCCCTTCACCCCACTCCTCCTGCGTCCTACCGAACGGCATGCTCTAGCGGTGATTTTTGATAATTTTGTGGAACTGGAATATAATGTTTTCTTATAAATTATTATTATATAGGTATTTAACAGTGTACGCGTCTGTACCAAAATTGTAAGGTGTATTATACTAAACATTTCAAAAGATAGTACAATGTTCTGCGTTTTCGCTTTTTCGTAACCACCTAAACTTGGTCGGCTTACCACCGGTCATTCACTTCCTAATGACTTTCATAGTATTATCTCATTAATTATCCAATGTATTGAGCTGAAATTTTACTGATATACAACTGATCTAAACAACTAATTATTGACATAACATTCAGTTCATATATCCAATCCAGTGGCCAAATAACACCGCGTGCATTATGACCGTGCTCGTGAAGAACTGAATATCATCATAACTTGTTAAATACTTACGGGATACTAATGAAACTTCACATACATTTGAAGGCAGTTACAAGCTTTAAAATTACGTTTAAAGTAAGTCTTTAGACTTCTTATTGAGAGTGCTGGGGCCAATTTAAGTGTTTTTCTATTTAATGAAAAAACCTTTAAAATATGCATTATTTTGGTTTTGTTATTGCACAACAAATTTAAACTAAGTCCTCGGAAGTCGTGTACAAAATAAGATAAGAATCCGCTTAACCATTTCAAAGATCTAGCAAAACCAAAAACGTTACCGCAGCAAAATCTCGAATAACTTCGCAACCGAAGAAAGAACAAATACAAAATAAGGCACAACATTTACTTTATCTAGACAACTAATTTTATAGCTAATATTTATTTAAATATTCCCATTAGAAAGAAAAAGGTCTGGCTGTGGTAACGTTACGCCAGCAGGAAATGTTTTTGTGAAATAATTAAAAAACTATAAGCGCAACAAATTTAAAAATGTGCGCAACAATTACAGAAGCCGCACAACTAATTATCTATAAGATTCAAATGACCATTGTCGACAACATCTGGCCTGGGTAACGGACACCAATCATACACCGTGGTTGCGGCTACAAGCGCAATGATGCACCTTGCTCCGGAGCAGAAGGGGCGTGGCGGTTCTTGGTCAGTAATACCCTCTCTCTACCCGGACGCATAATGCGCGTATTTTGCGGCGCTTGTTAGTAAGTTAATTGAAGGAAAAAATAATTTTATCTGCTAATTATACAGCAACGATAATATTTAATTTAATATTAAGTAAATAAAAAACCGTCCAAGAGCGTATCGTCAATCACAATAAGACAAGTGAGCTATCAGCAGCGTAAGTAGAAGTAGCAAACTACAGCGACATCTCTTAGGGAATTATGTAACTAATTTCTGAATCCGTAAACCGATTTTAATTATTCTTTTTAATTGAAAAAAGATACGCTCAGAATAATAAAATATATAAAACGTTTTATTTAAATATTATATATATAACTTCAAAGTTAAAAAATGATTGCATGTAGGTACGGTTAAATTACAAAAATAGTTTTTTTTGTACAATATTAGAGTAGAGTTAGGGGGTTACCCTAATAAAAAAAACTTTGTCGGCGTGTATGATAGCTGTATACATATTGGTGCCAAAGCTTTCTAAAGGTAACGGTCACAGGTTATCCGCGGACGGACAGACAGTCACATGGCGAAACCATAAGGGTTCCTAGTTTACTACGGAACCCTAGAAACAATCGAATGTAAAATTTTAGCAATATTAGTACTGACTGTGTGGTATAGAATAATTAATTCTTCTTCTTGTGGCACAGAATGTCGTCATTTGATCACTTACAAACATACTAACGGGAGATTTATTCATGTGATAGACGGCAATAGAAGAAACCTACTTATCATCAGATGGTACAAATTCGGTGCCGCCAATGGATGGGTACCCATACGATGTGCCAACACCAGAGGAGTATCTACCTAATGGGTGATTTGCTTGCTTTTTGAAGATTGGGGAGGAATTGTGGGAGGAGAAGGATTGGGCCTCTAGCAACCCCACTCACACGGCAATACTCAATGCTTTGGTTGTTTCAGGCCGATCTGCCGTTTTGTTTCCCCGACACAATGGGGAACGGAGTCGCTTCTGCGGTGCCACCCTTTTGGAACCAATCTTGAAGCCTATGTCGACCAACCAAGTTGGGAACAACTCGGATCGTGTGTGCCACAAGTAAGGTAAGCTAATTTAGTTCGCGCACGTTAGTCGCTAGAGGACGCGACGCGCACACTATTTAGTGAATAAGAATCCCGTTGTGTCTTGAAGTGCTTTTCTTAGTTAATTCAAGTGATTAACCGCACTTTCAATAATACTTGGTACCTACCTTACCTCCTTCGATTTCAATAATTTTATGTAATTAATTTAAAAAAAAAATATGTAAGTAATTAATTTTATGTTGGTTTTTGAGCCAGTTTCTTTACAAATTAGTTTATTTATATATAACAATAAGTAGCTTAAGTAAATGCATAAAAGATACATTCCCGTTGTAATCCTTCGCTATTAGAGTAAGTATACATATGAGGCTCCGCAGACTGTGCACACGACTGCTTAGGGGCTTTTCTATCTCGTTCTTGGATTGATACATAAAATGCTCCTGTTGTTCTAAACCAAGCTGGCTAGGCGGCTAGGCTAGGCAAGCTGTACCTGCGTATGTGGCTGACACATAGCTAGGCCCATACAATAACCACCCGAATTAAGAATCTCCTCCATTTTGGAAGGGTCAGAAGAAATTTCTGCTCACCAGTGAGGTGAGAGGCAGTAAAAAACGACTAAACATATTCAACAATTTATTATATTTTTATTATAACTTTCGTGAGACATTCGAAATTAATTAAGTATTATGTTTTCGCGTGTCGCGGAATGCTGCTCATGAACATGCCTCTAGCATGGCTTGAAACTAGTCGAGTATCTTGTCAAATTATTACGTGAGTAAGCCGAAAACATAATAATTAACAATTTATTAATTGCTCGTGTGCCTGCTTATTATGTGTATGGTCTTACATACCTATAACACTAATGCTTGTCAACTGTAAATGACACAAATTCAAGACCCTTCTTTCCAATCCTTAAATATCCGAAACCCTTATCCCTAAAAGGTCGGCAAAGGTCTCGTTAATACATTGGTGTCGATGAGGCGGCGCCGATTGCCTTCCACAAATGAAAACAGAAAATAGAAACGACGTGTTCATTGTATGTTGTGGGGAAATGCTGCTGATATTCAGTCTATCTTGGTTTTGCAGAAAAGAGACATTCGATCAATCTATAATCTTAGTCCAAGGCATACGCTAAGGTGTTATAAGATAATTAAAACAATGACAGCTGCCTTTCAATACATTTAAGAAAATGTTATTTACGCACATAAAATGGTGGTTTATTTTAGAAGAAGATGTAGGTACCTACATTATTTTGCTACCACGCGAGGGGTAAACAAACGTCGTGAGTCCTGACGACCTCTCAGCCACGGAAAGTAAAGGTTCCTTTTGTCATCACGTACATAAAATTCTCGGAGGTTTTATTTAAAGTGTCACTAAAGATACACCTTACTGAAATGTAAGGGTGCGTCCACATCTGGCGAATGTGCCGCGAATGCGCAGCTCGCGAGCCGATTGCGACCGGCCCGCGAGATGCGCGCGTGCAATCACTGCAATGCTTTGGTGCGCCTCTTTAGCGCAACTCATGCAAGGCTCGTATAGAGCGCGCGAGCCGCGCACAATCTGCGCAATTCTCCTCCGTCCACTCCATGACAACACGCACTTAGCCTCCAGTAATCAGAAACGAACTGAGCGGGTAAGTTATAAATTATTTAATAACTAGCGCGCCGCCCGCGCGCTTGTCGCGAACGGCGCTCAGAAGAACGAGCGCGATCTGCGCGCGGGCGGCGCAGAAGCGGCGCGCGAACAAAAATGCGCGCAGCTCGCGGGCCGCTCGCAAACGTCTCGCGAGCTGCGCATTCGCGGCACATTCGCCTAATGTGGACGCTCCCTTAAGCATTGTATAAAATTAAAGCCTACTTGAAAGATATCCTGCTGTAACGTTAGCGCAGGTCACGTTGACATATTGACATGTTTGTCACATAAAGTTACATTTATATACAGTTTGTTAGAATAACACAAACATTTATATACTATATACATATCTATTATATGTCACACTAATTAAACATACATGTACAATTACACTTTCCAATAATTATTGTCAAGTACAGACTTAGCCGCGCTCGTCGACCACTAGTTCAGTAGGTTCTCTGGTATTTGTGGGAGCCACCCAACTGTTATTTCGGTCGGAGCATTCAGCAACATCGGTCGCTTGAGCTGGTTGTAACCTAACGTGCCACCTGGGCGGGTTCACTCGAACTGGTGTGCACTAACAATTATCACAATGTGCACAGTTCTTCATATTATTTATACATTTGTCTGTACGGCCGAGGTTGTTTCGGAATTTCTTCTTAGAATAGTCAGTTAGGAACTATTGGCTTCATGTAGGTTGTATTATATAATGCTGCGAGAAAAAAGCTGTTTTATGGCCTATTTACAAAAATAATTTGTTCGAGATCTGTTCGACTCAAATTCGAATGGCATACAACGAGGCGAGTACTCGAGTGAGTGCGTGCGTTGTGCGCCGGACACCTGAACACGACCAAGTATACACCATTTACTGGATTCAGGGAATACGCTAGGACGACGAGACGCTCCCCTCGCTGCCCCCGCCCTCCGCCGTGAAGTCCAACACTAGCTTACCGCGGGCCCCGCCGCGTTGCGCTCGCTCGTAGGCCTCCGCCCCACTCCACCACGGGAACACGTGCTCCACGCATACAGTGAACTGCAACATGACGCCATCATATACACTTGACTCGCTGCTGTACTGCCAGCGCCGAGATAGTGCCACATACCTGGCCGCGTTCCGCGAGACGGCGCAGATGCTCGATGTCCGCCGCCGACGGAGAGAAGAACGCCCAGCGCACCTGCGGCGGCAGCGAGCCCGGCGACGGCAGCGAGCCCGGCGCTGCAGCCGCGCGCGCATTCTGCGCCAGCAGCGTCGCGGCCGCGCATGCCGCGCCCGCCGCCACGCCGCGCGCCTCCATGGTCCGCAGCAGCGGCGACGTCAGCGTCACGTAGCGCGAGAACCGCCAGCGCCGCGCCGCCGCCTCGTCGCCGCCCAGCCCGGCGCAGTCCAGCACCGCGTCGTAGGGGCCGGCGTCCTCCAGCCGGCGCTCGTAGTCGGGCGCGTGGCGGTCCAGCACGGCGGCGGCGCCCAGCCGCGCGCCCAGCGCCGCCAGCGCGGGCGCGGCGCCCACCACCACGTGCGCGCCGCGCGCCGCCAGCAGCTGCAGCGCCGCCTGCCCCACGCCGCCCAGCCCCAGCAGCAGCACGCGCGGCGCCCGCGTCGCCGCCGCCGCGTCCAGCCCGGCGGCGCGCAGCGCGGCGCATGCGGTCAGCGCGGCGTACAGCGCTCCCGCGGCCTCGGCGTCCGACAGTGCGGCCGGTGCGGGCCCCGTCTGTCGCATGCGTATCATCGTTCTCAATACATTGCGACGACAATGATTTACAAAAAATATTTAACTATGTACGAAAACTTCGAGCTCATTGTATTATGAAATACTAATATTAACCTCCCATCCTTATTCATCCATTCCAACTTGGGAGCCATACGTTGAAAATGCTTCGGAAAGTTTCACCACAAAGATATTTAATTTTAATTGCATTCTTGATGCATGTCCATTTATTTGGAGCCGAGAGCGTGATGCTGCATACTGCTAAATACAGAATCATCTACTTCTTAACTGAATACTAAGTCGATATGGATTTCCGAAAAATAACAACTTAAATTGTTCTGAGCATACCCATTCATCTTTGACTACGACGAAGTCAGCGTGGCAGCCCTGTCGATGCGGCGGCAGAACGCCCCAGACGCGCTGGCCGGGGCGCAGGCGGCTGGCGGGCCCGGCGCGCGCCACGACGCCCACGAAGTCGCGGCCCGGCACCAGCGGGAACTCCGGGCCAGCGGGCGCGCCGTCCAGCGCGCGCAGTACATTGAGCGCGCGCGCGCCGTAGCCGGCCAGCATGGCCACGTCGATGGGGTTCAGCGAGGCCGCGCGCACGCGCACCAGCACGTCGCGCGGCGCGCGCAGCGCCGGCACGCGCGCCGCCTCCAGGCGCAGGTCGCGCGCTGCGCCGTACGCGTGCAGTCTCCACGCGCGCATGCGGGCCGCGCCCGGGCCCGCCGACAACGCCGCTAATGCAAGTTTCTCTTGCATTCTCCCTGAATGAGAACTCAATAAGTATTTCCAATTATAAATAGGTGTACAAGCTGATTGCAACTAAAATACATTGCTATAAAGAGCAACTGTCAAACTTAAATACAAGTCTAATTTGGTATTCTTAATTCATAAGTTACATTACAATTTAAGGGATGCTGTTAGACATATCAAAGTTCCTCTTCAAGAACCCTATGCATTAAACAAACCGCATTAAAATTGGGTCCTTAGTTTTCAAGATTTAAACGTACATGAGGATATAGGTACAGATAATGTGACTTTGATACTATGTTGTGATTACTCCAAAGTAATTTTACCCTGCCTGGCTCCTATTACAGAACATCATTATCCTTTACTTACATCTGCCATGACTCTGGCATCTTAGTAAAAATAATTATACTCAACAAAAAACATTACAGAAGGCAGTACATTAGTACCATCAGACCATGCATCAATGTATCACTCCACTCTGTAGCCTTCTAGAAACCTTTTAATATAATATTTAAGAGTGAACGCAAAAGACATTTTACTAGCAGTTTAGTCTTATCATAAAGTAATTTTAAACTAATGACACTGGTCTATCACGGTGTACTATCAGATACTATCATAACTATAAAAGACAGCCAAAAACATTTTTAACAAATGCTGGGGATTAGTGGGGATTCCGGCCGGCTTGTTAATTAAAAATAAACAATAGGTTTGAATTCAAATATGATCATTTCTATTGCCATCATCGAATTTCAGCAGTAACTAACCTTAATGTAAGAAGGATCCGTACTGTACGTCGTTGGACTTAAATTACCTTAGGTTTGGTAGAAAAATGGAAAAGCACGTTTTTTACGACTTTTTCAGATCCTATATTTCACATCACATTACGAACATGAGAGAAATATGTGATTTCGTAATGACAACAAACAAAATAATAGGTAATAGGCTTCTGACGTTATGACAGTGACAGATAACAGCTGAGCTCGATAATAATGTAGAGCTTACCATAGAAAAACCCTCCATGCTAAAGTTATTACAAACTTTTAGTTTTTAGTTTTTTCCAAATAAAAACAAATTGAATCTTCGTGAACAGTTTGAAAGTCAGCGCGAAGCTCTATTTAAGAGGACTTTGAATTGGTTATGGATATAACACGTGCACGAATGGAAGGCAAAAAAAAGTAGTAGTATTCTATTAACTAGTTTACTGTTATATGTGTTTTCTATCCTTCCTAAATCAAGCAACAACTTATTCCTATTGTTAAAATGTACTCTGTGACATTGTACAACTTGTAATAGCGAATAACTAACGTACACTTAACTAACGCTGCCCATAGACGAATTTTAAGATTAAGTACGCTACGTCTTACTGACATAACACCATCCCATTGCTCTAATATTACGCTTGCCTTAGTAGGCGCACTCTGCCGTGGTCTGACAGGTTTTTGTGGCCCACCAAAAATTAAAAATACCCAGACATCTCCCGTTTGTGATTGCGCGATAAATGCAAAAACGCGAAACGATACATCATGCATGTGTCGTCGTAGATGTATGAAAAAAAATTCTAGAAAAATTATTTTCGCTCGCCAAAATTTTCATAAGTGAAATAAAATGACGGTCACTGCACTGCGGAGGAAACAGTAAACTGAGTCTGTAGAACCTTGCATAAGTCAGATTGTTTATTATAGTGATAAAAAAAATGAGAGACAAAAGACTCGGCTTACGATAAAAAAAACCTAATGTCAAATTTTGTTGTCTACCTAATTCTTACATTACATAGGACTAAAATGAAAATGATGAAGTTTCAGAAGTATTCGAATTTAAAAACGCTACAAATAAATGTGGCTAATTTGCTGTAACAGAGATTCCGTTTCTACTTTATGTATAAAATTTACCTTTTTTAATTACACATTCTTAAAACATCAATATTTGTGAGAGAGAAGTTTTTCAGTTACGGCAAAAGTCTGTAAGAAAACAACCAAAATACAGTACTTACCAATTTTATTTTAAAATGCGCGGAGTGACGTCGTCCTATTTTATTAAAACTCTTATCACTTGCTGTCAGTGTAAGAAATATAATTTATATAATCGTAGTAGTCATTATTCATCAAAGGTATGTCAGGATTTATAGAATCAGAATAGGTTATAACCTATGAAGTAATAGTAGTGCCGGGCTTAGTCCACATTGTACGTAAGACTGTTCGTTAGGCCGCTGACGATGGCGATGGGGTGTGGCCGCGGCGCGTGGTTACGGGACTGCAGCCCACGGGGGAGTTGCACATCGGCAACTACTTCGGCGCCGTGCGCCGCTGTGTGCGCCTGCAGGACCAAGGCGAAGACCTTATGATATTCATAGCTGACCTGCACGCGCTTACCACACGCCAGGTTACTATTCTCTCTTCGATATACACACTATGTACTCTCTCATGTACAGTTGTAAATGATCAGAATGAATACTGTTTTATATTTATTTATAAAAACTACGACAGATACTTATTAAGAAGATAATATAGTTGTGCACTACATCTCAGAGTATGTTGTTTACATGGACTTCTTTTGTCAGAGCAATATTTTTTCAAATATGTCATCATATCCTGGTGGTGTGGTTGTAATAGTGTAGCAACAAGCCTTGGAATTAAATTTCTGACTGACTTACAGCAATGTTTCTTAAAGATTGTTCTACCATGAACCAATAATTTTTTGCTCTCTTTTAACCTTTCAATTGTGGTAATTTGAGGCAAAATACAAGATCAATACTCAATGAAACAATGTATGAATTAGTATTTTTTTATGAGGAGGGCTAGTATAAATATATGTTTACAATTTTTCATTATTTTTATGTAGGTAGGCTTATATAACTTAAAACTAATTGAGTACAAATACATTATAATTGTTATTACATATAGATTATAGTGTTATTTTTAGTTTATTTATTAAATTTATCATTTAAATATTCCTGTACATTATAATAGCATTTATGGATTAACAGATTTTTTAATTTATTTATCAAGATATTACATTTTTGTTCTTTTTAATGTCATCTGGTAATTTATTATATATTTTACCTGCCATTACTAAAGTGCTTGTGGGGTGTATTTCTAGCTTAGAACCTGGTAGGATTAGTCTATTTTTGTGTTGTAAGGTGTAGTGAGTCTGTGTTTTCGCGTGTAATGTAGAGTTTTTCAATTTCTAACAAATTTACACATTTCAAGGATGTATAAACAAGGTAGTGTTAGAAGTATATATAATAGGTGCGTGAATGCCGGTATTAGCTTGGTATTTTGATGAATTAAACTCAAGCCACTCTCATTATGTAATATTATGTCCCTATGTATTCAACTACTTTGATGTTTTGTTAATGAATCATGATGGCACAAAAAATTTCCTTACATTTGTCCTCTGCTTATTGCAATTATTTTCCATACAAACTTTTCAACAAAAATTCACCGAATTTTTTAAGCTGTTCTCAAGCTTTACATTTGGCACCACTTATGGCACATATTTATTTTATATTTTAGTTTCCTAAACAAAGTAGTAGGTAAAATAAAATTGTGTGAATGTTGGCTCCATATTTTGTTTACTCACTGGCTTTTGGAAATTACTGGTCTTAAAACCATTTTATGTTTGTATAGCAGAGCTGTCCTACACCAAGAATGGAAACAAATACCTAAAGTTCAATCTTGTTGATATGGTCAACAAAACATACAGAAAGAAATACTGCACCAGTTAAGATTTACATGCCTGTCTCATTAGGTGATAAATGTAGGACTGTTAAGACTTTATATTAAGTTCACACAAATGTTAGAAGCAACCAGAGCACCAAAATATCAGTAGAGTAAACCAGTAGGGTATCCAATAATTCAAATCTTCAAAAATAAACAAATAAAAATAAATAAACTAGCTGGTACATAACATAAAAAGTTTGGAAAGATAAACTCAACTCTTTTTGTAATGTAGCATTAGAGATGTGGAAATACTCTGTTAATGCAAAAAATAATTGCAAAATAGTATAATTAATTCTTAGACTTAATTTGCTTGCTTCTAGTTATTTGGCACTTTACAAAACAAAACACATGCCAATGATGTTGTGTTGAAAATGAAAAGGATAGCCATAGTTCAACACTTTTGTAGTAATAGGCGAGTGACATAATATTTAAAATCTGTAGTCTTGAAAATTCATTTTCCGAATATGTAATTGTAAATTTACAAAATTCCTATCTATATTGTAACAGTAATTTTAAAGTACTAATCAAAATTTGTAAACCTCTTCAGCATTTAATGTGTGTTTTAGAGTGAAACAAAGCTATAATGATGTATAAAATTTATAGCAGTACAACTTCAGATTGTTTATAGATAATAAATAAGTAATTCAATAAAGTCGATATTTTGACAATAAAATTGTTTATAGTAAACTAGCTTCGCACGGGTCCATCTATGGGCACTTGTAATTTATGAAATGCATCACACTACATGCTAAATAACCTAAAGAGGTTTTATCCTCAACAAACTTTTTTGACGATTTTTTTAGGGATGTTGTCTACCATATATTTTTTAAGGGAAATCATCAAATTAATTTTCTTGTCCGGGGTGAGGCAAGAGGGAGTGTCAGAGTCTTACTTACTAAAAGTCGTTCGTTCCTTGTCCTGGTCCAGGCCTGGGCCGCAGTACCTAGTTATTAATATTCCAGGAGCCGGCGCGGCTGCAGGCGCGCGTGCTGGACCTGGCGGCGACGCTGCTGGCGGCGGGGCTGCAGCCCGAGCGCTGCGTGTTGTTCGTGCAGTCGGCCGTGCCGCGCCACGCCGAGCTGTGCTGGCTGCTGGCCTGCCTGGCCACGCAGGCGCGCCTGGCGCACCTGCCCCAGTACAAAGAGAAGGCCGCCACCATGAAGGAGGTGCCGCTCGGCCTGCTGCTCTACCCCGTCCTGCAGGTTGTCCCGTTTTCATTTCTTATTTTCACTCGCATCGGTGGTCTATGCTCCAAATATAACTATGCGTATCGCGGCTACGACTGCACGGGTTCGATTCCCGCCCGGAACAAGTGTCGATCGATCTACAAATAATGGGTTGCAAAGCAGTCAGAGGCGGACGTGTTGCTGTACGGCGGCACGGAGGTGCCGGTGTAGTAGAGGTAGTAGAGCGTGTGGTGGCAGGCGGCGGACGTGTTGCTGTACGGCGGCACGGAGGTGCCGGTGTAGTAGAGGTAGTAGAGCGTGTGGTGGCAGGCGGCGGACGTGTTGCTGTACGGCGGCACGGAGGTGCCGGTGTAGTAGAGGTAGTAGAGCGTGTGGTGGCAGGCGGCGGACGTGTTGCTGTACGGCGGCACGGAGGTGCCGGTGTAGTAGAGGTAGTAGAGCGTGTGGTGGCAGGCGGCGGACGTGTTGCTGTACGGCGGCACGGAGGTGCCGGTGTAGTAGAGGTAGTAGAGCGTGTGGTGGCAGGCGGCGGACGTGTTGCTGTACGGCGGCACGGAGGTGCCGGTGTAGTAGAGGTAGTAGAGCGTGTGGTGGCAGGCGGCGGACGTGTTGCTGTACGGCGGCACGGAGGTGCCGGTGTAGTAGAGGTAGTAGAGCGTGTGGTGGCAGGCGGCGGACGTGTTGCTGTACGGCGGCACGGAGGTGCCGGTGTAGTAGAGGTAGTAGAGCGTGTGGTGGCAGGCGGCGGACGTGTTGCTGTACGGCGGCACGGAGGTGCCGGTGTAGTAGAGGTAGTAGAGCGTGTGGTGGCAGGCGGCGGACGTGTTGCTGTACGGCGGCACGGAGGTGCCGGTGTAGTAGAGGTAGTAGAGCGTGTGGTGGCAGGCGGCGGACGTGTTGCTGTACGGCGGCACGGAGGTGCCGGTGTAGTAGAGGTAGTAGAGCGTGTGGTGGCAGGCGGCGGACGTGTTGCTGTACGGCGGCACGGAGGTGCCGGTGTAGTAGAGGTAGTAGAGCGTGTGGTGGCAGGCGGCGGACGTGTTGCTGTACGGCGGCACGGAGGTGCCGGTGTAGTAGAGGTAGTAGAGCGTGTGGTGGCAGGCGGCGGACGTGTTGCTGTACGGCGGCACGGAGGTGCCGGTGTAGTAGAGGTAGTAGAGCGTGTGGTGGCAGGCGGCGGACGTGTTGCTGTACGGCGGCACGGAGGTGCCGGTGGGCGCGGACCAGGTGCAGCACCTGCAGCTGGCGGCGGCGCTGGCGCGGACCTTCGCGCACCGCTACGGCCGCGCCTTCCCCACGCCGCGCGCGCTGCTCGCAGGTGAGGCTCGCTCGCGCGCGTGACCGCGACCCCCCCCCCCCTCCGTTAGTCAGCTCGTTTGTTTGTGTCCAGATGACGGCAGCGATCGCTTGCGGAGCCTCCGAGACCCCAATAAGAAGATGTCAAAGTCCGACACGGATCCCAAGTCTCGAATTCTTCTGACAGACCCTGATGATGTTATCGAGCTTAAAATAAGAAAAGCAGTCACTGACTTCACGCCACAGGTATGTGATGTTAACATATCAGATGCCGCGCATCACTCTCAGATAAATCGGTCCTTAATTGGAACTGCGATCCCCAACGGCTCGCCTGCCAGCTGTGGACTATGACAAACCACTCTTTTATACAATCATAGTGTACCTACAGTGAACTGTCTCTCTTATAGCAAAATAACAATTAGATACTATGCCTGGGCACTGTCAGTGCATTGTCCGGGTCGGGTAAAGTACGATTTGGTATTTTTTCGGTTTTGTTTAATTTTTCCAGTTTTACAGTCTGGTATTGAGGACGAGATCATTTTATTTAGCAATTCGTCAAGTGCCCAATTGGTTTAAGGCAAGCAGCCCCGTTGGGTGGTTTTCTCAGTCAAAAGAGTTATTTCGCCTTGTAAAACCATAAAATACCACATTCAAACCTGTATTCATTATTTTTACAATAAACAAAATTCGTATTTGTATTGATTGTTCAAGAGAAATAACTTTAGTCAGAATTTTAATCCGATTCCAGATTTGACATTAGCCACTGTCATTTTGTGAAATAATGATACCACATAATAGTGTAGTGATGAACACAAAAATCGATAAACAATCATTGAATCAGGATCAAGAAGGTATTCAAAAAATTACGGCTACCGAATGGTCTAAATGCGTATCCCATGTCGTCAAAGAAGAGGGATAAATGAGTAAGCTATAGATGTTAATTGACAATAAATATCGCAGACACAATTCACAATAAATGTTACAGAAAGTAACAGCGATAGCGATGACTGCGACAACTTATAAAATAAATTATCAAGTACCATAATAGATCACACTTTTTATTAATTTCACACACAATTATAAAAGAAAAGTATCAGATTGTTAATTAATTGTCAAAACTAAATTATTGGTTCAGAATTCCTGATAAACTTAGTTTACGAGTGTAAATTTATAAACGAGAGGAATCAATTCGAAAATATTCCGTTTCTATATCGAATAATTTCGCAACATCACAATTTAGTAATTGTCAAATCTGGAATTAATTAAAATTTCGAGTATAGGTATGTTATTTCACGTTAAAATATTATGACGTCACAACGTGCTAATTTCATCCAATATTCACAGAGAATTAGCGTTTTTGACATTTCGAAAGTGTTGAATTTGACTAGTCGCAAACAGGGCACCCTATTCCGTGATTACGTATTAACATAACGTTGTAATATTGTTGACACGCTCAGATATCAAAAATGTTGGCGCTGAAGTCTTACACGAAAGCGATGTACCTATAGAACTAGCGAAGTGATACTATCAGCTTATAAGTGCCCACTGGTGAGCAAAGGCCTCTTCTGACTTTGAGGTTTGACCAGTAAGGACCTAGTTTACTCAAGACGGATTGGTGATTTCAAACTATACAAAATAAACAAACGATTTTTGACGATGATTTCCTCCACAGTTATTCTGTGGATAATTTTTAAATAATAATAATTTTTAAAAGTACAAATATCTTGGTAAAAATAGTAACACTGATATTGGTCAGGTTTCGAATCCGCCCCATGTATGAGAAACGGGTAGTTTAATCACCCTCCGGGCCACCATTACATCACAGCGTTGTGTAGCTGGCTAGAGGGCGCTACAAGGAAAGCAGTTACTTGGACTTTTTTCAATATACATAATATCTTTTATCGTTGAGATATGAGACGTGAAAAAATCGTTCAAGATTGAATGAAAGAATAACATATTTAATAAAACTTATTTATTTTATATATTTAAACCGTTAGGCGACGCTTAAACTGTTTAGAATCGAGTGAAATACGAATTGCCCCTACGGTAGGTGACTTTCGACCCGGAGACGAGGCCGGGCGTGTCCAACCTGGTATCCATCCACTGCCTGGCCGAGGACAAGCTGCCGGAGGAGGTGGTGCAGGAGGCCGAGGGCCTGAGCACGGCGCAGTACAAGCGCGTGGTGGCGGGCGCCCTGCAGCGCGCGCTGGCGCCCGTGCGCGAGCGCGCCGCCGAGCTGCGCGCGCGCCCCGCCTTCTTGCACGACGTGCTGCGCCACGGCGCCGCGCGCGCGCGCCTCCGCGCCGACCAGGTGTACGAGCGCGCCGCGGCGCTGGCCGGCCTGCGCTAGCGGCCTACAGCAGCGGCGGCGGCAGCGTCCGGTCGCGCAGCAGGGCCAGCAGGTCGCGCAGCAGGTCGACGGCCTGCGCCACGGCCTCGGCCTGCTTCTCGGCGGCCAGCGCGCTGCGCATGGCGGCCTCGGCCAGCAGCTCCTCGGTGGCGAGGCGCGCGCCGGGCGGCGCGGACGAGTCGCTGCACGCGTCGTCCTCCAGCGCGGGCTTGCGCTCGTCGTCCGACTGGCTGGCGCGCCGTCCGCCGCCCGCCGCTGTAACCCGCCGAGTTAGTGATCGCCCGGACTTTATGTACTTTAGCGTTTAACATAATATAGAATAACTTATTTTCACTGTTACCGACCTTGATAAAATATTTCAACGTTAATCTGAGTTTTTATGCGAAGACGATATCGTATTCGCTATTGTTATTACGCCTTGTACAATCGTTGTTTACTTTCCCTTCAGCGCGCACACACCGATTGTGCAAGCATACATAAAACCCAACACGACTTAGGTTAGTTAGAAGAAATCTTGAAATTCTGAAAGAATGCTAGCTGTTACATAAGGGCCGGGGGGTTTAGTCAGTAGGAGTCGGACACTCTCTCTCGCCTAACCCCGGCGGGACAAATCATATGACTTTACCCTTACAAAAAAAAGCTGTTACATAAGGGTCATATTGTGTTACACTTCAAAAAAGCTATTGAAAAGAAAGAACTTTATGCTTTAAGCGAAAAATATACTTTCCTTAGTGGGACTTAAGGATAATAGAAGCATAACCTCAGATTATAATACAAAAGACAGATGGACCATACAATAATGTGAAGGCCGCTTGGTAGACTTTTGTGCATGACAGCACTATCAAAACACGATTCCTCGGTGTGCTGCGTTACGGTTCCCAGAATACAACAAAATTATGTACTCTGAATAATTCATTATTCAACTATCAATAATCTAAGTATATAAATGAAAATCAATTTCCGATATGTATTACCCGTATTGCACCTATTTAGTTAAGTCTTTTTTTGTTGCGTTTCTATGAAAGAATTGGTTCCAAATAATTGGTTTGTTTCCTCAGTCAAAAAAAATATTTCAGTGTACTTATAGAACTATAAAAATACTGAAAAACATGAATACCTTCATTCATTACTTTACGATATACTTGATATTCATATTTTTATTGTTAATTCAAGAGAAATAAGTATGCTTTTTGACGTTCAAATATTATTACGCAAAACTTTACAAGATTCATTCAAAATTGATTTTTTTCTGATATTTCGTTAAAAGTATTGAATTTGACTTGTTGGAAACCCTAAGGGTACCTAATTATTTTTGTGAACAATGTTAATAGTTTACAGTAATGAAGTCTAAATATAGGTAACTTGCAGCCTTTATTTTGCTCTCATTTCTTTTAATATAGGAATACCACGGTCGCAAACACTGTATTATGTCAATCAAAGTATGACATACATCTGATGTTCTCCGGACAAATTATTGGTCAAAAACATACAAACCGATGAGAATGAGACAAACAAAAAATTAATACCATCGAAATATCGAAGTAATTTGTTCGAAATAAACTACTAGAATAGACAGTCTCCCACAAGGAGCAGATACAGCCAGCTGACGTTATAACTGAAAATTTTGAACTATCTGACAAATGGGTGAAATTAATTGAAAACATTTTGTTATTGTAACGATGTCGCTACTACCAATACAAAATTAACAATTGTACAGGTTGCAACATGAATAATGGTTTAATAAATTAAATTGCACCACTCGTAATGAACAAGCTATCCACAAAAAATAATCAAAGTAAGTAACTAAGATGCTCAACAATCTAGTACAGTGCGGCCGACGTATCTTGGCGAGTCTGAAGTTAGCCGATTAGCTGCGCAGTACACAATTTTGTTCCTAAAAGATCCATCAGGCTAACTTCAGACTCGCCAAGATACGTCGGCTGCACTGTAAGGTAAAACTTGTTAAATAAATGTTAAGGTTTCTCAAACAAACACCTTTGTTTGGGTGACCAGCTGACATGTAATTCAGTACTGTAACTAGGTGTTGCTTTTATTTCCGCAAAATCTTACTTAAACTAAGACGACTTCTCAATCTCCTCTAGATTGAGAACTCAAAAAGGCCAAGGTTATCGAGCTATGCTCAGTGTAGGATTCCGTAGCTTTCCGTCAGTCACAATAATTGAGTTATTATCGCGGAATAGAAAATACAGTGAAATTGCGGCTCAGATATCGCTTGCTATCAAACATTATGGTCAGATGTCCAACATTTTGCTTATTCGCTGTCAGAGTCGTTCGTTCCGTTGCCATGATTGGTCGTCGTGGTTGTCTCTAAGGTACACGGAAATATATTAGAAATTGTGCCTTGATGTGCGGATTTCATCTGCAAAAATGTAAGCAAAAAAATGGGTGTTGTGGAGGTGTATCGTATAGTCGATGAGTATTAAACTTTGTTAATTTTAAATACCTATATTTCATTTTAATTAAAATATCACATTTCATTACTTCATTGCAAACTATAAACAGCCAAAATGTTCATTGAAATTTAGTTTAACTTGTTTGTTGTCTAACGTATATGCGATAAATTCCAATAACTTATGCTACTAATTAAGGAACGGGACATATTCGTAAATTAGGTTCATATCGATAATTTTTCATCATCATCGTTCAAAAATTTTTTTCGGACGATTTTTGTTTTTAATTCGTAAATATTAAAGACCCATGTCGGACAATGGTGTCCGACGCTACCGGAGGATTAGCCTTCCACAGTATTTGTCGGTATTCAAAGACTTAACTAACTTTGCATGGTAACGTCAACGTTTTAACCACACGCAGCGTGCATCCGTCTGTAGTAGGTGGTTGTAATCACTATTTTTATAGTAATTATTTAATATAATGTTTCTTCTATTCTAGTAAAATATTTTTTCCACTTTTTATTTTAAGTACCACTTTGTCGGCGTGATTGATATACATATTGGTGCCAAATTTCAGTATAATTATGTTATTTTTTATGTTTGTTAGCCAATATCTCTGTTATTTAAAAACCGACTACCTAGTCTCGCGCGGTTTTACTCGCTGCTCGGCTCCATTTGATCGTAGCGTGATGTTTTATAGCCTGTAGCAATCAGGAACATTGTAGCTATCTATCAGTGGAAGAATTTTGGCAATCCGACGAGGGTTTCCAAAGATTACCCCCTACATACAAACTTACAAATTTTACTTCTTTATAATATAAGTATAGGTTTTGCTAAATGTTTTTGTTGGAAAGGAGATAGTCCCAGAATGGTCCCATATTAAGGAAATCACGACCCGATGAAATTAGGGGCGAGTAGTGCTTTTATAATTATGTTGTTTTTGTAGGCATTTTGATGTTGGAGCCGGAAGACAGTCGAGGGATCTTTCACTGTTTGGAATAATTGCCTTGTGTTTCGGCTTTGTATCGATGATAATAATTCGTATTGATGAGCACTTTGCACCACGATTTGGTCGTGACTGTCATTAAGGGTCTGATGATGAACGAAGGACAGCTCGGGGAAATCCTGAACGGTTTACAGTAAATACCTCGTGTTTGGACTTAATTCATTTATATCGATGAGAACTTTGCACCTTTATGGGTTACGATAAAGTTATGCAATAAATCTGATCACCCGAACACAGGAACCGGAACACAGTCGTGGGGTCAATTATAATAAAATGATCTGAGTAAACCCCTATTCATTTTAATATAATAATAATCTAGTAAAATATTTTTTCCACTTTTTATTTTAAGTACCACTTTGTCGGCGTGATTGATATACATATTGGTGCCAAATTTCCGCTTTCTAATGCTAACGGTCACTGAGATTATCCTCGGACGGATGGACAGACAGACAGACATGACGAAACTATAAGGGTTCCTAGTTTACTACAGAACCCTAAAAATTACATGTTGCCACTAGTCATGCTGACATTGCTTCATGATAAAACGTTCTCAAACATTCTAACAGTTACGTAGTGAGTGGACTCTATCTTGTAGGACACATACAATGTACATAGAAACAATATATTATTTACTCACAGTCGCGACCACTGCTGTTGAATATATTCTGCAAGCGCTCCTCTGCACTGGAGAGATCTCCCAGCGCTCCGCCTGCAGCCGACTTCTTACGGGCTTTGTATTTTATGTCAGCCCAATACTGTAACCAAATATCAACAATGATGATCATGTTTATAATCTCTGAATAACGTATACTTAAATGCTCTGCCTGTTGTGTAAGACATTAATGGGTGCAAATCACGTCATATGTGCAGTCAGGCAGCACATCACCACCTAGGTACTAATACTAATAATTCCTTCTGAAAACATTTTCGTTCCACTCATTAACCAGTACTACAGTAATTTCTCTGCCTCAAATATCACTTAGGTCATAAAGGTTGTTGTTCCAATACGAATAATATCTAAATAAATTTGTAGTGGTGTGGGTCACACTACAACTAGCACTCTAACTGAATATCATACAAACAATATTGGATTTGATCTCCTGTATTTGAGTCAATTAAAGATCATAATAATTGGGCAATTGATTTGAATACAATAAACCAATAATTACAATTAAATCAAAATCAAATTAAGGGCTTATTTTTCAATGGTTATATAAAAGTTACCTAGGGAATAATAATTATGATGCTGTCAGAATGTTTGGATAAGACAGTGACGGCAACAATTTTATTCCTCAGACTCAACAATTTTATTTAAGATATATGATATTAATATGACACTGTTTATACTTAAAGTCACGTTTAACCTAAATTCCTTAGTGATATTTCATACAAGTACCTATACATCCACTACACTAGCATCCGCCAGCGGCTTCGCCCGCGTGCTGTGTTGATACAAAGCAGCCTATAGAAATAGAATAAAATCGAAGTATACATATATTTTGTAATATTAATCGTCTCATTTTTATGGGTGAATCTCCAATGGGTAAATTTATGCCCTATTACTTACTAAGTCTCCGCCACCCGTCTGTCCATAGATAGATTGGTACGCATCTAGCTAATAGGTAAGTGTTATAAATATTTCATAAAACTTATTATATTATATACTGCGTCGCGTCGAGCGCGGCAACCGTTACACAAAAATAATACTTATAGCATGATTCAGTGTTCACATGCGATGGCACAATGGCTTATTATCCAAACTGCTAAGCTATCAGGAGTTACATGTGCTATTGTGAGTTAACCATAAAAGATAGACATTATGCACTAAAACATTTTTTTTAGATAATTGTATGTAGAACATATCCATCATACATAATTTTTATGTAACTTAAGCCATTAAGGCTTAAAAAAGGGACTAACTTCTCCCGTTTTCCCAACATTTCTCTTCACTGCCTTGCTCCTATTATTTGTAGCGTGATGAAAAGTATCCTATAAAAAATAATTCTAAGTACCAAGTTTTGTTTAAATCAGTCAAGTAGTTTTTGTTTCTATAAGGAGCATACAGACGGACAGACAGACAAAAATTTTACTGATTGCATTTTTGGCATTAGTATCGATCACTAATTACCCCCTGGTAGTTATTTTAAAAATATGTTTAATGTACAGAATTGACCTTTCTACAGATTTTATTATAAGTATAGATTACATTTATGACTATTGAGAGTACTACTACTACTAGTTGTCAAGTAACCTTACCTAATTCATTTAGTCACCTGTTGAATATACCCATCATATAGTTAATGTAAATAAAGAAGGGCAGGGGCTACACAACATCATTTTCGTCAAATAAGGGTAGATAGGCAGATTTAATGCATTCAAAAGTTGTGCCTATTTCATAGTGGTTTACAACAGTGAAGCTTTGAATGGGTATCATTTTATCCCCTCAGTCAGCACACTATGCAAACCAGCAGATTAACAAAAAAATTGTCAGTTACATGGAGAATACTTATATGTACATTATTAATATCTGTCACCCTCATGCACTATAACAAAAGATACACTTAACAATTTTGGAAAATATAGATTCTCCCTTCCCCCACTAGAGGATTCACCAAATTTTCAGAATCAAGTTGCTCCTTTTGAGTTACAGAGATAGTAGACTAATTTAGCTTTCATAGCATAACTCCCCTACTATAGGTGAAGTGTGGTTAGTGCCAAGAACTGAACATTTACTGGTGTGCTATTGGAGAGCAAAAATTCTCTAAAATGAATGCAAAGAGGCTGACAACAACACATCATTAAGTACACAATAAACAGTCTAGCTTCTCAGCTTATACAACTGTTGTATTTATTAAAACTGTTGAAATGAGTAAATATTATTATGATATTGGTAATTTAATTATACAAATTGTAAGTACGAGCAAGATTTGAAAAAGTCAAATGTAATTCTAACCCGGCACCACTTGTCGGGCGACTTGCGCGCTCCGCCGCTGTCGACCGCTGCCGCGTTCAAACGTTCCGCCAGAAGACGCCACAATTTGCTCGAGCTAAACCGAGAGTAAATCGATTGTTTCCCGGCAGCAAAATCAGGGTGCTCTTCCATAAACGATAGCAATAAATCTAATTGTTCCGAACTCACTCTAGAAAACGAGCTTTTACATTTAGTTAATTCAGCACTCATGTCTGTCACACATATCTGCAATATTTTATTAAAAGGTACCACTAATAATTTCGCGAATGCATTTCATCACATAGCTTTAATTGATAAGATTGTTTTTAAAAAATCAGATAGTTATGACACAGGACTGACTTGATAATGTCAAGTCACATAGGCATATTTAAGTGTATTTTGTGCACCTTACAACGTTCAGTATTGTTATAGTTTTTAAATCATGAATGTATTTATTTAATAAAATAGAAAACCAACTAATCTTAATCACAGTATGTCCATAGTATCACCATTGAGATAGAAATATATTTCATATGTCAATGAACAAAATAAAAACAAATGTCAGTCAGCAGAACCATAGACTATACAATATATACTGAGAGCAGAACCATGAAAAATTTACATACTCTATGGCAGAACCATAACCAGACTCGGAAGCTCTATGATAGGCAAAGTATAAAATACTGTATGTGATAGGATCCTTGACATAGGAAATATATGGACTTGAAATACCTACGAAAAAAAGGTGCCTGCCTACATACAATCCAAAATTTCGCATAAGATGGCTGCCGTTGCTAGGGTTGTGCCGACTAAGTATTTAACGAGTATCGATACAATTTGAGTATAAGTTCTACGTAGGTATAGTTTTAGGGATTAGCCAGCTGATTAACGGTATTTTTTATGGGAAATCATCTAATGTCATCTCCGGCCCTTTTCGTGACAGACCGTTACTGACTAAAATCAACTCCTGTTCCTACTTTGCCGTCGGCCTAGCTAGAGCCCGTAACCCGGGGTTACCTAGGTCTCTTGATTGGCTAATGATTTTCTCAAGTCGAATGTGTATTCTTACAATTCTACGTAAAGCGTCTTTTGAAAAAATAGGACTGTGTTTATGAACAGCGTTTAATGGAATTGTGAAATAGAAAAAGATAGTGTTTGTTAAATGTTTATCCGCCGAAATATGGGGCCCCTTAATTGCGTATGTGCAAAATCCTGTGGGAATTTGTGAAGTGCTCGCGCACAATTTCGGCGCGTCTGATTAAGCGATGATATCTTCGAAACTACGTTAGGACAAAATAGATTAGTAGGTAGTGAAGTCAATCTTATTGTACCTATGTATCTCACTTTTTATTATTACGCTTGGTGGTCGCTCTAGGATCGCCGCCAACGCCGCTCTGTCAATTGCGCCCGGATAATTATAAAATACGATGATTTGAACTTCTACTTATGTAACTAAAAGCAATACCAAAATACTGACGTCTTACTTTAGCCTTACACTAAGCCTTAGCCTTACACTTAAAACTGAGGAAACATCCATTGCTAAAATAGATTATTTAGGATAATATATGTTGAATTTTAAATGGGAGATTATATCGATACTTTTGCGGAATAGTACGTAACTATGCCATATTGACATATTATTGTAAACAACAATTTTTTACTGAAACTGTCTCACAGACAGAAATAAAAGTAAATATATATACTTTGGCAATAGATTCAAGTATCCGTAACATTTTTTTCTATCTATGTGGATTATTCCAAGTAATATTTGATGAAAACTGGTTACTAACCTATGCAAAGACAATTGAGGTTGATTTTCGTGCTTTTTTGCACCACACTGCACAATACAACACACAGGCATATTGTTTTTTTGTTTCACTATATATATTTGAAGTTTAAAGAAATGATTCTTCTCCAATTTATTGGAAAACCACAATAATTTAAAACATAAACAACCGTTTGACAGCACAACTACCATGACTCAGGTACTCTGAGCGCTTAAGATGGCGAACATGGCACTTCCTACAACTTTCCTAATGTCAAAATGATTTGTTGTCATATTAAGCAACAACTTAAATATTGTTGTCCCATTTGTCTAATACAGTTTTTGCCTTAGAAAGAGTGTGAAAAAACCAATGACGTATTATATAGTTTTATACATCATTGGAAAAAACGATATTTCATAGTTTGTTTCATATTTCACTCACATTTGTATAAGCATATATACTTCTCCTCTATATATTTTCTATCTCAATGGATAGGATAGCTACTCTTTGGTCTTAGTCTTTGATCTTGCCGTGTTTTTTCCAAAGATCTTATATACAGGGTGTCTACGCCGGAACGCATCATTCTTCGTCGTGTATGGAACGCATCCGTAGCGCGAGCGAGAGGTTCGAGCTGCGCGCCTTCCGGCCACTGCCATTCTAATAGTCGCGACGAAAACACACTCAATTATTGTAAACTTATATTATAATTAGCGATTAAAGAAGTACATCTGCAAAGGGATCTACTTATTTATATCGATCATCTGGCGACCGTGCAAAAAGAAGAATAACTGCAATCTTCGGATAAACTACAAAAACCAAAAGGAGTTTGGTGTCAGCGCAACGTGGCGGCGAACGCGAACGTCTAAAACAAACGACGACTACGACTATACATATATTATTTGGAAAGAAGACAAGTCCACCTGCGAGCTGCTAGTAAGGATACCTAGCCACCATGGGAAGTGCTCGTTTTTCCTCCTCCTTTCTTTTCCAACTGTCCGCTATCGGGTGAAAGTAATGTAGTCAATTCATTTGATTTAATTTTCTAAACATTCGTCGTCCGCCATTTGTATGTTTCTATATAAAATTAAATTTCATTTTAGTTCGTCATGATTAGAAAGGTTGGTCATTTTCAAGTATTTTTTTCTTATTAAAATTTTAATATATGGCCTAACTTGGGTACTTTCAAGTCGTTAATTTAAGCCTTAACTGTGATAGGCACTAGTACCTAGTTAAAACTAATATTTTGCTGCCTTGATACCCTGCCGCCCGTTCTTCCTACATTTATTTTTCATGCCACTCGGCTGAGCATTCTTATTTTCTGGTGTGTGTGACACGCGGCATGGGTTTGCCTACTTCTTGCATATTATGCACATGGGGGTTTCTTTGTTTTCACTGTAAATTTTAGCCGTCCTTATTTGCACCATTTTCTAGCTTGCTTTGCTTAGCTTTGCTTCATAAGATTTGCCGAACGTTTCCAGATTCGTATGCTTGGCGCGGCTGTGGGCATAAATATCCAGCCCGTTTTGCATTGCATGAGAGAAGTGCGCCTGTGCTGCATGTAGTATCCATCTACGCCGCGCCAGGTTTGAGCACTACTGGGACGCCGTGCAGTCTGCAATAAGGCGGTGACTTTCCTGTGCTACACACTGCGACTGGAGTAAGGAACAATAATTGGGTTAGATGCACAATTTATTTACCTAGTTCATTATATTTCTTTGTTAATATTTGTTGTGAGTGATTAAATTTAAAGATGTCTACTTCTAAAAGTACTGAACTAAGTACATTGGTTAGGCAACGTGGAAATATAAGAGGTCGTTTGACGACGCAAACACAATACATAAACACTCTCAAGTTAGTGGATTTCTCTAGTTTATCAAATGCACAAGTTATTGAAATTAAATTACATTTAAAAAAGTGTGAAACCTTATATAAAGATTTTGAGACCTTTCAAGACAAAATAGAATTACTTTGTGATGAATCTGAAATACAAGAACAGATAAATACTAGATCTACAATAGAGAATCAGTTCATTACAGCAATTTCAACCTTACAAGATATTTTAGAAAAGTTAAATCCGGTTAATGTCAAATCACAATTACCCTCACAATCTAATGAAAGTTCAGTTAAGTTACCAACCATTAAATTGCCTGTGTTTGATGGCTCATATTTGAAGTGGCTTGAGTTTAGAGATACTTATTTGTCTTTAATTCATGAGAATGCATCAATACAGGATATCAATAAGTTTCACTACCTGCGGGCTTCACTGGAGGGCAGTGCTAGTGAGGTTATAAAGTCATTAGAGTTTACATCAATAAATTATAAGATTGCATGGGATTTATTGTGTGCTAGGTATGATAATAAGAGAGTTCTCATTAATAGTCATTTAAAATCATTACATTTAATCAATCCCATCACAACAGAATCACATAAAGCATTGCGGAACTTATTGGATCATGTTAATAAAAATATGAGAGCGCTTAAGGCCCTTGGTATACCCACAGAATATTGGGATGTCCACATTATATTCATCATAACTATGAAATTAGATGCCACTACAAATATGAAATGGGAGGAATATTTAAGTAATTGTTCTGACAATCCAACTTTAGATCAATTTTATACGTTTATCCGTAACCGTGCTGATGTTTTAGAGAATGCTGTATCTCGTACAACAAATCATAGTGAAAGTTCGAGTAATTCTAACTCAAATAATCATAACAAAAAATTTTGGAATAATAATAATTCAGTTTCAAAAAATAATAAATCATTTGATAACTTAAAGATTTCGAGTCCTGTAGCATCAGGTGAGACTGTATGTGACTTTGTGTGTTTATGTTGCAATAAACAAGGACATCGCATTTATGATTGTCCAAAATTTAAAGATATGGATGTTCCCCATAGGGTAACGGAAGTTAAACGATTAAAAGTATGTCATAATTGTTTACGTGAAGGTCATAACTTTCAGAATTGTCGTCTGAAATCCATGTGTCGTCATTGTAAATATAGTCATAATACTTTGTTGCATTTAAATAAAAATGATAAGCACTTAGAAAATATTAATTCTACAGTTGCTTCACAGTCACAGACACTGCCTCCAGTTACACTGTCTGGCATCTCTAATAGTAGTCAAGTATTGCTGTGTACTGCTGTTGTATCAGTAAAGAATATGATTAATAATGAAACTTACCCTGTTCGCGCGTTGTTGGACAGTGGTAGCCAATCGTCCTTTGTGACTGATAATCTGAAAAGAAAATTAAACTTACCTGTTCACAATATTGAACCGCTCCGTGTCTCGGGCATTAATAATGTTGCATTTAGTATATCTGAACGTGTCACCTTAGGGATAGAATCAAGGAATAAAAATTTTAGTACTATGATAACATGTCTAGTAGTCCCTAAGGTAACAGGTACTTTGCCTAATTCTCCTGTTAATATTCTAGAACTAGACTTACCTCCCAATATTGAGCTTGCAGACCCATATTTTTATTGTCCCGCAGAAGTTGATTTACTGTTGGGCGCTGACATATTTTGGGATTTAGTAGGGTTCAAGCGTATAACTCTAGGTGTAGGTAGACCAGTTCTTCAGGAATCACAGTTAGGTTGGCTTGTAAGTGGGCCAGTGGGTATTTATAAACCTGGCCATGTTATTTGTAATTATACTCATAATATTAATGATAATTTACAGAAATTTTGGGAAATTGAAGAATTAAATTTAAAGATTAATATTGGCACACCTGAAGAAAGGTTGTGCGAGTCCCATTTTCAAGAAAATGTCAAACGCCTTAGTAATGGTAGATTTTCAGTAAAGATGC